TAGTTATACCTTATACGTAAATTTCACACTTTTATTCACAGTCAGATCTGGATTTTCTTTTGTTTTGGTAAAAAATAAATTATTCTTGTGTGACCAAAATTGAATTTAATGACAAATTATAGATAAATACTCACCTTTTGGCCGCATGGTTTGATTGATTAGAAGAGTGTCTTCATATTTATGCTGAAAGCCTCAGGCTACGTTCACATTACCAGGCTGAAGTGGCACAAATCAGATCTGATGTTTTCAGAGCTGTGTGGACGCAAATCTGATCTTTTGAAAAATGACCTGAGTCACTTTCATATGTGGTCCTATGATCGGATACGTATCTGATTCGTGGCCATGTGACCTTAATGTGACGCTCAGATCGGAATTCATGTGCTTTTTTTCCACTGCGCCATCACTCAGCGTTACCATGGCAGCAGCGCCGAACAGAAGTTAAAGCCTGTAAACGGTGGAAAAGCAGCTCATCTCACCTTTTTCTCCTTCGTCTCGCTCTAATAATGAAGCTGAGAGCTGATCAGAGTTAATGATCTTCTCAGCGAAGCTCGTTCTGCTCGTTAGTTTGTGCTGATGATGAACGTGATTCATTCACGTGACGTTACTGAGTAGGATGAGCTCATGAGGGTCATTTCAGGACGCCGGTTCGTCACATTAATGACAGATTTGAATCTCTTACCTAAACGAGTGTGAACCATCCTGTCAGAGAGATCGGATTTGAGCAAAAAATCGGATTTGAGCAGTGAGGCTTGTAACAAGCCTCACAAAACATATAGACCAAATGAAATTTTAGATATATGTAAATATTTCTATATAAAATTTATTTGTATTTTGAAATTTACTGGCAACATATAACAACATATTTCATTTTTATAGGTGTGGAGAACCGGATCCTGGCCCAGGCCTCCTCCGTTCTGCCCCAGACTCGTTCTTTCACTCCTTCTTGGGCAACACCAGCCCCCTCCATCTTCTTCTGTCCTGCTCTTCAGCCTTCTGCCCTCTCCTCCACCTCCACATCTTCTCTCCTCCTCTCCTCCAGCTCCTCTGCTCTTCTCTCCTCCACCTCCAGCTCCTCCCGTCTTCTCTCCTCCACCTCCAGCTCCTCCTGTCTTCTCTCCTCCACCTCCATCTCTTCTCCTCTCCTGTCTAGCTCCTCCCATCTTCTCTCCTCCTCGTCCGCCCGGCTCTCCTCCCCTCTCCTCAGCACTGAGAACACCCAGCTGAAGCAGGTCCCCCTCATCCTCTCCTCCTCTCTCTGCTCTCCTCACTCCGCCAGCCCTTTGCTCCACAGCCCAGCGCCCCCTGTTGTTGGTCTTTCTCCTGCTCGCTGTGCTACTGTTCCTCCTCCAGAGCAGCCGAGTGTGGCTACCAGAAAGAGAAAATTAGAGCCTGCTAGTCTGAGCTCCTCTGAAGTGGCATCCTACAGCGAGGAGCTGAAGGAGGTTCGAGACTCTTTTCTCATGTGGTTAAAGTGATAGTGATAGTGGCTGATCAGCTAAGACATGTTTACTGTCTGAAGATTGCTTGTTGCACTGGAGCTACTAATGAAGCTAACGAGTAATGGAAACTCATACCCCACGAATTAGCATGGTGCCAACTACAGGCCTGAATCATCACACGCTTGCCTGAAGTGATCTCTAATAGACACTGTGTGACGCTGACTGGTAAAAACTACTGTTTTTAGCCATATGACATACATTTTTAGAGATAACAGTCTGTCAGAAATGTTTTGAGGCAAGTGATTTACACACACACAAACACACACACACACACACACACACACACACACACCGATCAGTCATAACATCATGACCACCTCCTTGTTTCTACGCTCATTGTCCATTTTATCAGCTCCACTTACTATATAGGTGCACTTTGTAGTTCTACAGTTACAGACTGTAGTCCATCTGTTTCTCTGATACTTTGTTAGCCCCCTTTTACCCTGTTCTTCAGTGGTCAGGACCCCCATAGACCCTCACAGAGCAGGTACTATTTGGGTGGTGGATCATTCTCAGCACTGCAGTAACACTGACGTGGTGGTGGTGTGTTAGCGTGTGTTGCACTGGTCTGAGTGGACCAGACACAGCAGTGCCGCTGGAGTTTTAAACACTGTGTCCACTCACTGTCCACCCTATTAGACACTCCTACCTTGTCAGTCCACCTTGTAGATGTAAAGTCAGAGATGATAGCTCATCTGCTGCTGCACAGTTTGTGTTGGTCATCCTCTAGTCCTTCATCAGTGGTCACAGGATGCTGCCCACAGGACGCTGTTGGCTGGATATTTTTGGTTGGTGGACTATTCTCAGTCCAGCAGTGACACTGAGGTGTTTAAAAACTCCAGCAGCACTGCTGTGTCTGATCTACTCAGATCAGCACAACACACACTAACACACCACCACCACCACGTCAGTGTTACTGCAGTGCTGAGAATGATCCACCACCCAAATAGTACCTGCTCTGTGAGGGTCCATGGGGGTCCTGACCACTGAAGAACAGGAAAATGGACAATGAGTGTAGAAACAAGAAGGTGGCCATAATGTTATGCCTGATCGGTGTATGTATGTATATATTTATATATATATAAATATATATATTGTCACCGTGTGTTTTTTTGTAATGTTTGTGCATTTGCGTTAATAGGACTTGGAGGAGCGTGAGGAGGAGGTGGAGATGGACACTGCGCTGCCCTCAGAGCTGCCGGAGCTGGATCTGAAAGTGAGTGATGAAGAGGAGAAGCAGACAGTTGATCTCGGTGAAGAGTTTGCTGTGGTCGACACACGTGTGGACAGAAAAGCTGAACTATTAAAGGAAAAGAAGGTAATTAGTTTTTTCTCTCTTTACCATATTAATAGTATAGAACCTGCCACTCTGTCAGAAACCCCTCTCCTGTAGCTCAGCCTGATTATGTACGGTCAGAGACTGTATCTGTTGTTCGTGTTAGCTGTTTCTGTTAGAGCTGCAAAATCTCACAAAGATTCATCTGAACTTCAAAAGTCGTTTGATATGATTTTGTTTGATTCTGAAATAAAGTGAATACACAAATCTGGCTGGGTGAACAGCAGTGGGATATAGGCAGTAGGGTTGGGCTGATAGTAGGGCTGGGCGATAAAACGATAACGATAATTATCGCGATATAACTTTTCCTTGATAGAGCGATACGACATGTTCGATAAATGTTCGATATAATACACCATTCTCACACTTCCACGTTCAGCGAAAGCCTTGGTGGCGTTTTCTACTGCAAGGAAAGCGACATTACTACGTTACTGTGCTGTCGCCAGGAGAGGGCGCACTTCCGAGTTTTTCTACATGATTAGAGAGGGAGGGGGCCATGAGTAAGATGAGTCTTTAGCAACGGCTGAAACGCGGAGTTATACGTTCCCTGTTTGAGTGGAGCGACAGGTGATCTGCTCTCTTGTGACCGAGTGTGAGTGATGAGGTCAGTGATGTAACTATACTGTCCTACAGTGAACTCACCTCTTTCTGTACATCCTAACCAGCTTTAGCAGTGATAAATCACAATCCTCACAACTACAGCGCTCAGTCATATTTAGTATTAGTACATTCCCAAGCAACGAAAGTGAAAGAAGAAGTGGGTTCATGCAGTTACGGCCCTGATTTAAACAAAAGTAAACTGAGGAAGCTGTGAGGCATTGGAGAGCGGGAGAGCGCTAGCTTTCTAGGCCAGCTGTTTTTAGCAGCTGGCTAACTTGAAGCAGCGCTCTGTCACTCCACGACACGGAGAACTGATGATACTGTAGATCAAACACGACACAAAAGCACCGCTTTCAGTTTAAACGTACCTAAAAGGAGGACTCTGTTTGTCTGGTGTGGATATTTTGCGGTTCACCACTTAAACTACTACGATAGTATAGAGAAATCCAGTCGTCTAGCTGGTGTCTGAATACTGTGATGTCATGTGTAGCGGGGTAGCCGAGCGCTCGGCACCAGCTAAAATAATGTTTTCTTTCTTAAATTATGACTATTACAAAATAGCCGTGCTTTTCCAGCTGGTAAAAACAGCTCAGCAGACACTTTCTCCCACTCTCCCATGACAGATCTGTGAAATGTTCCACTGTTTGGTGAGTGTTTGTCGAGTTCTGACCATAAAGGATAGTTTAAAACAGCAATTAACCACCCAGGAGCAAAAATCAGCCTTCAAACTTGAAAGAAATAATGATTTGACATTTATCGCGGTATGTATCGATATCGAACGATATGAATTTTGTTTATCATGATAACATTTTTGGCCATATCGCCCAGCTCTAGCTGATAAACGTTACCATCGTCTTTTGTCGAAGGATGACAGACGTCACAGTGTTGATCCACCTTCATGATGCACCCCCCTAACCCCGCCCTCCTCCCCATCCAAACCGACAGTGGGGCGCGCTCTGCCTTCTATCAGAGCGTGTGAGAGGAGTGGAGGCAGAGTGCGCCCCACTGTCGGTTTGGATGGGGACGAGGGCGGGGTTAGGGGGGTGCTCCGAAATCTGCTGAGAGTAAACAAATGGACGACACGAGGCTGCTATTATTCGAGTGTCTCTGCTATAACAAAGGAAACTATATTTATTACGTATTACTTACCCAGAGATATTCTGAACTGATAAAGTATGTATTTTAAGGCGTGTTGAGTATTTATAGTGCCTTTGTAAGACTTCAACTAACAACCCCCGCACCCCACCCCTAATGTCATCGTCCATCTTGATTTTTGCTCATATCCCAGTTGAGTATCCGTCGCTCAACCCTAACAGACATTTTAAATTTGAAGATAGCCAGAAGTCACCCCACTCCTGGTAATGACTTGTGCCTTGGGGCAGTCGTGGGGTGGAGGTTGGGGAACCAGCCTTGTGACCAGAAGGTCGCTGGTTTGATCGATTCACGTCCTGAGCCGACAGTACGTGACTGAAGTGCCCTTGAGCAAGACACCTAACCCCCAACTGCTCCCCGGGTGCTGCGGATAGGGCTGCTCACTGCCCCCTAGTGTGTGTGTTCACTAGTGTGTATGTGGTGTTTCACTACACGGATGGGTCAAATGCGGAGGTGAAATTTCCCCGTTGTGGGATTAATAAGGGTCACTTAATCTTAATTAATCTTAGTATGTTTTTCTTAAATTTAGATTCTGTTCTTACCTAAGAACAAGTCCCGAATAAGAAAACACTGGCGAACGTCAGAATCGTCCTGAAAACTGTGTAAGTGGGCCTAAGGACGGTTGGTGAATGAGGCCCATTGTTTTTTGCATACTTCATTGAAAATGATTGTACTTGAAGGGGTAGAGTTGGATGAGCTCCTTCAGACTGATGCTCTTTTACTCCTCTAGCGTCTGTTTTGTCCTCCTTCGCGGCTCTTTCACCCTGTTGAACCTCGTCTGTGTTTCTGTGTTCAGAACCTTCTGCTGAATGTGGTCTGCTGCTCTCTGGTGAATAAGAGCAGGGCTCCGGATCAGAATGACTGGAATGATAAGGAGAGCGTGTGGACGCAGTTAAAAAGCATAGGCACGGAGATCACCCTCGCTGACCCGGAGTTCATCCTCAAGGTAAGAGGTTGTATGCAAAAGTTTGGGCACCTCTGGCTAAAAGACATTTTGTTGATTCTTGCAGTAGAAAGAAGTGAACACAAACTGCACTGCAGACTATTTTAAAAACTGTTAATGCACCGTTTCCATATTTTTGATTAAAAGAAAAGAAGAAAATAGTGCCTTGTGCAAAAGTTTGGACACTATATTGGCTGTAAAGTCTCAGAACTCAATTAACTCCTTAGGCCTTAATTGGTTCATTTGACTTGTTTGTGCTGGTTAAGAATTGTCATGAGGAACCGTCAGCTGATGGATTGTTAATTTCACGTTTTTCAACCATTATAATAATCTTCCTCTTCATGTGTGCATGTAGCCTGACTGTGTCTGACACAAGCGGGTTACAGAGACAGCAGAGTGTGTAGCAACAGCGGTTGCTGTGTTGCTCATATGTACATGTCAATACTGTCTCTCACTGCAGTCTTTCATGTTTTAATACATTCTGTTCGATGTAAATCAAGTAAATTATTATCCAACAAAAAAAAATGCTGCCGAAAATTTCAGCACCCCTGACTTAAAGCCCCTTCCCCTCACCCCTATGAATTGTCCTTGGGTGTCAGTGCTGAAATTATCTCTTAAATGCATCACTGATGATTATTAGTAACCCTGACTTCACCGGTGATAAACAAAATATCAGAATATAACAACATTTCTTTTATTGGTTTTTGATTTTCAGTGAAATGATGAAAGCCGTAGTAGTTTGCAGATCAATGTAGATGTAATATGACATAAGGAAAGGATGTCCCAGTGCTTCTGTTTGAACATTCGTCCCTCTCTTCTCATTTTTCACCCTCATTTTGAGTGAAATGCTGCTGTACCCGTCACTAAAACCCCTCAGCTGTGTATCTAATCATCTGATTTTCATTCCTCCGTCAGGTGGCCGTCTACACCAGACAGGAACTGAACATCCGCATCACCGCCAACTTCCTGCTGGCCCTGGCAGCCCACCTACCCGAGTCTAAACCCCACCTGAGGAGGTACTTCTGTGCCGCTGTCCAGCTGCCGTCTGATTGGCTGGAAGTGACCAGGATCTACAGCACGGTAAGTTGGGGGGCTTTAACAGAGGTTAATGATGTTTAAACACCTACCTTGCGCTTCCACTAACTGGCCGCTTTATTAGAAACACCTACCTTGCGCTTCCACTAACTGGCCACTTTATTAGAAACATCTACCTTTTACTTCCATTAACTGGCCACTTTATTAGAAACACCTATCTTGCGCTTCCACTAACTGGCCGCTTTATTAGAAACACCTACATTGAACTTCCACTAACTGGCCACTTTATTAGAAACATCTACCTTTTACTTCCATTAACTGGCCACTTTATTAGAAACACCTATCTTGCGCTTCCACTAACTGACCACTTTATTAGAAACACCTACCTTGGACTTCCACTAACTGGCCGCTTTATTAGAAACACCTACCTTGGACTTCCACTGACTGGCCACTTTATTAGGAACATCTACCTTTTACTTCCATTAACTGGCCACTTTATTAGAAACACCTATCTTGCGCTTCCACTAACTGGCCGCTTTATTAGAAACACCTACCTTGCGCTTCCACTAACTGGCCACTTTATTAGAAACATCTACCTTTTACTTCCATTAACTGGCCACTTTATTAGAAACACCTACCTTGCGCTTCCACTAACTGACCACTTTATTAGAAACACCTACCTTGGACTTCCACTGACTGGCCACTTTATTAGGAACACTTTATCGTACACTTTCACAAGAGCAATCAACCTCAACAAACTTTGAAATACTATGAAGTAATATTCGTGACTCTGTTTGTCTTTTTTGTCCTTGTTTACTCTCTCAGTGTTTCAGCTCGTCTCTCCCTTCGTGTCTGAAGAAAGCTCTGGTGGACAAATTCAAGCAGTTCAGCGAGTATCAGCTGGCCAAGTACAACACGCGCAAACACCGCTGCAAACACAGGAAGAAGAAACGCGAAGTGGAGGTAACGCACACAAACGACTAAACTGACACTGATACTGAACTAGTGAGCGGCACGGTTCGATTCCCGGCCGGGCGACCGGGGTCCTTTCTGTGTGGAGTTTGCATGTTCCCCCCATGTCTGCGTGGGTTTCCTCCCACAGTCCAAAGACATGCAGTCAGGCCAACTAGAGATGCTAAATTGCCCCTAGGTGTGAGTGTGTGTGTGTGCGCATGTATGTGTCTGTGTGTCTGCCCTGCGATGGACTGGTGACATGTCCAGGGTGTATCCGGCCTTCCGCCCAATGACTGCTGGGATGGGTTCCAGGTCCCCCTGCAACCCACGAGGATAAGCAGCTTAGAAAGTGTGTGTGTGTGTATGTGTGTGTGTGTGTGTGTGTGTGTGTGAGATACTGAACTACAGTGTTACAGTACACATACAAACACACTGTGCTATTGTCTGAACAATAGAGATACAGTGTGGTCCACATAACTGGTCAGTGTCTGTGTGGGTAGGACAGATCTCCACTACTATTTTAGGTATGTTTATAGTTACTCAGATTGGTCTGAGGGCAGCTGGGTGTCCCAAGCGCCTATATAAACGTGACTCTTTGAATGTCCCGGTGGGTCAGTTTGTTCTGTCTGTGAGCTGCGCAGAAGAATAAAGTCCATCCTCCCAACTCAAGTCTGATCTCCTGGTTCCTAAAGAGGCTCAGATTCTTCACTATTAAAGGCACAATCAGGAAGATGTTTTCAGCTGAACGTGTCTAGATTTTGCTAGACTGTGTTTATATTATTATGCATGTTATACAGTCTCCTGTACTGTTTAGGAAGGGGAATTCCACCTATTTTTTATTTCTGCATAATTCATTGGTTGAGATGCACACATAGTCATTCTGAGTGGTTTGATGTGAAATGATGAATTGTAGAGACTAGGCCTGTCATGATAATGAAATTATAAGAAGCCGCTGTCGGATCAAAACATTGTATCTCCATTTTTGCCGTTTTTTCAGTTTTTGGCATAATTTGAAAATACCCTGTACATTGTATGTAAATTTCATGGGGAATGTTCTAAAAGAAACGACCCAAAATGACTTGGAAAAAAGTCTGGTTCCATTGACTTACATTAAAAGTCACCACCACTCTGTAAGTTTCTCTAGAACAGAGCGTTTCACACCAAACCACTCTGAACGACTCTGTTTACATCTTCACCATTTAATTATGCAGAAATTTTGAAAAATGGGTGGAATTCCCCTTTAAGATTAGTGAACAGTGAGTGTTTAGGTATAGAGGAAGGTTAAGTTAAATTGGACCATAGAAGGCAGCATATATGACAAAAGACGGCGACTAGAATACGTGTTTAGAACTGTTTATGTAAGGTTATGTCACTGTCATGAAGGGCTTATGTACGTGTCGTGTATCTTTATGAACTCTGCTGTACTGTAAGATGTTCTCAGGTTTTTTTTTGTTTTCTTTTGATGGTGATAATATCCTTTATCTCCAGTCTCACTGTTGGTGTTCCTGTCTCTGCAGGAGCCGTCCGCCGAGCAGTGGGAGAAGTGGGCTCGTCTCGTCAGAACAGACGCGAAAGGGCTGAAAAAATTTGTGAGTGCTTTTCTTTTCCTCACTGAGCCAGTCAAGCTGCTGTTCTACTCTCTGCACACAGTCCACACTGTTACTGTCAGTGTTGACCCTTGTGTGGTGTTGCGGTCTGTGGGACCCGTTTTCAATGTTTACCAAAGGAAAAAATGATGTCAGATTCTTGTCCTTTGTTCATTTTCTGTGAAGAACATATAAAATAACCCATTTTCAGTGACTTCACACATAAATATATTACACGTGGTGTTGGGTGAACCTGCAGGGAGTAAAAGTGTGGAGGTGCTGTGTTCTTCATTCTGTTCTCCTCCTACATGGCCTGCTGTTAGTGTGTGTATGTGTCTGTGTGTGTGAGGGTGGACCACATGGACAGGCTGCTGACTGGCTACAGCTGCTAAAGGAGAACCCTACACTGGACACTTTAAACATCTGGTATTTTTACATAAATTGTTATGGCTGTATTGATTTAAATAACCAATAATGTGGTGGGTCCAGCAGACCACTGAGTAACACACACATCAACACCACACAAGGGTTAAACACATTAGATTATTCATGACACATAAACTGGGTGAAAACTGTGTATTAGGGTGTGATAGTGCTGAATTTCAGGAGCTGCAGTGTAATAGTCTGTGTAATAGTCAGAGACCCTCCCTTCATTTATTTAATTTCCATTCAAAACAGTCATTAAGGACAAGTTACTCAGTTTTCAGCAGACATTTCTGAGAAGCTTAGATATGAGACAATCTACTTGCATAAGGAAGGAGAAAATCAAAGGAAAGTAAGTGGGGAAAAAAACAGGACTAAATGCTGCAGAAAAAATGGGACTCCTAACAACCACCTGGAAGACATGGTAGACCACACACTTAAAAAAAAAAAGACGGTTCTTCAAGGGTTCTTTAGTAAAGAAAATGGATCTATGTAGAACTATGAATGCTCAAAGAATCCTTTGCATGATTAAAGGGTTCTTTGCATTGTGAAAGGGTTCTTCAGATTGATGGAGAATGTGCTGTAGATGGTTCTATATAGAACCTTTTTGAAAAGGGTTCTATATAGCGCCAACAAAGGTTCTTCTATTGTTACAAATTTGACATCATAACAATACCAGAACCGTTTTGGTGCTATATAGAACCATTTTCAAAAAGGTTATAAATAGAACCATTTACAGGACATTCTCCATCAATCTGAGGAACGTTTCACGATGCAAAGAACCCTTTATTCATGCGAAGGATTCTTTGAGTGTTCATGGTTCTGTATAGATCTATTTTCTTTACTAAAGAACTCCTGAAGAACCATCTTATTAAGTGCGCACCAAAACTGCCCCCATCAGATAAACAGCACTTAAAGCTTTCATCTCTGAGAGAGAGGAGAAAATCAAGCTGCTTCAGATCTGAAAACATCCACAGGTGTTTCTGTCCATCCTTCCACTGTGAGAAGACGACTCAGCGCTGTGGGTCTGAAAGGATGTGTAGCTGTTCAAGAAGAACCTCACTGAGAAAAGGAGACGGACACATCAAACAAAGAAGCTGAACGATGGACTGACCACCCCAGAGTCCAGACCTCAACACCACTGAATGTGTTTGATTACTTCAGAAAATGATCAACCAGCTTCTAAGACTGAACTTTGGAGGTGTGTCTGCAGATTCTTTGAGGAACTGAAAGTGAGTCTCCTGAAGAGAATGGAAGATAGAAATAAAATGAATGGTGGTCTTTGGCTTTTACAGTATTGTAAAAGTTCTTGCAGGTAAATTTGGAGGTTTTCTCACAGGTGCTTGAAGAAAAGTGAAGTGAATACTATGAGTTGTAAAAGTGCTTGATCACCAGGATCTTTGCAAATACGGATAAATACACGGGACCAGCAATTGCGTATGGTAACTTTAAAGGAGAAGGAAAAAATCTACTTTAATTTTAATGTAAGTCAATGGACCCAGACTTTTTACCAAGTCATTTTGGGGCCGTTTCTTTTAGTCCATTCATCATGGAATTTACACACAATATAAAGGGTCGCAGGCGTTTTCAAATTATGTCTAAAACTGAAAAAGTCAAAAACGGAGATAGGAGGATTTCTTCCGACAACAGCGATATACAGGTCGAGCCCCAGTGTATGTATTGAACAAACTGACGAGTGTTTTCACACATAAACTCACAGCTGTGATTCACTCACAGTGCAGTAGATCATCACAGCCTGGGTGTTATTCACCAGAACACACAACCTTGAGTGTTCTGTTGCTTTTATATAGCAGTTCTGCACAATAAAGATAACGTGAGGCAGAGAAGCCCTGAACATTGTTATACATAGAAATAATGCTCTGTGTGTGATATCTCAGATGCAGATGTCCAGTCGTCGAGCAGTGGATAAGAAACAGGAGAAGTTTAACCTGAAGAAGATGATAAAACGCCTCCATATCAAGGAGCCTGCTGAGCTGGTCATGAGCGATCTGGGGAAGAGGTGTGTAACACTGTTAAACTGACCACTGGGACATTTTAAGGCAACAGGCACTAAAACATACAGAAAGAAAATAAAACGCTTAAACGTTTGTGTATGACTAGTTGTGCTAACACTTATGTATAACACACACACACACACACATATATTACATATGGTAAATATAAACTTACATTACAACAAAACAGACACTTCATTTTTATATTTATATATATATATATATGTACACACCATTTCCAAAAAAGTTGGGACGCTGTTCAGAATGTAAATAGGATACAATGATAGATGATGCAGGTGACAGTTTAGCACCCAGACTCTTTTAATACGGAGCAATGCTGTTGAAATACATGCAGAATGTGGTTTGACATTGTCTTGCTGAAATAATCAAGGCCTTTCCTGAAAAAGACGTCGTCTGGATGGCAGCATATGTTGCCAAAACATGTATATATCGTTCAGCATTAATGGTGCCTTCACAGATGTGCACGTCACCCATGCCATGTGCACTAATGTACCCCTATATCATCATGAATACTGGCTTTTGAACTGTGCACTAATAACAAGAGTGGTCTTTATCCCTGAGGACACAGTTTCCATGATTTCCCCCCAAAAAATTCAAATTTTCATTTGTTGGACCACAGGACACTTTTCCACTTCACCTCATTCCATTTTAAATGAGCTCAGGCCCAGAGAAGGTGGCAGCGTTTCTGGATCCTGTTTATATATGATTTCTTCTTTGCGTTTGTGTTTTTTGAGTTTTAACTTGCTTTTGTGGATGCAGTGATGAACTGTTTTCACAGACAGTGTTTTTGAGAAGTGTTTCTGAGCCCATGCAGTGATTTCCACTACAGAATCTTGTCTGTTTTTAATGCAGTGCTGTCTGAGGGCCCAAAGATCACGGCCAGCCAATATTGGTTTTCAGCCTTGTCCCTTGCATACAGAGATTTCTCCAGATTCTCTGAATCTTTTAATGATATTATGTACTGTAGATGATGAAAAGCAGAAGTTCTTTGCTGTGCATTGATAAACGTTATTCTTGAATTGTTGCTCCATTTGCTCTTTCAGTTTTTCACAGAGTGGTGAACCCTCCTCATCTTTACTTCTGAAAGACTCTCTGAGATGTTCTTTTATACCCAATCATGTTACTGACCTGTTGCCAATTTTTTTAAGCATTGCACAAATTTACCAGCCTTTTGTTCCCCCGTCCCAACTTTTTTGGAACGTGTTGCTGGCATCAAATTCAAAATGGGCAAATATTAAAAAAAAACAATAGAATTTCTCAGTTTCAACATTTTGACATGTCTTTGGAGCATTTTCAATGAAATATAGGGTTTAAATGATCTGCACATCATTGCATTTTGTTTTTATTTACATTTTTCACAGCGTCCCAACTTTTTTGGAAATGGGGTTGTATCTACATGTGCACACATACGCATCTATAGTGTCATACCTATGGGACGTATTGTTTTTGTGTGTTCCAGGTATCCGGCTGATTTGAGGGCGTTTGTGCGCAGTGGTCTGAGTGGTGTGTGGCAGAGTGAGCGAGCCGGTCAGCGGATGAAGCTCAAGCAGCCAGAAACCTGGGAGACCAGACTGAGTCTGGAGGGAAACAGTGCTGCTGTGTGGGAAAAACTCATAGGTCTGATTCATAACTAATGTCTCTCTTTCTTTCTCTCTCTTTCCCCATACACAGAGAGTCACATGCCTGAGGCGCCAGAATGTGACTGCTGCACCGTTTAGCGGGAAATGTAGCGAGCTAGCTACCGAGACGTCAGCTATTACTAGCGATTTATTATGCTTGTTATGATGAAAAGGACCATAATACACTGAAACGACATTAAGATAATCATTATCTTTACTTTTTAACAGAGAAAATTCTCACATTTGTGGGTTTCTTTGGTCTTTTGCTCAGCCGTCTTGCCGGTTTTTCTTTTTCTTTTCTCATAACACTCTGTTTGGAGTGTCTCTGAAAGACCTCCGTTTGGAGGGTCACGTAACCCTACCCCTCTATCATGTGGTGTCCCTCAGGGCTCAGTTCTTGGACCCCTCTTTTCTTAATCTCATCTCTTGGCCAGATCATTCATAGCCATGGCTTAACTTTCACTGTTCTGCTGATGACATTCAGTTATGTCTCAGTACACACACACCCCCAGATTCCCCTCCCAATACGCTAATCGATTGTATTTCTGATTTAAAGCTCTGGATGCATGAAAACACTGATAAAACTGAGGTCTTACTTGTTGGCTCTAAATCTTTACTATCAAAATCATCCAATTTTTCTGTTAGTATTGATGGTCTGCTTCGTTAAGTCTGCGCCTGTTGTTAAATCTTGGTGTTTAACTCGACCCATCACTTAATTTTGATCTACATATCAAGTTCCTCACCAAGACTGCATTCTTTCACTCACGTAACGTTGCTCGTCTTCGCCCGTTTCTGACCGATAACGATGCACAAACCTTGGTTGATACCTTCATTATGTCCCGTATTGACTACTGTAGCTCCCTCTTTGTTGGTCTCCCTGTAAAGTCTATACAAAAGCTGCAGTACATTCAGAACTCTGCAGCTGGAGTTCTCACCCATACTAAGCGTTCAGCTCACATCACCCCCATTCTCTCTCAGCTACACTGGCTGCCGGTCTCGTCCCGTATACAGTTTAAAATTTTGCTGTTCACTTTCAAAGCCCTGCATAACTTTTCTCCCCTCCACCTCAGAGAACTGCTGACCTCTTACACTCCCTCTCAGGGTCTTCTTGTAATAACGTACTTGCTGTCCCACGCACCAGATATTCCGCTTTGGGAGGGAGGTCCTTCAGTGCCATGACCCCAAACTCTGGAACTCTCTTCCTCAATCCCTCTGTGACTGCTCTTCTTTCTCTACCTTCAAATCTGACTTAAAGAAAGAGCATTTTTTTCCCTCTTTCACTGCTTAGTTTAAGTTTTTTTTTTCTCCCCTTATGCAATGTGAAGCGACCTTGGGATTGTGAAAGGTGCTATATAAATGTAGCTTATTCTTCTTCTTCTTATTCTTATTATTATTATTTTATTATTATTATTATCTCAACAAGAATCAAAGCGAAGTTGGAAAGTGATAATGTTATAATGAATTCAGCTGTTGGTACATAAAACCACACAAGTGCAGCGTTTGGGCCCTTTAATATGAGCTGATGAAAACCAGGTTCCAGTTAATGTGCTGTGTTGCTGTGTTGTGGTTCTACTGAGTGTGTTGTGTGGGTTCTAGATAATAACTCTCTGCCCTTCATGGCCATGCTGAGGAACCTGAGGAACATGATCACGCAGGGCATCAGTGACAAGCACCACGAGCGCATCCTTAAAAGACTGACCTCTAAGGTGACCATCTTAATTCACTTCTTCTTGTCCCGTTGTCTTCACTGTTATTGTAATATCTGGAAATTAATAATGTAAAAAAACCTTGTATAAATAGATGTCAGCAAACTTTTGTTGTTGCAGAATGCTGTGATCCAGAGCCGGCAGTTCCCTTTCCGCTTCCTGTCTGCGTATAAAGTGATTCTGGAGCTCGACAGGTTTGGTAAGCCAAGCTACTCTATGCGTGTTTCTCTTTTAAAGGGCTAATATGAGGGAAAAGCAGTTTTCCTTGATATTTGGGAACAAAAGATTTCATACAGCACGTATGTACATTATTAACCGGTTAAAATCTCAGGCTTATTACATACTCAGGCTTATTACATACCCAGTGCTTATTATTCAGTATTATTCAGTGAGCCGTTCAAGATTCAGCCTTAGGCTCTTCCAAGGTCTGATCTTAAATGTTTAATAATGACCATTAATGAGCTGTTTTTGTTGCTTTACCTGCTTGTTTTATGTTAAAGAATGTTAAATACTGCGCTTAGAAAAGACTCTTGTATCCATTAAATGGCTTTCTTTAACTCTGAAACATGAAATGACCATTGGAGTTCTCTGCTTTTGCTTTTTTAATTTAGTAAGTTACCTGTATTTTTTTAGTTATTTTTACTTAATCAAAACAACCCAACTGCAGTTTAATTGATATTACTGGAATGCGCAATAAAAAAAAACAAGATTTATGAAAATTCATTATAATGCGTCCACAATTTACCTTTATTAGAGATTCCATTCTTTTCAGTAGACTCACTTTCAGTTTCTCAAAGAACTCTGTTTGTAACAGTGTGATGTCCTTGTTCTCCCAGTGAGTGGCCCGGTGAAGCAGCTGGCCAGCAGTAAGGACATTTTGCGGGGAATTCTAAAAAGGATTCCGAAGTGCAGGCTTTATAGGCGGATGAACTGGGACGTAGCCGGCCAGAAGAGACTCCGAGCGACTCTGGGTGTGCCGTTCATCTGCAGCTTGTACAACATGAAACGCAAACTACAGCACAAAGCAAGGTCTGCACTCAGCACCTCCCTAAATGCACATAAAACACAATTCAGTCCGTATTTATAGAAAATAGTCATACAGTGTCTGAAACCTCTTAATCAAGACAATTAGAGATACTGAACTACTCTGCATGAGAAATCCACAACAGAAGGAATCAGTACAGAGTTCTTAAAGGGCTCATAGTGTGTTTACATGCACTTAATAATCCGATAACTGCAGAAAATCAGATTTTGTCAGTAATCCAATCAATGCATTTATATGTACTTGAGGTATCAGATGATGTGAAACTCCAGGTCTACATGAGTCAGACAGCAGTCAGATTTGTACTTTGCAATCTGAAAATATGAACATACTTCATGTAGAAGATTCATTTCGTCGAGAATGTATTTGGTACCAGCGTCGCTGCGTCTCGTGGCGACGCCGCTCGCTTTCCGGCACCACCGTCTGTTTGGCACATACACAGATTGAGACATATGAAAGAAATCAGAGTAAGAGTTTACATGCACTGAGAAATCTGATTACTGAGCTAAAATCCAGACTCTCAGATTTCTTAATCAGATTTCTAGACCTTACTTATTATGATTATGATCGGATTATTAAGCGCATGTAAAATGTTTATAAATAACAGACGTCATAAGTGGACTGTTTATGACCCAGTCTAGGGTCAGGTCGTGACAGAAAACGAGAGAGGGCTCTCTCCCCAGACCTGCCGCCAGACCAGACACCACTGAAACCAGAAAACTGCAGGTTTATTTAGACTTAGGTCCAATCTCATTTCACCCCTCGCCCCTACCACTTAGTCCTTAGCCCTCTGTTTTGTGCGTTCATGTCTAGGGGTAGGGTGTCCCAATTCTTGTTGTGATAGAGGGGGAGGGTGAAGTGTTGGGACTACATGGCCCTCCAAACGGAGGATTTTCAGAGACTCCAAACAGAGAGTTATGAGGAAAAAAGAAAAAACAGCAAAATGGCTGAACAAGAGACCAAAGAAACCCACAAATGTGAGAATTTTCTCTTAAAAATTACAATAACCACTGTATTATCTTAGTTTAATGTTGTTTCAATGTATTATGGTCCTTTTCTTCATAACAAGCATAAAAAATCGCTGATAGCATGCTAATTTCTCGGTAGCTAGCTAACTTTCCCGTTCCACCTTAAATAGTCCAGCACCTGAAGTGCCAGAATGTACCATTTAAGGTGGAACAGGGAAATTTGAACAAGAAGCTGGTGAATATCTGACTTCAGCTTCATATCACTGAAGAATTAGTGGTGGGCGATAATAAATAATTGCCCCCCTCTTTGAAGGCAGATGATGCCCTAAATGTAACTAAAGCCCAGCAGTGAGGAGCTGAACTTTACCCTCCTCTGCTGTCACTGCAGACTGGCAGGGCCGCCTACAGAGCAGCGCTGGTAGCTGTTAATGAAGTGATGCTCTTTTTATTTGAGGGTCCCATTTCAGAGGGAAGATTTCAACCACTACCCCTGTAACTCAGTTCCAAGGGGTTAGGGTGACACTCAAAACAAGGGGTAGGGTAAAAAGAAGAAATGTGATTGGGCCTTAGTATGCAAGTTCAAGAGGCTAAACCAAATAGTGTGATGGCTTCAGGGACGAGCGTTATCCCGAAACAACAAAAAAATGACTAAAAAACTAACCTGAAAATAAAAGAAACAACGCTCAGCTACCCTAACTCCATACATTAAAACAGAAGAAAAGTAGCCAAAACTAAATGACCCTCGTCCCCTACTTTCTCCAAGCCCACAAGGTCTAATCAAGCAGTCACAGTTTTAACAGTGGAGACGAAGTGAAGCAGACCGGAGTGAAGAGTGCTGGTCTGTAGTTCCAGGTCACGTCAGAGGGGAGAGAACCCTGAACGTCTCCTGAAGTGGAAGCTCGGTGACCTTTTATACAGAAGGGCGCCCCCGGGTGGCCAATCATGAACTTGCACGTAATGAAACATCCGTGGAACACACAAAATTGCCGCAAACAGGCTATAACGACCGGGGTTTGTAACGTGGACATAAAATAAATTACATGAAAATTTTCCTAATTAAAAAAAAAATAATAATAATTTGTTACAGTACATAAACATCATGATTTACGACATACCGTTCACTCCCCAGTCCATACGCTCCATATATAGAAACTAAACTGCAGAAAAAGCCTGTTTTGAATTCACTGTCTTTGTGATGTCGCCCAAAATGAACACATTGATGTATATCTGCCTATTTAGCCTACAGCAGTTTAGCTCCGCCCACTTTCACTGAGGTCATTAGGTATGTTTCAGAGTGGATGGCTTTTTGAATGAGTGCAGCGAATCAGAGCACAGCTCAGAGAACCCTTTGCATGATTAAAGGGTTCTTCGCATTCTGAAAGGACTCTTCAGATTGATGGAATATCTGTTGTGTATGGTTCTATACAGAACCTTTTTGAAAAGGGTTCTATATAGCACCAAAAAGGGTTCCTCTCTTTTTACATGCTTGACATCGTAACAATAAAAGAACCCTTTTTGGTGCTATATAGAACCCTTTTCGAAAGGGTTATATAGAGAATCATATACAGCACGTTCTCCATGCAAATAACACTTTAATCATGCAAAGTGTTCTTTTGAGTGTTCATGGTTCTGTATAGCACCATTTTCCTTACTAAAGCACCCTTGAAGAACCTTCTTTTTTAAGAGTGTAGGTCAGCCATAAAGGCACAGTCACAAAAACCTCCTGCTTAATTTATTTCAAGAGGAGGGAAAGCGGTCAGGTAAAAATGAATTATAACATTTTATAATTATAATTATAATTAAAAATGAATGGTTTTGGTAAATAAAAGCTCACAAATGTCATAAGTGGACCTCAAATAAATGACATGAAAAATGTAGTATATGGGCACCGAACGCAGTTTAAACACGTGGGTCAAAAAGGTTTTTGCATCACAAAGAACAAGAGAAATGAAGGGGAGTAATTACTGACACATGAACCCAAAACGAGCTGAGACTACTGACAACACAGAGAGGCTACAGACAAGACACAGGTAGAGGGAATATACAGAAGGCGAGCGAGAGGAACGTAAACAAAGGCACTTGGACTAGAAGGACCTGCAGGAACAGACACTTGGGTACTAATTCAGACTTAGGATTGGAGTTTGAAGTAAGAGTTCAGTTGTTGGAGTTGAATAGAGTTTGAATGTCTCAGTAAGCTGCTCTTTATTGGCTCCTTAGAGAGAAGAAGTACACCCCGGCGCTGCTGGAGCGCTATCGTCAGGCTCTGGAGAAAGCTGTGCAGATTTCCTGCAGATACAACGTCCCTCCTCTGTCTGGACGCACGCTCATCGTCTTCATGGACAATTGGTGTGTGAGCAGTGAGTGGAGAGGAGCTGAAGACATCTGCATGCCTCCAGGTGTTTCAGACAGCACAGACAACACAAACCTTTCAGCTTCGGTAAGATACAGACATCTCTACATGTGGCAGGTGCTGTTGTGTTTTGTGGTACAGGGCAAAAGTGTGGATGAAAGCAGTAGGACTGAAAGATTTTAAGCATGTAATTTTTCACTTACAAAAAATTATGTTTCTCATATGCTCACACAGAAAACTGTAAGACAGGAATTCCACCATTTTTTTTTTTATTTCTCCATAATTCAGTGTGTGAGGTGTAAACAGAGTCATTCAGAGTGGTTTGGTGTGAAATGGTTCAGGTTTCTTTACCGTGGTGGTGATAGGAACCAGGGGTCACCATGACTACAACACAAATACAGACATTTTATTTACTATCCAGAACCACCAGTGAACCTACATGAGTCTTCTGAGTTTATATGGAATGTTGATGATGGAAAAATAGTGGTAAATCTGAAAAAATAAACATTTACTTTGGGGAATTTTTGCCTCACAATTGTCTCTATGTACCTCTGCACATAGAGTGGCTTTTAAAATGTATATTTTAGGCACAAAACATCTCTCAAAACTGTCATAAAACACCAGGCAGTGAATTCATAACCATTTCGTGTAGTAACTTTCTGTGAGGGAGCTTTTAGAGGTGGACGTCTGGTTCCTATCACCACCACTGTGAACAATTCTGACTCGATAAGTTTCTCTAGAGCAGGGCGTTTCACACCAAACCACCCTGAATAATCCAGAGTTGTGCGTTAGCTGTTGCAGGTAGCACATGTGCACGCAAATTATATAAAAGAACAAACATGGATAATCTATGTGGAGGGAATTTATGACATAATGCATTGTGCTTGATTATTATTATTCTCTCAGAAATATATGAGTAACAAGTAATGCAAATACACTCGTGGTTTCTGACACTGTGTGATGAACTGTTAGCCTGGACAAAATTATGTTAGCATAGCTGAAACAGTAGCGGAAATTACCTTAAATATCTGTCGGCTAGATTTAAGATAATTTCATTTGCCAAAATGCCATTTTTTATTCTCTTAGAGATTTCTGAACACTTCCACACAGTTTGAGGTGAGTGAATGATGATTTAGGCAGACAGTTAGCAACATGCTAATTCTGATAAGCTTCAGTTACTTGTGAGCTACATTAGCCTTGTAGCTCCAGTGGAAAAATAAGAAAAAGAAGCAAATGTCGGACACCAAACACGTTTTGGGTGGTGAACTGCAGTTAAAGTAAGAGGGGAAACTGTGTAAATTAGTTTTAGCATTAAGGTTTAAAAGTGTTGTGCTTTCTGAAATCTAAACCGCTGTGTTTCTGCGTTTTGCTCTGCGCTGTAGCCTCAGGAAGCGGCCCTGCTGTTAGCCGTGATGATCAGCTACTGCTGTGAGCAGCCGCTCTTCCTGTTAGCGGACAGCATCGGCGTGCAGGAGGTCAAACTCAAGTCTGACATGTTCCTGGAGAACGTGAAGCATGTGAAGAAGCAGCTTTCGGTAAAACTCCTGCTTTTGCAGTACTTATAACAGACATCTCCTAAAGTGTGCAGCACATTGTCTTATATTAAAATGAGTCAGCCTGCGTATTAAAGGACCTGTGCGTTTTTAGCTACGTTCACATTACAAGATTTTTTGCTCAAATCCGATCTCTCTGACACGATGGTTCACACTCGTTTAGGTAAGTGACTCAAATCTGTCATTAATGTGACGAACCGGCATCCTGAAATGACCCTCATGAGCTCATCCTACTCAGTAACGTCACGTGAATGAATCACGTGCATCATCAGCACAAACTAACGAGCAGAACGAGCTTCGCTGAGAAGATCATTAACTCTGATCAGCTCTCAGCTTCACTATTAGAGCGAGACGAAGGAGAAAAAGGTGAGATGAGCTGCTTTTCCACCGTTTACAGGCTTTAACTTCTGTTCGGCGCTGCTGCCATGGTAACGCTGAATGATGGCGCTGTGGAAAAAAAGCACATGAATTCCGATCTGAGCGTCACATTAAGGTCACATGACCACGAATCGGATACGCATCCGATCTAGGACCACATATGAAAGTGACTCAGGTCGGATTTGAAAAGATCAGATTTGTGTTCACACAGCCCTGAAAACATCAGATCTGAGTCACATTAGGGCAAAAAATCGGATTTGTGCCACTTCAGCCTGGTAATGTGAACGTAGCATTTTTACTTGTTTTTAAGCAGTTTTATCTTATAAAAGTGTCTTATTTCATTGTCAGATCATGTTACTTGTTTTAATCATTATTTCTTGAAATGAGCAAAATTGTCTTCATTATTTCTCCAAACAAGTAAACTAATCTGCCAATGGAATAAGACACTTTCACCAGATAAAATCACCTAAAACAAGTAAAAATGTACAGAAACAGGTGGAATAATCTTATAATGTTCTTACAACAGTCTCATAATGAGAGATATTAGATTTACTGACTACATTTAAGACGTTTTCACATGTTAAGATACTATTTTCTGCAGTGTAGACGATAGAACACAGAAATGGTTGTGCTCAGGTTTATAATAACAGTGTTTGATGGTTGTTTATGAGGTAATTTGCATCTCCTCTGCTTTAGGAATTGTCCAATTCATCTGAGAAGATTCCACACAGCAACTTCTTCTACAAGCTGCTTGAAGAGAAAACAAAGGTTTTGTATCTTTGTGTTCATTTGCTTTAATGCAGGTTTGAATTCTGAAATACTATAAAGGGGAATTCCACTGATTTTTCAAAATTTCTGCATGATTCATAATTTGTTGAGATGTAAACAGAGTGATTCATAGTGGTTTGGTGTGAAATGGTTCAGATGTCTTTACAGTGGTGGTGATAGGAACCAGGGGTCGCCATGACTACAACACAAATATAGACATTTTATTTACTATCCAAAACCACCAGTGAACCTTCACGAGTCTTCTGAGTTTATATGGAATGGTGATAGTAAAATAGTGGTATATGTAAGAAAAATTACAGTTTATTTTGCCTCATAATACTTTTCATGTATGCCTCCACCATGAACTTAAAAAATAGGTTTTAAAATCTTCTCCAAACTGTCGTAAAACAGTGTCTCAGTCATCAGACAGTGAATTCATAACCATTTCATGTAGTAACTTTCTGTGAGGGAGCTTTTAGAGGTGGACGTCTGGTTCCTGTCACCACCACTGTGAACAGTTCTGACTCTGTAAGATTCTCTAGAACAGAGCGTTTCACACCAAACCACTCTGAATGCCTCTGTTTTGGAAAATGGGTGGAGTTCCCCTTTGATGGCATTTAATACGGTTAAATCAGTGCTGTGTTTTCTTTCGCGCAGGTGGATAATATAATCATGCTGGATGAGTCGTACACTGACTGGTACATGATTGAAGAAATTAAAAAGTACAGGAAGGAAACAACCAGTGACCCTTTACTGGTCACCATATTACTGAAAGCAACGTAAGCTTTATCTCTCTATCTATATATCCATCTATCTGTCTGTCTGTCTGTCTATCTGTTTGTTTGTTTGTCTGTCTGTCTGTCTATCTATCTATCTATCTGTCTATCTGTCTGTCTGTCTGTCTCTCTGTCTGTCCTGTCTGTCTGTCTGTCTGTCTGTCTGTCTGTCTATCTATCTATCTATCTATCTATCTATCTATCTATCTGTCTGTCTATCTGTATGTCTGTCTGTCTATCTATCTATCTATCTATCTATCTATCTGTCTATCTGTCTGCCTATCTAGCTATCTATCTGTCTGTCTGTCTGTCTGCCTAGCTATCCATCTACCTATCTATCTGTCTGTCTGACTGTCTAGCTATCTGTCTGTCTATCTATCTGTCTGTCTGTCTGACTGTCTAGCTATCTGTATGTCTATCTATCTATCTATCTATCTATCTATCTATCTATCTGCCTATCTGTTTGTCTGTCTATCTGTCTGTCTATCTGTCTGTGTATCTACCTGTCTGTCTGTCTGTCTATCTATCTATCTGCCTAGCTATCTGTTTGTCTGTCTATCTGTCTGTCTATCTGTCTGTGTATCTACCTGTCTGTCTGTCTGTCCGTCTATCTATCTATCTATCTGTCTGTCTGTCTTTCGTTTTAGTAATCTGGATTCAGACGATCCTGAAGATCCCAGAAGTTTTTGTCTGTGTGGCTTTAGTGAGCAGATCCTCAGGTAAGATCAGATTTCATTAAGTAGTGAGTGATTAACCCATAGAAGTCAGAGTCATTACCGAGCGTGTATTAACACAGTACAGCATGAGTAATTTCTGACTTTGAAATTGAAATTCTGTTGAAAATGCAGATTGTAAATGTTCAGTCCAGCTGTTTGTTGTACAAGAGGCAATATTTTATTATGATTTGAAACAGTCTTGGGTAACACTTTACATTAAGGGTCGCAAATTAATTCATAACTATATGCTTAAAAGTAATTAAATACTCATTTTTTATATATTGATTAACTGGTCATTAAGCAATAGTCACTGATTAAATACTTACTAATTAGTAATTGAGTACACTGTAAACTGATTGTTTAGTTAGTCCAGCTTAATTACTCATTAAGTGTGTACTAACTCCTGCTTATTGAAGTGATAATAAACTGATAAGCCTGTTTAAATAAGTAACATGAGAACGAACAAGTACTTATGTGTTAATACTGTTAATTGTCTTTTAAGTAATTTACTGATTTAATGTAATTAATTAATTGCCAATTTGAATATGCTTCAGTTTATTAGCAGTGTAATAAGCAGCAGTTACTACACAGTTGAGTAATTAAACTGTGAACTAATCTATCAGTTTTTAGTATGCTCAATTACTAATTACTAATCACTTAATCAGTGATGCTTAATGAATAATTAATATGTAAATGATGTAGAATTAATGGATTATTACTGTATCATTATCAATTAATTTGCGACCCTTAATGTAAATTGTTTAGTCTTGTTTTGTGGAACGAAAAAACATCCTTTACATTTTGTTCTTTTTTGATGGAAACACTGTTATTACAGATTATAAACAGGATTTAAATGTAATGGTATTTAAACACGTAACAATGTAAATACATTTGAATAGTAAAACAGAGATCTCTCTAAGGAAAGCCGAAGCTGGTCTGGTGTAGTTGTTAGAGTGCTGAGGTGGTCCTCTGTGTTTAGGTTTATTTCAGAGAGAGGGTCCTCCAGGCTCTTGGACCACTTAGAGCAAATTGACAAGCTGCACAACATCCCTCCACCAGCAGGAGGCTCTGCTAAGCCTAAGAGAGCAGCTGACGTCGTCCCATTGCCCGCCACGCCGAAACTCAGGTACCTCCATCATGACATCAACTTGTAAGTCTCAGGACTACTAGATAAGATAACCTTAAGCCAAACAGCGAAACTTCAGGACATGGAAAATTAAAGGTTTGTGTCTAATGACTGTTTTTAAATAAATAATTAAAATAAAAAAGTACACAAAATCGAATGTACACAATCTAGCCTACGAGGCTAACGTATCTCACAAGTAATAAAGCCCTTACCAATTAGCCTTATGCTAACTGTAGGCTAAATAATCACACATTTGCTCTGAACTGTGTGGAGTTCCCTAATAGACATGCTTATGTGGCTTCTGACACTGCTGTTAGAGATAAAAATGGACAGTATTACCCAACATAAAGGGCCCATGTCCTATATTTTTCTTGTATGTTTTCCCTTGAGGTCCATGTATAACATTTAGGTGGGTTTATGTACTAAAAATGGTCATAATTCATTTTTTCATGACCATTTTCCAACCTCTGGTCATCCATTACATTTAAACAGGCTGTTTTTGTTACCGTGCCTTTAAGACTGATTAATATTTAAATGAGCTCTTTTTTGATTGGCTGCACAGTGTTCAAAAAGCACTCAGGACCGAAACACTCTTTATACCTTCAGTGTGAGTGGGCGGGGCTAAACTGCTGTAGGCTGAATAGGTGGACATGTGTAAATCAGTTGATGTGAAGTCAGAGGAACAATGAATTCAAAACAGGCTGTTAGTTTCTGTATATGGACCGAGGAGTGAATTGAATTTTGAAGTCTGAACAGTGTTTACATTTTAATTCAAACCCCTTTTTTCAAAAAAGTGTGGGAAATTCAGTTTTTCATGATGATCTTATGTCTAATCTCTTCAGAAATATCTCCTGAGGAATGAATAACTGGTCCTCAAAGGCCATTTTGACTGGAAACTGAATAGATTAAGGTGGTCTCTGACTTTTGCACAGCACTGAATGAATCGGGGGACGCGGGAAGGTGGTTTAAGTTGTGGCTGCCAAAATTTTAAGCCGGATATGCATAACATGAACAATGACGTCTTCCAAAATGATTGGCATTTTTTCGGTTAAATTTTTTTTGATAATTTATATCAAACACAGCAAGTCATGACATGCTATGAAGTGGTGAGAGACAATATGCACACGTAACTGACACATCAAGCCTCTGATTTGCACCCAGATTTTAAGTTTAATAAACAATATTAGGCAATATTGGCCTATAGCTCTTTTCTTTGCTCCTCCCCCTGCTCAGGTTGTAATGTCACGCCCCCAAAGTGTTGTCAGTGGAAATGATTTGGCGCTTGAATGAAAATATGTCACTAATTTAAACATGTCAATTTTGAAAATGTATGAATAAAACATCAAATATAGACTCCACCCCCACTGCCTACGTCCCTAATAAATCATCACCTCTTCATTCCTAGAGTACAGGGGTCGCAACCCAAATGTTAAGAAGAGACTTTTTGTTCTTTCGACAAAAATCAAACCACCTTGGGAGCCACAACATTATGTCCATTTCACCATCTTGGCTGTAAATATGACTCAGTATGTGCTAGTATAGGATAAAAATATAAGATAAATGAAAACACAGACTTACTTTGCTCTGCTTTAAGCTTTAGCTCAACTATAGCCGCTTTTCTCGCATCTCTGGCAGGAAACTTTTCCTCAAAAGCAGAACAGTTTCTTGTAAAATCTCTCTCAATGTTCAACCTTTTATCGGGCTGAAGTCGCTTCTCATTCACCAGATTCTTGTTCGAATTCTCCTGTTCCACCTTAACTGGCACCTGAGGTGCCAGAATTTAACTGCTGTACCATTTAAGGTAGAACGGGACAATTCGAACAAGAAGCTGGCGAATGAGAAACTGACTTCAGCTTCACGACTTTTAGTGTTTGTCAGTTTCTCGTTGCAGATTAAACGTATCAGGAAACCAGCTGGAGTGATTATAAATGCAAATAAGTCCATTCGTCTCCGAATCATCAATGTTCATCTTAAATCTTTCTCTTTGCCGTTTCGTTAGCTACTAGCTAGACCAGACTGTTGTCAGTGTTGCTATGGTGACCAGCAGTCTGCACTGATCTTCAGGGTTAAAGGGTGAGTTAGCAGTTCTACATTAACTCCAGAGTTTAAGACCATTTATTGTTAAACTGTGTTGAACGATCAGCAGAGCTTTGTTTTACTGTGAAGGAGGATTATTTTATTTTTACCTACAAATCTAATTCTGCTGTGGAGCCACAACAGGGCAGTAAAAGAGCCGCAAGTTGCTGACCTCTGCTATAGAATGTATAAAGCAGCCCACACGCCTCTGTGTTTAGTTGTAGTAGCTGTTGGAATAATTGCTGAACTATTCATTTATGCACTGTAGCTGTTTATATCATCTACAAACTTTTCTTTAATGTTTTAAAACTCCTCCTGTTTCTCATCATCCCTTTTTCATCTCTCCTCAGATGGCGTGGAGTGCGCGTTTTCATCTCCTCTACGTTTCGGGACATGCACGCTGAGAGGGACGTCCTGGTGCGGAGCGTATTTCCGGAGCTGCGGCGGCGTGTGGCTCCACACTGCCTCTACCTGCAGGAGGTGGAACTACGCTGGGGCGTCACCGAGGAGGAGTCCAACCAGGCCACTGAGCTCTGTCTGTCCGAGGTGTGCCGCAGCCAGCTGCTGCTCGCCATTCTGGGAGAGAGATACGGGCAGGTGCCGCCTCGGCCTACGCTGCCTAACCTTCCTCAGTACACCTGGGTAAAGGACAGAACATGGAACGCTGTTCATTGCATACTGTTACTGGCGCACTTCCACACTTGCTCACTACATTCTCCACAAGGGGGAGCTGTTAGCTCTGAAATAGTCTTTTTGTGCATAATTGAAAGGGAGGAAACCCACACCAGCAGGATCTCACGATTTAACATACCGTCATATGGTCAGATTACACGTTTTATTGATTTTCTAAGTGACAATAAATTACACATCCTCTACAGAGAACATACTTTTGCACATTTTAATGCATAATTGCTGTTTATTTTCTGAATTTAACACATTGGGGGAAAAAAATAAAACATAAAATGTAGCCTATGCAAAAATAATGGCACATTTGATGATGTTTTGTTTTTTTTCCACATTTTCTCAGCAAAAAAATAGAAATTCTGCACTAAAATTTGGAGAAAATGCCATATTTTAGTTCCTTGAAAAGGATGTGTTAAGTTCTTTTCATTTTTACTGTATATTTGCAGTCATAAATTATGTGTGTTTTGAAGTCATAAGTAATACTAAACACACACATTGTGAGTACAAGGTATATTCAGTGCCGCTGTTTACTAAATGTGCACTCTGTCAGATTAGCAGTACTTCAGCCGGGACATGGAGAATAGCACATGTAACCTTATTTCTTTTTTGTTTTCCTTTAATGTTTTTCTCTGATCATTATTAGCTTGAATTTCTGACTTTTGTATTCATGAAGCCCAAAAGCCCCAAAGTGAAGATGAGATTATAAGCTACTGAGCAAAACAACAAAACAGAAGCAGTTAGTAAGCTGTGATCAGTCAGAGGATTGTTTTTATGTTTTCCTCTCTTCCAGCTGAACTCGGCCCCCGCTGGCCTGTCAGTCACAGAGATGGAGATTCGTCAGTTTCAGGCTCTGTATCCGGACTCCGCTCAGAGCCGAATGTTTTTCTACTTCAGATCGCCTCACCTGGTCAGGTATGTCCACACTGGATCTCTGTTGGACGGAGATTTCTGATATCTGTGTCTGACAGGGGCACATTTCTGTAACAGTAATGTAATGTGAACAGTAAATAGCGGCTGTTGTTTTTCTGGGTTCAGCTCCGTTCCTGCAGCCTGGACAGGAGATTTCGCATCTGAGTCCAGCGAATCTGCAGCTAAAATGAACAAGCTGAAAGGATGGATCCGGAACAGTCAGTTCAAGATCACAGAAAAGTGAGTCATTTTATCAACGTTGCCCATTAAATGCAGTATGTACCCATAATATGTGCTCATATTATCCCATATTATCTGTAAGGCCAGAATTGCTATGTGCAAGTACCCAAACACTTTAATGCGGTTTTGCGCTTCTCTGCACTGTAAAATGTGTGACAGTGACCCTCATAATGAGTGCATTTACAGGCACTTAATAATCTGACTACTGCAGCAAATCAGATTTTGTCAGTAATCTGATCAACGCGTTTACATGCACCTGAGTAATCAGTTAATGGGGAAACTCCAGGTCTACATGAGTCAGACAGTAATCAGATTTCTACTCTAGAACCAGCCAATAAACTCACAGAATAAGACGTGATGTAAACATTAAGTAAAACTCAAACTTTTTTATAAAACATTGCGCCACTTTACCGGAAAATATGAAGATGAAGAATATTTAAATCCTTCATTTCGACAAGCATGTATTTGGTTTCAGCGTCGCTCCAAAAGTGTTTTGCTGCTTCTCATGGTGACGCCGCTCGCTTATTTCCGGTACCACGTCTGTTTTCGCACATGCGCGGACTGAGAAATCCGAAAGAAATCAGAGTAAGAGTTGACATGCACTGAGAAATCTGATTACTGAGCTAAAATCCAGACTCTTTATCAAATTTCTTCTAGACCTTACTCCGATCTAAGAAATCAGAGCTGTCTTCTCACAGTGAAAGGATGGATGTGGATTGTTTCAGATCTGAAGCAGCTTGATTTTCACTCAGAGATGAAAGCCTTAAGTGCTGTTTATCTGATGGGGGCAGTGTTGGTGTCTACCAGGTCTTCCAGGTGGTTGTTAGGAGGCCCATTTTCTCTGTAGCTTTTAATCATTTTTCACACTCTTGGCTTTCTCCTTCCTTATGCACATAGATTATCTTTTATATTATATCTACTCTTCTCAGAAATATCTCCTGAAAAATTAACATCTTAATTGCCATTTCGACTGGAAATTTAATAAATGAAGGGTGTTCTTGGACTTTAGCACAGCGCTATAAGTATGATGTATAGTTGCCTCTTCATTCTGACAGAGCAAGGAAAGCAGCTCTGCTCTGCTGTCCTCATGTTGTTAGTTATTTGTTGTGGCTGTAGGAATAACAGTAGCTCCCGTTACAGACGCTTTGATTTGTTCTCTATTGCAAAAGCAGGGGTTTGGTTCCAGAGCCGATACTGTGGGTGGAGGTTAGCCCAACTATATCTAGTTGGTACCTCTCAACCTCCCGCACAAGCTCCGGCTCCTTCCCCCCCAGTGAGGTTACATTCCACGTACCAAGAGCCAGTTTCTGCCGCAGGGGCCTAGGCCACCATGGGCCCCCGTGCAATCTCCCACTGCCTGTACGGCACTGCACCACTCCCCCATGCTGGACCTTGCGGGTGGTGGGCCCACATGGTCCCCCCACTTTGCCTCTTCGGGCTGAGCCCAGCCGGGTTACGTGGGCTGCCCGGCCACCAGGTGCTCGCCGAGGGACGCTACCCCCAGGCCTGGCTCCAGGGGTAGGTCCCGGTGACCCTCTCCCGGGCAGGGTACACGATGTTCTGTGTCCGTTTATCATGGAGGTTTTTGGATCGAGTTAGTCTGGCTCTTCACTCCAGACCTGTTCGCCCTGGGAGACCCTACCAGGAGCATGTTGCTCCCGACGACTTAGCTCTGAAGATCCCTAGACCACACAAGCCCTTCCGCCACGACATGGCCCCGATCCAGGAAGGGTTCCCGATCCAGGAAGGGCCCCGATCCAGGAACCGAATGTTTTAAAACAGAACAGTAAAATAAAAGCCTGGAGACGAGACGGGGTGTGTGGAGTCAGTACAGCTTAGAACATATCATTTCAGTGGATTATGGTTCAGTTATGTTCCCTGACTAAAGGGACTGAGATGTCACCCCAGTGACAAGAGGGGCACTGTCCCAGTGACAGTTTAGTCCCTTTATTTCTGAGAGTGTATCTACAGTGGTATGTGCTCCCCTGGCCAAACGACATGTTTTGTTGACTGTAAATTAACTCGTTCTCTACAGAGAACAACTTTTTCTGTAAATCGTAGTGCACAGTTTCTATTAATTTGCTGTGTTTGCAGAGGCTGCATTTTGTTGTACTTTTTTCAATATGCTAAATTCAGAAACCAGCCGACTGTGCATTAAAACAAATAGAAAATCAATAAAACATAATTTGACCAGGTCGCCCAAACTTTTGAATTTGACTGTGGGTGCTTTACTTAAAAGCACTTTTTTGTACTTGCTTGGTTGCTGTGTATGTTATTCTCCTCACAGATCTGTGATGTTTTCTTTGTGTTCTCTGCAGTTACCCATGTGAGTGGGGTGGTGTTGTGGATGGACGGCCATATGTTAAAGGTCTGGAGGACTTTGCGAGAGCAGCGATGGAGGATCTGTGGGCTGCCTTACAGAAACTATATGTGGAGGTCAGGATTCGTATCCAAACTATGTCAGAAAATGCTGTTTCTTCCCATTTGAGAGACTTTCTGTCATTGTGGCTTAATCATAAGACTTGAACATTAAACAGTAAAAAGTATGCAAATCCATAGTCAAATCTTTCCTCATAATGTAAAGTTTTAGGTTTCTTGGTTCCTCCTTTGATTAAAAATTTGTCTGGTGGTGTTTAGGAAGAAGATGAGGCTGATCTGACGTCGGAGATTACCGAACAGGAAGTGCATCAGGATGCCCAGCAGCGCCACTTCCATGGCAGAGGGAAGCTGATTTCTGTGGCAATAGAGAAAGTCCAAGAGTGTCAGCAAAAAGGAGGCATACTGTTGGTGGAGGGCGCTCATGGAGAGGGCAAGACTGCATTCATGGTAAACAGTGTTTATGCAAATCATGCACACACAGACAGACAGAATAAATAAACAAGTAATAAGCTCCCCGGACAAAAAATGAGTCACGTAGGGCTCCTGCAGATGGCGCTGCACGAGGATGATCAGGCTATAAATTCCTGCAGGATGTGCGACGGGATTCATAGATTGAGAAAAGGTGGTACAGTGCAGTGAACGTCTCATTCGATGTGTGGAAAATGAGTTACAAAGCAGATGTTAATGATTGGCAAAAAGGAGTGACTGCATTTGGGTGCCAAAGGCCACAGTGTGAGGGAAGTAGCTGAATTTGCAAGTGTATTGAAGCGTATGGTCAAATGGGTCAAAAATCCCAGTCTACAAGAAATTCTCGTCAGAATTGTGGCCGAAAGATGAAACTGATGGACAGGGACCGCTGGCGTGTTTCATGGCCCGTGAATAAAAATCACTTTCAGCGCAGGTTCTTCACAACCAATTTCTGAAAGAACTCTCCACAGGGACCTGCATACCATGAACAGAGTTCAGAGTTGCCAGTTACAGTGGGCGAAGAGACTCAAAAACTGGACTGTTCATGACTGGAAACGTGTTATCTGGTCAGATGAATCTGGTTTCTGCCTGGGTGTGAATGATGCTTGGCATCACGTTCATTGGAGACCTCAGGAAGCCTTCAATGAGGACTGTGTGCAAGATGTGGTTCAAGCTGGAGGAGCTCTGTGATGTCCTGGGGTTGTTTTAATTATGTGGAAATGGGTCCTTTGGTGGAGATGACTACCTGGAATAAGAAATAAGATGCCAGCATCCACGAAATCTGGCCAAACTGCGCAGTTCTTTGCAAAAGTGGCTGAACATTGATGTCACCTACATCCCAAAACTTGTCCAGTCCAGGCCAAATGGAATTGCAGCTGTTATTCGTGCTCCTGGAGGTATTACACGCTATTAGGTACGTTTAAGTCACAGATGACTAATTTTTTGTCCAGTGAGCTTATTAGGACAACTATAGTCATATGACACCTTTTTAAGATTACAAAACCGAGAAAGACAATACAATTTAGTAAAATACAAGGAGAGTTTAATGACAAAGACACTCAGTAAAGCTTTAAATTATTTTTCCCTTTCTCACTGATTCCTTCAGGCTGGCCTGACTCATGCCCTCAGGACTCCGGGCAAGTATAGAAAAGAGCCAGTTTGTGATGTCATATCCTATTCCACAGCCGCTAGCCAATCAGCTTCCAGTGTAGAGCACCTGCTACGCTGCCTCGTCCAATGGCTGAGGAGGAAGAAGGAGCTGGTGGAGGAGCTATCTACCAGCACACCTTACAGGTCAGGAGAGAAGATGTAATGACAACGTATAATGTACTTAAATATAATACTACATAAGGATTAAGCTAAAAATCCAATGTAGAGATCCGAAACAACACAAGCTGACCAAATACTTATGGACTGACCAATTACTTATGGACTGAGCTGTTTTTAGTTTCTGTTCATTACCATGTAACTTCAGGTTCTGCAGATCATCATATTAACAAGTGTAGTAATTCACAAAAGTATAAACTACAGTTTTCAATTAATGAGTCAACATTGTTGATGATGTGAAGTGAATAGAATAGGTCCCAGAATAGATCCTTGAGGAACTCCTTTTACAATTTTAAGAAAATTTGAGAGTTTTCTTGAAGAGTATTTCTTGAAATTGACCTATTCTGTTAACTGTATATTGTCAACAACTAATAACATGCTTGCTGACCAAGGCCAGTAAAGTGCTGATGGTCAACTGTGTAAAAGGCTTTTGGCAGGTTGAATAAAAAGAACAGATCAGACAGTAATAGTTGTCAGTTGGTGTTATGAGAATATTTGTTGTCCAGTGTGATGAGCAGAGCATGTATTTGTTTTTATTCCTGTTACAGAGACCTGCTGTCAGAGTTTCTCTCACGCATAACTGAGCCCAGGAAAGGCCACGCCTTAGCCTTGCTAGTTGATGGGGCAGATCTTATTCATGATGCCAGAGGTCAAGGAGTTTCCGAATGGATCCCAGAACGCCTTCCCAAAGTAAGATACACAGTATCCTCAGTACTGTGCGAATGTCAGAGACCTCCCTTCATTATTTTAATTTCCGGTCAAAACGGCCGTTTAGTACAAGCTCTTCATTTTTAGGGGATATTTCTGAGGACATTAGATGTAAGGAAGTACGCTTGCATAAGGAAGGAGAAAGTCAAAGGAAAGCAAATGAAACAATAGGACTTTCCAAAAAAAATGGATATAGACAGAAAAGAAAGAAAATTTGCCAATCAAACCAAGAATGGGCTGGAGGTTAGGGAACCAGCCTCGTGACCGGAAGGTCGCCGGTTTGATCCCCTGAGGACAGTACGTGACTGAAGTGCCCTTGAGCAAGGCACCTAACCCCCAACTGCTCCCTGGGTGCTGTGGATAGGGCTGCCCACCACTCCGGGCAAGTGTGCTCACTGCCCCCTAGTGTGTGTGTTCACTAGTGTGTATGTGGTGTTTCACTGCACAGATGGGTTAAATGCGGAGGTGAAATATCCCTGTTGTGGGACTAATAAGGGTCACGTAAAGGTGGAGGTTTGGAAAAACATCCCTGCAGATTTGTTTGAAAGACTGAATGCAAGACTGAAAAAATGGAAAGGCGAAGGAAACTGAATACTGCAAAAAATATTATAGATTTAGTTATTTCTGTTAAATTTTCTGTTAAATTTCTATTTATTTAATGGACATTTTTGGCTGCAAATGAAATAAATGATGGATGGTCTCTGACACACTCTGTGCTACATCAGTGCATCGCTTCAGTGTGATGTCACAACCATGAATACATATTCAGCATGTTTAGTCTGCAGCAGCTTAGCTCTGTTTTTGGAGCATGTGTGTTCTGGGTAGTGAAACTTTAGCAATGTTTACACTTATTTAAAGGACACAAGGGTGTTTTTTGTTCTGTCACACAGGTCCTGTTTAAACACTCTTCTTAAACACACTTCTTCTTTTCCATGATGTTCTTCTCAGGGTGTCTGTCTGATCCTGAGTGTCACCAAGGATTCCGCCCTTCGGACCACCATCAGCAAAAAGAAAGGCTCTGTGGTGTTTCCGCTAGGACAGTTGCCTCTGCCGGACAGGAAGGAGATTGTCCAGACGGAGCTGAGTGTGTACGGAAAGAAACTGAGTGATTCTGCATTTAATAACCAGGTACGGCTCAGGGACCCCAACTCGCATTCAGAACCATAAATACAGTAAATACAGTGAATACGGACTGCAGCATGTGTTTCTGTTTGCGTCTGTAGCTTCAGACGCTGCTGATGAAGAAAGGAGCCGCGAGTCCGCTCTACCTGCACTTAGCCTGCGAGGAGCTCAGGAGCTACGCCTCCTTTGAAACGGTGAGAATTGACTGTTGATTTCTGAGAAAGTCCCACCTCTCAGGCTTTTTCTCAGAACACGATGCTTTTGAGATGAGAACATCAGTCTGGCCTTGTATGGCTGATAATGGTGATGTGATGACAAAGAGGAATATGATGATGTCTTGTAGATGAAGGAGAATCTGCAGACTCTTCCTCAGTCTCTGTGCGAGTTGGTGAAGCACAGTCTGCTCAGGCTGCAGGCTCTGTACGGGGCAGCAGGCCTGGACTGGACACTGGGAGCACTGACCGTCAGCTCCACTGGTAACTGAGTACTGCTGCTTTAGTTTTACCTTTAAAGTGGTAATCTGGCCAAAAATCACATTTCTAGATTTTTCCCACGTTTCACCAAATGAAGTCAATCAACTAAGAAAAGTTTGCTTCTTTAGCTTTAGCACTGGAGCTCCTGTAACACCTGCACTAAACTAGATTCAACCTTCTGAACAGAGGCACATAAACAACTCTGCCCTACTTACACTGCAAAAAATAATATCTGAACAAGTGAAAACTTCTTAAAAGTAGTCAATAAATCTAATATCTCTCATTATGAGGCTGTTGTAAGAATATTATAAGATTATTCCACCTGTTTCTGTACATTTTTACTTGTTTTAAGTGATTTTATCTGGTGAAAGTGTCTTATTCCATTGGCAGATTAGTTTACTTGTTTAGAGAAATAATGAAGATAATTTTGCTCATTTCAAGAAATAATGATTAAAACAAGGAACATGATCTGACAATGAAATGACACTTTTATAAGATAAAACTGCTTAAAAACAAGTAAAAATATCTAGAACTAAGTTATTTTAATTCCAGCACTCTATATTAACATAGTTTGGCCCGAACGATTGCTCATCTGTGTGTGCACTGTGGTGCCATTAAACTTCCTAGACAGCGATACCCTAAATCCTGGAATTAAGAGGCAAAATACAGTATTACCCTTAAGTACCACACACTGCCGTATTACACACCCTGAAGTAATATATTAAAATAATACACCTATTACACTGTGTACACCTGTGTATTATGGTGCTAACTGCATGCCTAAATCATCACATGCTTGTCTCAGTCTGTCTGGAGTTGTTCAGTATCTCTAATAGACTTTATTATGTTGTTAATGACACTGCATGACTTACTGATACATGATTCTTGACCCTGCTTTAACTATAATCCAGCAAAACTGGACCCCAGTGGTAACCCACGATCAGCTGTACCACCATTCTACCATTGTCCACAGTGAGAGTCTGTTTCACAGTCCTGTTAACAACGCTCTGAATCTGATCTACAAAAGAGATTTAATTCCATTCATTGTCACTGTTTCCTCTCCGCAGGTCTGAGAGAACGAGAGCTGTACGCTCTGCTGAACCTGTGCAGTGACCTCAACTCCACTCCGGGCCCACTGACCTGGCAGAAGGCCCTAAAACTCGCCAGAAAACCCAAGAGCCGAGTCCCCATGGCTGCCTTCTCCCAGCTGGCGCAGAGTTTACACGGGTGAGCAGTGCAGCGCAGCATGGCGTCTGGTCTCATTATGAGTTATGCAAAGCAACAATGCAGTGAATTCTTCTGATACAAGCGTCTGTAATTCAGTCTGGAATTCCCTTGCTATTAAACTCTTTGAGCATATGAGTTTAGTTTCAACATTAACTTCTGTCAGTGTTACTTCTTTGATTCCCATGCGCTTTATTTTGCCCATCATTAGTTTAAAGACATCCGTATTTTGAATGGTATAGACCATTTTCACACTTCCGTGTTCGTTAATCCAGAAGAGTAAATGGGAGCGTTAAACGGTTTCCAGTCACACTGTAAACAATGGCCGATACTGCCCGAAATCATTGCTGCGTTCCTGATGCACCAATAATTCAACTGAACAGCCTCACCTGAGTTTCCACTCGATCAGGTTTAAAAATGTTTAGCTTCAGCTGAAAAGCTCCGCTCGTCATGTGTCACATTAAAATGAGGTAGCCAATCAAAAAGGGAGTAACGCTGAGAGTGAAAACGGGCTGTACAGGACAGATTCACTCAGATTTGTGATTAAAAATCCTCAAAGACAAACATTCATTCACTGCTGTGTTTAAAATCCTGAGATGGTCGTCACTGAGGTTTGATTAAAAACCCTGAGAAACTGACTCCGCTCCACTGCGGCTCGGTGATCAGTAACTGTACTGTAGAAATACGACGCTGTGTCTCTGAGCTGGTTATGGTGTTCAGGGCTTTTGCTAATGTTTACATGGACTGAGTAAGAAAAACTAAACCTGGTGGACTTTTTCTCCAGAATGAAGCGCAGTGAGAGCAGGTCTGTTTAGGGATGTGTGATGTGGTGTTGAACATAATAATCCTCTCCATTCCTTCTCCGCAAATTCCTCACAGTTCCGATGCGGATTTTTGTGGAATACATTCTGCCGTCTGAATGCAGCTGCTTTGATATGGAGATGCGCTTTCAGACGTGGGATTCGTGGCTCCGTTGTCTGCTGCAGTGTACTGTGTTTACCGGGCTGCCCCAGAGCTCCACACAGTGGAGTCAACAGCGCCAGACGCGCAGATTCATACAGAGTCCGAATGGTTGGACTTCAGACTAGCCTTTCTGCTCATGTTAGAGGAGCTACCAGACATGCAAACTGCTCTTCTATTAACTGAGCTGAGGCTTAAGGACGATTTTTGAGGGATGCTGAAAACCAGAGACCCTCTATTGCTGCTCTGTTCATCGGTGCAGGCGGAAGTTCGATAAAGCTGCTATTTACAGCCGGATGTGACGACGCAGTGACTGTGAAAAAGGTCCATAACAGGCTGAATCCATTGAGCGAAACAAAGTCAAGGCGCACAAAACACAACCGCCCCTTATTCATTACAGTGACATAAAAGGAGCACAGATTTGCCATACGAACATCTTCATGAAACTTTCGTATGGTGTAGATATGAGCAGAGATTTGAGCACAAATACTGATTCAGGTCTTTGGTGCGTGAAATCAAGCGCCAGCCTATCAGCACCTAATTTACATATCATTTACATGAAGCACACCCTAATGCATGCAGATATTTCCACAGGGAGCCAGTAACAGCACTCAGCGGCTCGTGAGCCAATGGCTGTGCTCCTAGGCGGTGTTTGGCGTTGAGCATTGGGTGCACTGCTCCCCCCACTGATGACTGGAAAGAATAAAATGTGAAAGAGGGTAGGATGATGTGATTGTTTGGTCTGACTGTTTTCCTAAAATAACACATTTAAATGCTGTATTAATCCTGTATGAGATGCTCCTGCATTGGCCGTGTTTTGTGTTGTTTATTTTGTGGGCGGAGTCAGTCATATAAAACAGAAGCACAGTATAATATGTCTGTAAATGGAACTTGGAATAACCGCAACATTTGTTTATATCATTGTGCAGTAAAATAATATTGTCCACTATTGGACAGGACTGCTATGTGCACAAATTTTTAGTATTGTTCTTTTCAGTTTGATGTCATTATTATTGGTATTTTAGATGATATTGATGGCCGTTTTGGTTAATTAACGGAAATTCAAACTTTTTTCAGGTTGTTTAATCTTTACACTCGTTGCAAATGTGAGTTTGATGAATAACAAAACTCTCGATGGATTGTGTGCGCATAAAGAGCTGATGTCTTACCGGACTGCTGGCCTGGGTTGTTGGATAAAAGCTGAAAAACATCAGTTGCAGTGACCCTCGCTGGATTTGCTCGTCTTAACCTTTTACTTTAACTTCAGCTGTTTCTTTACAGAGATAAAAATAATATATGCACGTTCTGTGTGTGTGGTCTGTCACTTTGTCTCGCAGTTTAATCCGTCCGTCTGTCTCTCATGAGCCGGACGAGCCCCTGACTCTGACCATCCCGGATGTGAGGTCAGCTTTTGAGCAGCTCTACCTTTCCACCGAGGAGGACAGAGCCAGAGCACACCTGATATTGGCAGGTAAAAGGAAAACACCAGCGTTTTTCAACCATATCTCTGTCTGCACACTAAAGCACACTGTTGGTTACCGCTGGTAATTTATGCATTATATAACTTTGATGCATTTCCTGTGTTATGAAAATAACAGAGAACTTTAGAAACTTGACGCTCAGTTATAATAGAAGTAAACAGACAACTGCTGAAATAGGCCTTTGAAATTCAGCTGGTCCACTCTAAAAGTGAACGCCAGTTAGAGAATTTCTTACCAAAGCTGTTCTTCTCAACTTTTATCCAACTTTCAAACACTGGAGCGACACAGTTCTGGTTACTTTTGGTGTTCCTAAGGTTTTCCATGGCTATCAGGCGAAGCCTGTGAGGAGGCAAATCGTATAACTTAGAAAACTATTGTGTATCTCGATGTAAAAGCCAGTATAACGTTTTCACAGTTTTTTCTGAGGCTGTTTGGTCTGATGTTCAGTTTCACCAGATCTGAGACATGACGATGGTTTGTCCCGAGACTCGGAGTGGTTTAACCTGAGGAATGATGCCGTTCTGACTCTGAGGACTGAGGCTGTCCTAAAATGTACCCGTAGCCCCACCTAGTGCTAATTAACATACATTTGCATGTTGGTCAACTTTACAATGAAAAAGCAAAGTGGGAAATGAAAAGTAAATCTCCAGCAGGTGGCGCTGATGTTCGTTTGCATTTGCCTTTTTATTCTGACGCTTAAAGCGCGTCCACACCAAAAACTGAATCACAAACTGTCACTTTGCTGTAGATTTATCCATTTTGGCTGGGATTTGCCTCCCATACCCACACTACTCAGCTGCTAACAAATTAGCTGAAATGCCTCTGTAAACTAGTCCCATCTCGGAAAGACAAATTATACAGATTCACAGCTTTAAAACGTGAGGGCTCTTAAAAGGACCCACGCTTTAGATTCTGACTTAGTAGTTATCAAATAATTTCTAGATATTATTTAACAGTTTTATTCCTTTTTTAGTCAGATTATTTTAAAGGGCCCACGTCCTATTTTTCACTTTACATATCGCTGCTGTCGGAACAAAACCTCGTATGTCCATTTTGGTCATTTTTTTAGTTTTTGACATAATGTGGAAGTGCCTGGTGTCCCTTACATTGTGTGTAAATTTCATGATGAATGAACTGAAAGAAACGGCCCAAAATTACATGGAAAAAATGTCTGGTTCCATTGACTTACATTAAAAGTAAGGTATGTTTTTTCTTTCTTCTGTAAATTACTATCTTGGAGATACGAGGTTTGGAACTGACAGCAGTGATGTTTACGTTTCTGTGGAGTTAAATTAATGCCATTAGAAATTTAAATGTAAAAGCAAAAATCTGAACTTGAATACTGTTATTTTGAATCTAAAATTGAATTCTGAGCTAAAATTTAATTTTTAGGTTTGTAGGAAAACAGAATATGACCTGCATTTGATAAACTGCAGTAACAGGTGGGCTACAGTTAGTCACTGCAAGTGCACCTGTATGGAAGGTGTTTCCGATAAAATGGCCAGTGACTGTAGATACTATAGATGTTACTTTGAAAGTGAATCTGAAAATGTGAATTAATAGAAAATTGAATGCTTTTTAGAAGATGAAGTTCATTCACTTGTACGTCACCAAGCGTAAAATTCAGGTTCAGATTTTATTTTGCTCCCTTACAAACCTTAAAATTCAATTTCAGATGATACAGATTTAAAATAGTGATATCCAAAATCAGATTTTTTCATTTAGATTCAGATTTCTAGTGACATTAATCTAACTCCACAGTTTTCCATGATAAGGTCTCGTTAAGGTGAGTAATATTGATTAATGAGTTTTCTGTTCTGAATTACTCTCAGCAGTAATCGACTGTACGCTGCAGTTTCAGCCGACAGAGATTAGGTTGAAAAATGTCGGACTATCCCTTTAAGTTCTGTACTAGACTGTAGAGGTTACACACCATGCATGTAAGCTGAATGCGCTGTGTTTTATGCAGTTCTCCTCTGGGTGCGGTCGGACCCTCACGGTAAAGACACGTTTCTTCACTGTGACGCTGACACTCTGGTCCATCTGCCTGCCCATCTGGTCAGTGCTCTTCCTCTTCACTTTAGCACTTTGGTCTGTTTCTCCAACATTACAAAACTCACTGTGGTCTTTTTCTTCACTCTCAGACGCTCAGTGGTCAGTGGCAGCCTGTGCATTTTCTGCTTTCCAGTTACTACTTCCTGTTTGCTAATGTGCGCCATGGACTCCTGCACCCACTACTGGAAACCTACATCCAGTTTGGTAGGAAAAATGTTTTTACACTTCCTTTTTTCTACAGTAATTGTCCATTTAATCAGCTCCACTGACCGTATAGTCTCACTTTGTAGTTCTACAGTTACAGACTGTAGTCCATCTGTTTCTCTGATACTTTGTTAGCCCCCTTTTACCCTGTTCTTCAGTGGTCAGAACCCCCAAAGAGCAGGTACTATTTGGGTGGTGGATCATTCTCAGCACTGCAGTAACACTGACGTGGTGGTGGTCGTGTTAGTGCGTGTTGTGCTGGTCTGAGTGGATCAGACACAGCAGTGCTGCTAGAGTTTTTAAACACCTCAGTGTCACTGCTGGACTGAGAACCAAAAATATCCAGCCAACAGCGTCCTGTGGGCAGCATCCTGTGACCACTGATGAAGGACAAGAGGATGACCAACACAAACTGTGCAGCAGCAGATGAGCTATCGTCTCTGACTTTACATCTACAAGGTGGACTGACAAGGTAGGAGTGTCTAATAGAGTGGACAGTGAGTGGACACAGTGTTTAAAAACTCCAGCAGCACTGCTGTGTCTGATCCACTCAGACCAGCACAACACACCACCACCACATCAGTGTTACTGCAGTGCTGAGAATGATCCACCACCCAAATAATACCTGCTCTGTGAGGGTCCATGGGGGTTCTGACCACTGAAGAACAGGGTGATAAAGTATGCAGAGAAACAGATGGACTACAGTCTGTAATTGTAGAACTATAAAGTGAAACTATATGGTCAGTGGAGCTGATAAAATGGACACTGTGTGCAGCAGATTTCTCTCCGGTCAGTTTACTGACTTCTTTTATTGTTATGTTTATTAGTGAAGAGAATCGAAGCTGACCAGCAGAACTGGACTGAGCCATCAGGTAGGCAAGTTTCATCATCCTCAGCTTATGTGTCCAAGTCAGTTCATATCACGTCATAGTGATGTCATATACTGCCGTGTGCAAAAGTTTGGGCACCCCTGGTCAAATGGCATGTTTTTGTTGAGAATAAGTTGCACATCCTCTACAGAGAACACAGCACATATTAATGCACTGTTACTGTTTATCTGCTGAATTTAACATACTGGGGGGGGAAATAACGTAGCCTGTGCAAACGTTATGGCACACACTGCAAAAAATGATATTTTAGCGAGTGAAAACATCTTAAATGTAGTCAATATGTCTACTATTTCTTATTATGAGACTGTTGTAAGAATATTGTGAGATTATTTAACTTATTTCTAGACATTTTTACTTGTTTTTAAGCAGTTTTATCTTATAAAAGTGTCTTATTTCATTGGCAGATCATGTTTCTTGTTTTAATCATTATTTCTTGAAAAAAGCAAAATTATCTTCATTATTTCTCCAAACAAGTAAACTAATCTGCCAATGGAATAAGACACTTTCACCAGATAAAATCACTTAAAACAAGTAAAAATGTACAGAAACAGGTGGAATAATCTCATAATATTCTTACAACAGCCTCATAATGAGAGATATTAGATTTATTGACCACATTTAAGACGTTTTCACTTGTTAAGATTTTATTTTTTGCTGTGTATTTTTGTGATCAGGACAAACTCAAAGACGAACAATCAGAGATTATGGGGTGGAGTCATACAGAACTCCTAGCCTGTTAGCTGATCTGTTTATAAGCTGTTTTTCTTTCAGATGTTCTTTTCACACAAACAACACATTCAGATGTTTTATATAGGTTAAAGTTTGGATGCACTTTCCATGTTTTAGTTTTCCTAACCATGAATGTGTTTTGTGTCTCTGCTAAACAGTCAGTTTGTGATGAATATTTAAAAAAAACAAAAAACAAAACTAAAAATCCTGCCAACTTGGATTTTGGATCTTTGAAAATTCCTTTTAAAAGAATTTTTTTATCATGTCTCAGTTAGTGATCATTACAATTCCACAAACTCAAGAGCTCCAATGAATCTGATGTAGACTTTTTCTTAGGACCTTTCTCAAGAACTCTTACAAAAACTTAGGATCTTGGTGAATGAGGCCCAATAATCTCTCTAAAGTTCTGTTAACTTACTTTTTAAAGTTTAATTCAACTTAAAATTTTAAGGCAGCCCAGTAGTCAGTTTCTTTGAGTTTTTTTCTAAGATATTTTTTTTTTTGCAGTGCATTTCTTCAGTCAAATTCAGACAAATTCAGTTTTCCACATTGCAAAAAATTGTATCTTGTCAAGTAAAATTATCTTAAAAAGTCAATAAATCTAATATTTCTCCTGTAGAGATTGTTATAAGCATAATTGACGATTATTTACTTTATTTATAGATATTTTTTGACTTGTTTTAAGTGATTTTATTATGTAGAACCATCTCACTATATTGGCAGATAATGTTGCTTGTTTTAAGAAATGTGCTTGAAATCAGCAAAATGATCTGCCAGTGTAGTGAGATCATTTTACTCAATAAAATTAACCAAAAACATGTAAATGGTGTCTAGAAATAAGCTAGATAATTTTATAATAAGTGCACAACCATCTCAAAATGGGAAATATTAGTAATATAAACTAGATTTAAGCCCTTTATCTGTTACAAAATATTCACCCAAGGATATTTCCTGATATTCTATTCCATATTATTAAGAATTCTGTGAACAAGAAGTTATTAAATAATAAATAATAGACTGTAATTGTCGGTTTACATATTCGGTTATTTGCCCTGAGATTTGATCTACACTTTTGAAGATGAATTCTGGATATAAAAAAAAAACTAAAGAAATGTTAGATGTGTCCAGAATGATGAGCAGAGCTGTAAAATGTTCTAAAATGACGAAGAAAAGTTCTTATCTGGATACAGATTTTTTATTAACTAGAACTTCTAACATTTCTTTAGTTTTATTTACAGCTTCTTAGAGTCCTACAGATTATCTGAAGGCTGTGAACAAACATACTAAACTCATTTTATACATTGATCTGCAACAACATTGGATGTGTATTATTATAATCCAAACTTTCCAGACTTTTGAAGGCTAGAATAAATAAAATAATATATAAATTATTATATAAATCATTATTGAACACTGCAAAAAATCATATCTTAACAAGTGAAATCTAATATCTCTCATTATGAGACTGTTGTAAGAATATTATAAGATTATTCCACCTGTTTCTGTACATTTTTACTTGTTTTAAGTGATTTTATCTGGTGAAAGTGTCTTATTCCATTGGCAGATTAGTTTACTTGTTTCGAGAAATAATGAAGAAAATTTTGCTCATTTCAAGAAATAATGATTAAAACAAGAAACATGATCTGCCAATGAAATAAGACACTTTTATAAGATAAAGCTGCTTTAAAACAAGTAAAAATGTCTAGAAATAAGTTAAATAATCTCACAATATTCTTACAACAGTCTCATAATGAGAAACAGTAGATATATTGACTACATTTAAGATGTTTACACTCGCTAGGATATAGGATATATTTTTTTTTGCAGTGAATATCGTTATATTCAATAAATGTGTGCTTATTTTTGGGATGAAAGAAAAAATAATATTAAAACAGTTTCTTAAAATAACTCAGAATCATAAAAATATCCCTATCAAATCTGGTATATTCACATTAATTATAATAATATTAATTAATAGTTGTTGTTGTTAATTCCTTTGCATGAGAGGGAGAATGATGCATGTAATCTAATGTGTTTACTGTATGAATATTTTACAGGTGATTTAAATGAGCTTCAGGCCTGTCACTCTTTCCTGAAGCGCCACGCCCCCCTCCTCTCCCATTGGCCAGCTCTGTTTGTGCAGCAGGCTCTGAACGAAGCGGGCAACTCATCAGCTCATGCCTGGGCTCGGAGGCTGGTGAAGGAGGGAGGAGTTAATGTGGTCTGGAAGCTGAACTACACCGAAGAGCTACAGCGAGAGACGGGGTAAGACTGACCGCTTCACCGGTACGCCGATCAGGCATAACATATCCTTGTTTCTACACTCATTGTCCATTTTATCAGCTCCACTTACTATATAGGTGCACTTTGTAGTTCTACAGTTACAGACTGTAGTCCATCTGTTTCTCTGATACTTTGTTAGCCCCCTTTTACCCTGTTCTTCAGTGGTCAGGACCCCCATGGACCCTCACAGAGCAGGGTGGATCAGGGTGGAGTTTTTAAACACTGTGTCCACTCACTGTCCACTCTGTTTTTGGTTGGCAGACTATTCTCGGTCCAGCAGTGACACTGAGGTGTTTAAAAACTCCAGCAGCACTGCTGTGTCTGATCCACTCAGACCAGCACAACACACACTAACACACCACCACCACGTCAGTGTTACTGCAGTGCTGAGAATGATCCACCACCCAAATAGTACCTGCTCTGTGAGGGTCCATGGGGGTCCTGACCACTGAAGAACAGGGTAAAAGCATTTTTAACATTAATGCAGTCTTTCACATTATCCGTATGACTGACTGTCGCTCAGTTTTGTTGGTTTTGGTTACAGTGAGCTGGTGTCCACCTTCCAGTGGGATCCGTCCTGCGTGGCTCTGAGCCCTGGTGGGGGGTGTGTAGCGGTGGGCACAGAGCAAGGAACTCTACACTTTATCCACACGCACACGAACCAGGTACCACCTGCTGCTCAAACTCAGCCAAAGTTAACGTGTTAATAAGACGCAATGTATTCAGATATAATCTGTGATTGTGTCACTCTTGTTCAAATACAGCTTTAACATAGCTTTTAAAGTGATACTTTCAGCAGACTGTGCTGGACAGTGCTCACCGAAGAGCTGTGGATAAATCAACAAGTAGACTCGAGAGCGTCCACTGTAACAAGAAGCCACAAACTGTATGAACGATAGTGAGAGCTAACTATAAAAATGTCTCGGCAAGTGAAATCATCTAAAATCAAGCCAATACATCTAATATTTTTCATTTTAAGATTTCACATTTTGAGGTTGTAAGAAAATTAGATCATTTAGCTTATAGTCTTGTTTCAAGTCATTTTATCTAGTGAAATGGTCTTAATCTATTATTTCACTCAGAATGACGATTTCACTACACTGCAAAAAATAATCTCTTAACAAGTGAAAACTTCTTAAATGTAATCAATAAATCTGAGATTTTTCATTATGAGGCTGTTGTAAGAATATTATAAGATTATTCCACCTGTTTCTGTACATTTTTACTTGTTTTAAGTGATTTTATCTGGTGAACGTGTCTAATTCTAATTTCTCTTATTTTAAGAAATAATGCTTAAGACAAGGAACATGATCTGCCAATGAAATAAGACACTTTTATAAGATAAAACTGCTTAAAAACAAGTAAAAATGTCTAGAAATAAGTTAGATAATCTCATAATATTCTTACAACAGTCTCATAATGAGAAATATTAGATATATTGACTACATTTAAGGTGTTTACACTCAATAAGACATCATTTTTTGCAGTGTAGATAAAATTACTTAAAGTAAGAAATAAGTTAAAAAAATTACATATTTTTACAACAATCAAAAAATGGAAAATATTACGTAAATTGACTTGATTTAAGTCATTTTTAGACATTAAGACATTTTTTGCATTGTACAACGCAGAGGAATTGATGATATATATGATACACTCACTGGTTAAAACATGCAGCTGCTCTTACTGGACATCGATGATAAAACATGATTTTCAGGTTCAGGTTCTACATTTGCACAATAAAAATAACACTATGTAACACCATTAATCTCCATATGTTATTGTAATCATTTGGCAGCCGTAGTTTAAACACATAAAACTCATTTTCTGTTTCTACTGGAACAATTTCTACCACAAAAATATGCTTTTGAACAGTGGACAAAGTCACTAATACACTGCAAAAAATAATACCTTAACAGGTATAAGCTTACTAAATATTATAAGATTATTCCACCTGTTTCTGTACATTTTTACTTGTTTTAAGTGATTTTATCTGGTGAAAGTGTCTTATTCCACTGGCAGATTAGTTTACTTGTTTTGAGAAATAATGAAGATAATTTTGCTCATTTCAAGAAATAATGATTAAAACAAGTAACATGATCTGACAATGAAATAAGACACTTTTATAAGATAAAACTGATTAAAACAAGTGAAAATGTCTAGAAATAAGTTAAATAATCTCACAATATTCTAACGACAGTCTCAGAATGAGAAATAGTAGATATATTGACCAAATTTAAGTTTACACTCACTAAGACATCATGTTTTGCAGTGTATAATCAAGTCTGTTTGAGGTTTCTGAACGACTCCTCATGGTGTGAACAGTGTGAGGTGTGCAGTTAGCACAGTGCTAACTGGAGTACATAAGATGGTCAATGTCACTTGTTGGCTACACACTGATACATGACCAGCCTGTTACGACACTGTGGGGAAAACTTTGCCTCTTTCTCTCAATACAGGAAGTGAAATCGCTGGTTAGTAACTGTGACGGCATCTCCAGCTGTGTGTTTCTGGATGAAGGTGTTCTGGGCACCACGTCCTACGATGGTCAGGTGGAGCTGTGGGACATTAACAGCGGCAGCAGGTGAAACGTCCCACTGCAGTGTCCTCTGCTTTGGTGTCTCATGAGTCCACCCTTATTATTGTAACTGTCCTGTGTGGTGTTCTATCTATCTGTCTATCTATCTGTCTATCTATCTATCTATCTATCTATCTATCTATCTATCTATCTATCTATCCACTGATCAGTCTATCTATCTATCTATCTGTCTGTCTGTCTGTCTGTCTATCTATCTATATATCTATCTGCCTGCCTGCGTGTCTGTCTGTCTGTCTGTCTGTCTGTCTGTCTATCTATCTATCTATCTATCTATCTATCTATCCACTGATCAGTCGATCAATCTGTCTGTCTGTCTATCTATCTATCTATCTATCTATCTATCTATCTATCTATCTATCTATCTATCCACTGATCAGTCGATCTATCTATCTGTCAGTGTTTTAAAAGGCTTAAAATGTTACTGTAGATTCAAAGTGCCAAGATTGTGACTCGGTGCAAAGAGAAACATCTGGGAAGTTTTTATTTAAAAGTAATATGAAAAAATATGAAGAATTCCTAGTTTCTTTATGAGGAGAGTTTCCTAGCTTTGCTGTTCGGTTCTGTAAAAACTATAAAAACCTGTAAAAAAGAGCTGTAAAAACCTGTCGTGTAACCAAAGTGTAAAACCTCTCTGTCGTGTTTCCCTGCAGGACGGCCCGTCTGACTGCGCACTCCAACAGAATCACAGGGTGTGACGTCAGCTCGGACAAGAAGCACTTCTCCACCGTCTCATTGGACTCCAATCTGAAGGTCAGATTAGTTGCTCACACTGCTGTTGAAAAGTTTGAAATCGCTTTCATGTGAATTATTTTTATTTCATTCAATATTAGCCTAAACAGTGTATTGATATGCTATAAGCCAGACACCAAAAGGTATTTTTAGATACTTTACTCAATATTTCAGGTATTTTTCTGAGAACAGCAGGACGTTAAATGGGCAGGAGTTGCCAGCAGGTCCAGATGTCCATGCCTCACTGCTGTAACTTAACAATTACTCAGCCAGTTTGTGTTTTTTTCCATGTAGTTACAGAATAATAAGCCTTAAGACTGGGTTTGTAGAGGGTTACATGACAAATAATGTACTTTAACTATCAATTTTCTAGTGAATTCTTTGTCAGGTTATCCGGCTTCAGATTTCGATCAATATTAATTTTCTCCTATATGTATACATATATAATGCTGTAACACTAATGTATGTTTTCTTTTTAAAAATGAATCTACATTACTAAATTAATGAATTATTCTTCTTCATTTTATCGTCACTGAAACTGTTGGTGATGCAGTATTGTAATTTATTGTTGTCATGGTTACATGCAGGTGTGGTCCTCTCAGAAGGGGAAGCAGGTGGTGTCTCTGCTGACCCCCTGCCCTCTAAACTGCGTGAGCTTTGACCCTGAGGGTGGTCTGCTGGCGGTGGGCTGCTGGGACGGAGCGGTGAGAGTGTGGGACTGGATCAAACAGGAGAAATGGACGGTGAGGGAGGAGCAGAGAGTGGAGGTGGAAGGAGAGTTATGGGTATCAAAGGACGTTATTTTACATCAATGTCTTTATCTCTCTCTCTCTCTCAGACTCTCTCGGGTCATCACTCGTCCGTGCGCAGCGTGTCTTTCTCTCCCTCCTCCTCTCTGCTGTGTTCTGGTGCTCTGGATGGGGAGGTGTTGCTGTGGTCGTTTACTGGCTCGGCCTGTGTGGGGCGCTATCAGGCTCACCGCGGCTCCACCGAGGCCTTGAGCTTCCTGCCTGGAGGAGAAACGCTACTGACCGCTGGACACGACGGCATGGTGAGGACAGTGATAGGAAAGCAACTATTATTATTATTATTTTATTTATTTATTTTTTTCAACCACTGGTCAAGTGGTCAAAATTCAGGGGGATGGTGGGTTCAACCAAAAGTGCAGGGGGCGGGGCAGGAAAAAGCTTTTCAGATACGTTCTCTTAAAGTGTGATTGGACTACCTTTATTTCTTTATATAGAATAAAGCATGTTCTCTCTCTCTCTCTCTCTCTCTCTCTCTATATATATATATATATATATATATATATATATATATATATTTATATATATAGATTTATATCTATATATATATTTATATATTTATTTATTTTTGTGTGTGTGTGTGTATATATATATATATATATATAATATATATATATATATATATATGTGTGTATATATATATATATATATATTTACAATATTGTGTATTTGAGGTAGGTTAGCCACACTGCTGGCAATAATATGTCACTTGGATAGCTTAGAGGGCGCTAGAGGGCATGTCTGACTTAGTCAGAAATGAATGGTGTTTGATGGAGCTTTTGTTCAAAAATGTCTTTTGTTCAAAAATTGCAATTAGTAAATAGTTAATCTATAACTTTAGTTAGATAACGTTCTAACAGTGCCACATGGACAGTACTAGCATCATACTGTCCAGAACCTGTTTGCTGTTCTCTGCTTTCCAAAATTGAAGGAGATTCCAGTATGAATGGCTAGAAATGTGATTAGTTGTTAGATTGTTCAGCTCCAGTCACCGCAATGCATTGAGGACTCAGTTTGCGAGTGAGTAATTCGGTGGTGCAGTGATGTTTTTGGTGTAAGAGGATAAATAAGAAATGGCCAGGGTCCCCTTAAAATGGCTCTCACGATGAGTGAATCTTCTTTTAAGGTGCAGCGAAACAGAAGCCCTGTCAGCTCCAGTGCTTCCTACAGTGGACTAAAATCTGTCGAATGTATCATTTGAACATTATAGTGAATTACGGAGCACTTTTTAAAACTTTTTTTAATGAATCTGTGTGTCTTAAACAGGTTCAGCTGTGGTCAGGAGGTCTTGGACGCTCGGTTTCAGTGCTGGGGGAGGAAAAGGTCATTTTCATTTTATACTTCTTGTTGATTGGCTTTAATGCTAGTGAGGAAAAATGATTATGACGATGGTGGCGATGATGATGGTTATTCATCCGTTACAGAAACTCTCAAAGCCGGCTGTGTCCAGAAATGCGGTAGCAGCCGAGGATGCTGCCCTCTCTGTGGCTGTTGCTAACGGCTACGCTGCTGTGGGTTACCATGGAGACGGCCTCAAACTGTTCAATCTGGAGTCAGGTAGAGACGCCTTTAAAACTTTAAAACATTAACAGTTACTATTATAATTCATTTGTTATAATTAATCCAGATGCAGGAAACCACCTCTAAACGTCATTTGCTCTATTTCACCTAAAGGGGAATTCCACAGATTTTTCAAAATTTCTTTATAATTCAGTGGTCGAGCTGAAAACAGACTCATTCAGAGTGGTTTGGTGTGAAATGGTTCAGATGTCTTTACCGTGGTGGTGATAGGAACCAGGGGTCGCCATGACTACAACACAAATATAGACATTTTATTTACTATTCAGAACCACCAGTGAACCTACACGAGTCTTCTGAGTTTATATGGAATGTTGATGATGGTAAAACAGTGGAAAATCTGAAAAAATAAGTTTTCTTTTGGTGCTATTTTTCCATACCACACCCTGCATGAATCCATCCGACATGAATTAATGAAAAAAAAACACACATTTTAGACCAAAACCTTTATTATCTTAGAATTTGTCTCAGTAATCAGACAGTGTAATCATAATGTAATAACTTTCTGTGAGGGAGCTTTTAGAGGTGGACGTCTGGTTCCTATCACCACCACTGTGAACAGTTCTGACTCTGTAAGTTTCTCTAGAACAGAGCGTTTCACACCAAACCACTCTGAATGAGTTTGAATGATGAATTTATGTACAAATTTTGAAAAATTGGTGGAATTCCCCTTTAACGCTCTGCTTATGCTTGCCCCTAGCCTGCTGTTTTTTTTGTCAGCAGCTCTAGTGCTCTCTCTGTCTCTGTGTTGCTGTAGGTGAGAGAGTGTGGTCCACTGAGAATCTGCGGGTGTCCGTGCCGTGTCTGCTGTGGCTGGAGACTGAGGGGACGGAGCTGCTGCTTTCTGGGGCTTTAGACCACCGTTTGCGGCTGTGGAGCAGGCAAGGGGCAGACATGACCCTCAGAGGGGCTTTTGGGGTCCAGAAGGGCGGCATCCTTGCCTTGGCCCAAAACTCCACGTACATCGCCTCTGCCTCAGGTCAGTCTTACTGCCCAGTCTATTGTTGGTACATACAGTGGAGTCCAGAAGTCTAAAATCTGGGATTTTTTCATTTAAACCTGGAAATAAACAACAGAAAGCTTTAGAATCTTGAAAAGAATAAAACGAAGAAATTTATGACAGTTGAGATCAAGATGAAATTGTTGCGGGGAGGCGGGGAGGCGGACCCAAGTGCAGAAATGAAAACCAGTGAGAAAGAATGTTAACTAAATTTACTGGGGCAATGGACTGTGAGTTTGAAGCGTTGCAGTTGAGGTGCCCCAAAGCCGGGCTCCGTGGAGTTACCGCTGCGCCACTGGGAAGCACAGGTGACAACAGGTAAAACACCTCACGGAAGGGGAAAAGAAGAGGCGGGAAAACGACAAAAGAAACGCTGAAAGCAGCTCAAATAAAGGTTGAACTAGGAAGGTGAAATAAAAGAATGAGAAAACAAAATTCATCTCCCCTGTAAGAATGAAGTGAAGGTAGACTTTATGTTCCAGTTGTTTACTCTTGGTGGAACAAACCCCTTTACTATAGCTTAGAGCCGTTTGTAGCTCACGCCTCTTTTTGTGTTCTCAGTAGTTTTTGGGGCAGTTTGTTCTTTTTAGCCCTCTTTTTTTCTGTAGTTTTGGGGCAAATTCTTTTTTCAGCCCTCTTTTCTTCTCTTTTCTTTTTGTTCAAGTGCCCACCCTGGCTGCGTACCGTACCGGTCACACCTCGACAAAGGTGTGACAAAGTGCTACTGTTTGCCGCAACTTTAAGTAGGGGAGTCCGTAGGTGTGTTGGGTTGGACCTAATCAGCCCGAGGGCTTCTGGGAATTGGAGTTCCCCAAACTTATGGCCCCTTGCCATAAGGCTGGGCGCCTTGCTGCTGTCGCCCTCTGCTGGCGGCTGGTGGTGCAGGCTGGGCACTCTGCTGCCGTCGCCGTATACTTTAATATATTATTTCTAAGTTAAATGTTCAAATTGAAGCAAATGGTCTTCGTACCAAAAACATTTTTTTACTGTTATCTCTGCCACTGAGGTACGTGTTCGGATGACTCTCAGGCAGATTTGATCTACATGCATGCTGCCATTAAAGCAAAAGTGGGGCACACCACCAAATACAAAGAAATTCTGAAATTCGGGTAAACATTCAAATATTCTACTTTTTACATTGTTATGCTGATAATATTATTTGTAATGAAAATTTTGTATGAAATGTAAAATAGAAGCGTTTTCACCGGTGCTCTCAGACTTTTTGACCACACTGTATGTACGCTACTACTGATGCACCAAAATTGAAATTCGCGGCCGAAACCTCCAAAATCTGAAACCTTTCTATTCGGTGCAGGTGTTGAATTTTTGGTCAAAATTTTTTACTTTTTTTCTCTTGTTTTTCTTGTTTTTCTTTTTACTGAAATTTTTTGGCTGAAAATGGTCAAAAGTGGCACTGCTGGTTTCCGGCTGAAAACGTTCAGTGGCTGAAATTTCGGTGCATCCCTGTACTTACTTTATAAGTTTACTTATGGAGAGTGTACACCCTCCATCCACTTTATTAAAAAAAATCACCCTTGTAGCTCCACCTGTGAAAAACCAGTAATGATTTCTGTCTCTTTCTCTTAGATGACTTCACCATCGCTCTGTGGCTGAAGAGCGACTTGACCTCTGACCCCTGGGTTCAGCCCAGTGCGGTCAGTGTTCTAAGGGCTCACAGTGGAGGAGTCACATGCTTGGCCTTCAGTCCAGATGGAGACCAGTTACTGTCCGGAGGGAAAGACAAGGTATGGACAGAGTCACACTGCAAAAACATGGTATCTTGGCAAGTGAAATGATCTTAAATCTAAATTTTACATTAATTCTGGTAAGAATTGGGAAAGTATGCCATTATAGACAAACAGTACATCTACGTTTACTGAGGAACCGAAGTATTTAGTATAAATAGTGTCCGGTGGATTTGTTTTAAATTGTGTATCACTGGTGGGTGCACATTACCAGGCTGAAGTGGCACAAATCCGATTTTTTGCCCTAATGTGACTCAGATCTGATGTTTTCAGGGCTGTGTGGACACAAATCTGATCTTTTCAAATCTGACCTGAGTCACTTTCATGTGGTCCTAGATCAGATGCGTATCCGATTCGTGGCCATGTGACCTTAATGTGACGCTCAGATCGGAATTCATGTGCTTTTTTCCCACTGTGTGTGTGCCAATCATTCAGTGTTACCGTGGCAGCAGCACCAAACAGAAGTTAAAGCCTGTAAACGGTGGAAAAGCAACAAATCTTACCTTTTTCTCCTTCATCTCGGGTCATTTCAGGACGCCGGTTCGTTGACATTAATGACAGATTTGAATCTCTTATCTAAACGAGTGTGAACCATCGTGTCAGAGAGATCGGATTTGAGCAAAAAATCGGATTTGAGCAGTGAGGCTTGTAATGTGAACGTAGCATAAATATCTCGGGGTCTTGTTCACAAGTGACGGGAAGAGGGATGGTGAGATCGGCAGCAGTAATGCGGTCACTGTACTGGACTGTAGTGGTGAAGAGGGAGATGAGCCATAAGGCAAAGCTCTCTGTTTACTGGTCGGTCTACATCCCGACCCTCCCCTGTGGTCATGAGCTTTGAGTAATGACCGAAAGAATGAGATCACAGATACAAGCGGTGGAAATGAGCTTTCTTTGCAGGGTGGTGGGCTACACTCTACTGACAGGGTGAGGAGCTCAGTCATCCAGGAGGAGCTCAGGGTGGAGCCGCTACTCCTCCACACTGAGAAAAGCCTGTTGAGGTAGTTCAGGCCCCCTGGACGCCTCCCGGTGGGGGTGTATCAGGCACGGCCTACCCCGGGGTCGTCCTAGGACCCACTGGAGGGATTATATCTCCAAGTTGGCCAGGTAGTGGCTTGGGGTCCCCTGGAATGAGCTGGAGGAAGTTGCGGGGGGCAGGGTCATCTGGGATTCTCTGCTCTACCAACTGCTACCGCGACCCCAGCTGGACTAAGTGGTTAATGATGATGAATGAATGAATGAATGAAGGCTGTGCTGTATTGTGCCTCATTCAAAAGCCCTCAGAACTGAAACCCTAACTTCAGTGTGAGTGGGCGGGGCTAAACTGCTCTAGTCTGATTTGGCGGAAGTATGTAAATGACTTAGTTCTCATGACGTCACAGAAGGAAGAGTTCAAAACAGGCTGTTTTTGCAGTTTAGTATGTGGAGTCAGTCGTGGGCTTTGAAACATTTACAGTGTTTACGCATTACATATTACTTTATCAATACATTTTACTTTACGTTTACATATTACTTCAATCTTTTAATTAAAAAAAAGAAATATTTTCCATGATATGGGCCGTTTTATTATATTTTATACTGTGTTGTCACCTGAATGAAACATAAGTTAGCCATGGAGCTCAGTGGTGAGCTGCTGTGGTTGTGTTGCTTCTTTGTATTATTTTATTGTTGTTTAAGGGATTTAGTGAGTGTGTATTCTGAGTGCACTGATGAAGATGGCGATAATTATAATGATGATGATGATGGCGATAATGCTATGTCTGTTTCAGGCTCTGATGGTGTGGACGGTGAACGCTTCTCCTCCGGTTCTTTCTCGTTCTCTGGCCCATTGCCATGGAGACTGGATCACCAGCTGTGCCTGGATGCCGGAAGCTTTAGTAAGTGTGGGGAAACGTGTCCATCTGTGTGGACGTACAGAGAAATGCCATTCCATCCAAAGTCCAAAACTTGGGGTGCTATAACACCTTTAGAGGGCGGGGGTGAGGGATGTTTACACTACAAAAAATGATGTCTTAGCGAGTGAAAACATCTTAAATGTAGTCAATAAATCTAATATTTCTCATTATGAGACTGTTGTAAGAATATTCTAAGATTATTCCACCTGTTTCTGTACATTTTTACTTGTTTTAAGTGATTTTATCTGGTGAAAGTGTCTTATTGCATTGGCAGATACTTTTATAAGATAAAACTGCTTAAAAACGAGTAAAAATGTCTAGAAATAAGTTTAATAATCTCACAATATTCTCACAACAGACTCATAATGAGAAATATTTAATTTATTGACTACATTTAAGATGTTTTCACTCGCTAAGACATCATTTTTTGTGGTGTGACAGTAAACAGATGACTACATTTATAAATTTTCAATGTTTTTGTTGTTGTCATGTCATTTAAGCTGTTTTTCCCCAAAACACATTTTGAACTTTGGATAAAACATCTAAAATATCTTTTAATTTGCAATATTTTAAAAGAACCACAATTATTAATATGAGTTTTAGTGATTCTAACCTTTCCTGCTCCTGGCTGTGTCCGTCTCCCTGCAGCTGAGCTGCTCCAGTGACTGCAGGCTGCGTCTGTGGGACGTCCAGACTGGACACTGCCTCAGAGAAGTTTCAGCTGCTTCCTCTCTCAGCACACTGAGCTACTGGGTGAGTCTCATGACACTTTGTCAGACACTGTGATCATCATTTTTCTGTATGTGTGTGTTCAGCACAGCAAAAAATCATATCTTACTGAGTGTAAACATCTTAAATGTAGTCAGTATATCTACTGTTTCTCATAATGAGACTGTTGTAAGAATATTGTGAGATGATTTAACTTATTTCTAGACATTTTTACTTGTTTTTAAGCAGTTTTATCTTATAAAAGTGTCTTATTTCATTGTCAGATCATGTTACTTGTTTTAATCATTATTTTTTGAAATGAGCAAAATTATCTTCATTATTTCTCTAAACAAGTAAACTAATCTGCCAATGGAATAAGACACTTTCACCAGATAAAATCACTTAAAACAAGTAAAAATGTACAGAAACAGGTGGAATAATCTTATAATATTCTTACAACAGACTCATAATGAGAGATATTAGATTTATTGACTACATTTAAGAAGTTACACATGTTAAGATAGTATATTTTGCAGTGAGTGATCACGGTGTGTGTTGTGTCTGTAGGGGGATTATGTGATGCTAGGCTGCTCTGATGGTCTGCTGATGGTGTGGAAATCGGATTTAGGAGTCATCGCCGAGATCAAGGCTCACCAATCACGCCTTCATCACAGCACCATCATCACTAAACCAGGTATAATATATAAACAGAAGGCCGTTTTAAAATCACTTCTCATATTAATAATTGCTGTTAGTTTAGTCAATAACTTAATACAGTGTAGCCTGAAATACTATAATGTAGACTATATGGTATTTTAATATGTTTTTTATTCAATATTTTAAGTGTTTTAGGAGCAACAAGAAGTTAGTAAAGGATCAATATACTGTAATTATCTATTTATAGTAATTCTTTGATGTGCTATCTGCCTGAAATTTGATCACTACATTTTTAAATACAAAGTATTCTGGATATTAATTTTCTTATAAGTTAATTCTCAGTTATACAGCACTTTTATTTTAGAATCTTCTACAACTTTGTTTATCATTCTGGACACATCTGACATTTCTTAATGTTTATTTACAGCTTGCTACTAGTTGAAACCCGTTGTGCCCTGCAAAAAATAATATCTTAACAAGTGTAAACGTCTTGGAACATAACTGAACCATAATCCACTGAAATGATATGTTCTAAGCTGTACTGACTCCACACACCCCGTCTCGTCTCCAGGCTTCTATTTTACTGTTCTGTTTTAAAACATTCGGTTATGAAAAGGTACAAATACGAACTTTTCACCTGGAAAAACTTATTTAAGGTTCACAATCAGACCCTAAAACCACTGTTGTACCTTTGAGGGAACTTTACACTGTTTGTACTTTGCTACATTAACGTGCCACAAAACTAGTTTTACGTGACTGAAAACCTTTGAATAGTTGTGTACATATTTGAGCTCCTACACTAAGTTTCTGTTAAACGTCTTTCATGACACTGAAAAATGAATAACTTGTACTGGTGTTTTGACTGGAAAGGAAATGAATGGAAAGGAAGGGTCTCTGACTTTTGCACAGTGCTGTATTTGATTGTGTTCTATTAGAACTGCTCAAACCAGGTGGTCTCTTTTCTCACCGCTGGTTTCTCACACAGATGGTGATCAGAAGGTGGAGGAGTTAGTGATGGCCACAGCCTCTGAGGACGGAACTGTAAAGCTTTGGCTCCCCCTGCAGGTACACGCCTCACACCACATACTTAAATACAGTAGAATAGAGTTATGAGGGTTAGTGGTTGAAATCTTCCCTCTGAAATGGGACCCTCAAATAAAAAGAGCATCACTTCATTAACAGCTACCAGCGCTGCTCTGTAGGCGACCCTGCCAGTCTGCAGTGACAGCAGAGGAGGGTAAAGTTCAGCTCCTCACTGCTGGGCTTTAGTTACATTTAGGGCATCATATGCCTTCAAAGAGGGGGGCAATTATTTATTATCGCCCACCCCTAATTCTTCAGTGATATGAAGCTGAAGTCAGAGATTCACCAGGTTCTTGTTGGAATTTTCCCGTTCCACCTTAAATGGTGCAGCAGTTACATTCTGGCACTTCAGGTGTCAGAACTGCTGGACTATTTAAGGTGGAACGGGAAATTTAGTTAGTTAGCTACCAAGACATCAGCATATTACTGGTGGTTTTTATGCTTGTTGTAAAGAAAAGGACCATAATTCATTGAAACAACATTAAACTAAGATAATACAGTGGTTATCGTAACTTTTAACTGAGAAAATTCTCACATTTGTGTGTTTCTTTGGTCTCTTGTTCTCCATCTTGCCCGTTTTTCTTTTTTTCTCATATCACTCTGTTTGGAGTCTCTGAAAAACCCCCGTTTGGAGGGTCATGTAGCCCCAACACTTCACCCTACCCCTCTATCTCAACAAGAATCAGGACACCCTACCCCCTAGGAGTGAACGCACAAAACAAAGGGGTAGGACTAAGTGGTAGGGGCGAGTGAAATGGGATTGGGCCTAACTGTAAGTTGCTTTGTAAATAACCTACATTCCTGATGTGGCGTCACACTAAACAGTTACGAGCAGGTGATTGACACATTTTAAAATGAAACACACTCAGTCTTTAGGTGCTATTTACAGTCTTTAGTTGTTGAAGCATCATTCCCAAGTAATGGAAATTATATAGAAATGCCATATTTCAGTTGAAAGATGCCCTCAAACTGAAATGATACACGTCAATATGTATGAAAATATCAGAATATTTGATGAGAACTGATATATACTGATGAATCTCTGCCTTATAAGGTCCATTACCCTCTCTCTCTGTAGGTTCAGCACCGTAGCACTCTGCTTGGCCACAGCGGAGCCATCCAGGCTTTGGTGAGCGGACGAGGCCCGCAGTTCCTCACCGTGTCCGAGGACCACTCCCTCAGAGCATGGAGCGTTCATACAGGTGCAGACCCCTGCTGCAGACACTGAGTGATCTATTGGGCTGTTTTTTTACACTTTTTACACAGTTTTGCACTGAATGCTTTTTGATGAAATTCTCAGTTATATACACTGTCAAAAGTTTGGGGTCATAAAAAGCTACAGGCTACAGCTCTCAGCACCGTCTCTCCATACACCTAACACCAGTGACCATAAAAAGAGTGATCGTATGGATTAGAACCCATAAGAATGTGAAATTATCACTTTGTTTTGTTTTGATATGATTTACTATGCAGCTGACCAACAAGAACCCATTTTCTATTACGTTACCATGGCAACATATCAGAAACTGCGCTTACTAAGATGATAGAAATGAATGGAAAGATACTAATAAAGTAAAAAAAATGAAATAAACATTGCTGACAGACACAAGAACAAAACGTTGGGGTCATAAAAAGGGACAAACTACAGCTCCCAGCTCATGTACAACAAAGTGTAAACCACAGTTTGTTTACTGTTAAGAGCCAGACGACTGACGGTCATCTGACGGTCATCTAATCACTCGCTAATATGAACACACTGAACAAATTATGAGCTGTTGTTTACAAAATGTAATCCAAATAGATTGACGAACTGTTTCACAAACTTACAACGTTTTTATAACAGTTTTCACACTTTATATCATTTTTTTAGGAGCAGAGCTCCATATTTTTACTTAGCATCTCACCAAACACACCACACACTGAACTTTCCAAAATGTGTTTCCCACAGATGCATGGTTTCTTTGACGGTTTGCTGTAATGTAATTTATTAAATCGCTCCTGTCGGAAGAAAACCTCACATCTCCATTTTTGTCCTTTTTCAGTTTTTGACATAAATTGAAAATGCCTGTTGTTCTTTACACGTAATGTTAATTTCATGATGAATGGACCAAAATAAACGGCCCAAAATGACATGGAAAAACGTCTGGTTCCATTGACTTACATTAAAAGTAAGGTGTTTTTTTTCTGCTCCTGTAAAGTTACCATGTTGGAGATACGAGGTTTTGTTCTGACAGCTTTGAAATACAAAGCTGTTTATATCTTTCCATTTTTCTTTGCAAAAAACAAAAGACGCATTGCATCTCCTTGTTGTCTGCACTCATCCGGTGTTTCAACCACCAAAAAAAGTCAAACGAATTCCAGTATGTGCTTTCAACAATAATTTAGAAAACTGTTGAATGTTATTTAGACAAAAACAAAACCTGCTCTTCAAATCAAGGAAGGCACTTTGATGAACGTGAAGCTGAGTGTTGAAGATAAATATACACAAAACATCTGCACAGAGCAGCGTTATGGTAATAAAAACAGAAACAGGAGGAAAATTCACGATTTAAAAAAAGGCTAAGGTGTACCCAAACTTTCGGTGGTCACTGTATTCAGTGTTCATGTTGTTTAAATAAAACGTTCGGTATCTGTTTACAGAGAATCCTCCTCTGCAGGCGGAGTGTGTGAGTGTGGTGTGCTTTGTGGAGTCGGAGGAGCTGCTGGTGTGCGGCTACAGCTCAGGCAGGCTGGAGATTTGGCAGCACACTTCACTGCTTTACTCCAATAAGGTAAACCACAGTGGGCTGCAGGCCTCTTGTTAACCCAGAGGAACATTCTAGTGCTCAAACGCTGTTCTTTGATGACTCAGGAGACATGTGGTTCCCCTAAAGTTGCTCAAGAACATAGCTTTAGACAAAAGGAGATGTCTAAAGAGATGTAAGAGTTCAGTTGCGTGACGTTATCTCAGCAAATCTAAACACACTGTGTGACTTTAAGATCTTTAGTAAGAGGAAAAAAAAGAGTTCAGTTCTCAAGTGTCATCACAACTGGGTTTGATGATTTTGGTGTCAATAAATCTAATGTTTCTCATTATAAGACTGTTGTAAGAATATTATGAGATTATTCCACCTGTTTCTGTACATTCTGTCCATTGGCAGCCAATGAAATAAGACACTTTTATAAGATAAAACTGCTTAAAAACAAGTGAAAAATATCCAGAAATAAGTAAAATAGTCTTATAATATTCTTATAACAGTCTCATAATGGGAAATATTAGATTTATTGACTACATTTAAGATGTTTACATTTGCTAAGATACCATTTTTTGCAGTGAAGACACCAAACATTTGTTCGTTTTTACAATTGACAGTATTACTAATTTTAATTTTACTAGTTAAAATTATTATTAGATATTTTTATAAACTTTATCTATGAGGGACATTGTAGAGGGAGGTGTCATTCTCATAGGAAAGAAAAACTTAAGAGATCTCATGGCCAAAATAAAACCCTTTTAAACTGCTTTTAAATTGTAAAAATGAACAAAAATATGGGGTATTTATTATTGTGTATATATCACTCATTTCATACACTGCAAAAAATGGTATCTTGTCTAGTGAAGTGATCTTAAATCTCGTTTATATATCTAATACTTCCCATTTTGAGATGGTTGTGCACTTATAAGATTATCTAGCTTATCTGTAAACATCTGTAAACATAAGTAAAGTAAAATGATCTCACTACACTGGCAGATTATTTTGCTGGTTTCAAGCACATTTCTTACAACAAGCAACATTATCTGTCAATATAGTGAGATAATTTTACATAATAAAATTACCTAAAACAAGTAAATAATGTCTGGAAATAGGTTAGATGATCTTAAATTAACCTTATAACAATCTCAACAGGAGAAATATTAGATTTATTGACTATATTTAAGATAATTTTACTTGACAAGGGTGGTACTTTTAGCGTGTGGTCATAGCGCCCAAGGGGATGTGCTAGGGAAGCCAGGACACTAGGAGTTCCAGTTTAACGGCCACGCCTTTTATTAGTTCTCTGAACCCAATAATTACGTGCACTATTTACAAGTGATGAGAGTAAAACGAAAGAGAAAAAAAAAGCAAACAAAAACTGAAATATATTTACACAATAAATGAGGCTCAATGCAGCCTTAATACAAGTTATCAGTTCTCTTTTCCTATGAGGAGGTGTGGCCTTGCAGAACTTGTCTGGTGATGGTGACTCGGTCGTAGTCATCATCACAACAAGTTACTCCAGTTGTATTAGTGTATGCAGTATGTTCATAAAAGCAATTCTAAATTGTACCAAACTCATCAAATCATGGTGAAATCTTATGCGAACCGTACACTAGAAAACTACTGAGCATGTTCAGATCTGAGTCTCAGCCCAGTTCACTGTAGAGCTGTATACTCTGACAGATCATCACCCAGAATCTTTAATTAACCTGTAAAATGTGCGGCTACTTTTTCATCTGATATAAAGATTAACACACCAACACGGCAGGCAGCGATTCAGCATTGCTGATTGGTGTTATGAACTGAACCATAAAAAACAAACAAAATAAACCACTGTAACGGAAAGCAGAAAAAAAAGGAAAAAAAACATTGATGATTCTTCAGTAAAGCCATTTTTAAAGTCCTCTGCACATTTCATCACATCACTGTTACACTGAGTGAACCTGAAGTATTAAAGCAGCCAGTTTACGTTCTAAGTTAATGTGATTATCGTATTAAAGTGGAGCAGATTTGCCGTTTTTACAGAGATTTCAGGCTCTCACACGAACATATTCTCTCTCTCTCTCTCTCTCTCTCTCTCTCTCTCTCGCTCTCTCTCGCCCTGTTGTAGGCAAGTATATAATATATATTTCCTCTTTTTGTGATGTCTTTCTGCAGCATATGGCTAAATGTAAACAGTTCTGTTATGTGTGTTTGTGTTTGTGTGTGATCTGCAGGTAAATAATAGCCGTATTCGAGCAGTGACCGGTATGCCGGATAATCAGCTGGCCGTGGGCTGCAGTGACTGTTCTGTGACCGTGTTTAAACTGGAGAGAGACTATGAACGCTGTACTGTTGGGTACGACATGCTAATCCTGTACACAACTTTATTTTTTCTGTCCATCATTCTGTGGCTCAGTGAACAACACTGGCATTTATAGAAATTTAAGAAATCTATGTTTTTATTACAAAAAATACATCAGTTCCTTTGTGCTGCACATTTCTGTGTTGTATTGGCTCTAACACACATGATTCAGGCACTTTGCAAACTTCTGATGAGAAACACTAGAAAGAAAACACAAAGGTGTGCAGAGCATATATGAAAGTAGAATATAAAGGGAAGTATTGTTAATATATCCTGTACAGCGTTCCCCTACCATTAAACAGACTGGACAGCAGGCCAGACCAATGACAGATGTTAGGATGGTACCGGCAGGCTAATGTTTGTTTCCTTAGTTTTTTTTTTTTAATGTGGTATGTGCTCATTTTACAGCCAAAATAAAATGTTTCCATTTTCAAATTTGCACTAAATTTAGATCGCAAGTCCGGAGCAGCTCTGATCATTAATATAACGGTGTGGTAGAGGCAAGCTGGCTTGTGCCAGAGGAGCAGCATCCAGCTCTATTCTCCTAGTGCAGGGGTCGGCAACATACGGCCCCGGAGTGGCATGCGGCTCTTTTACTGTCCAGTTGCGGCTCCACAGCTGAATTAGATTTGTAGGTAAAAATAAAATAATCCTCCTTTACAGTAAAATAAAGCTCTGCTGATCGTTCAACACAGTTTAACAATAAATGGTCTTAAACGCTGGAGTTAATGTAGAACTGCTAATTCAACAGCCTTCAATCCTAAAGGTTGGCGTGCAGACTGCAACAGCAACGTAGACATCAATCTGGCCTAGCTAGTAGCTAACGCAATGGCAAAGAGAAAAATCGAGCCTTGTATGGAATCGAAAGTTGAGAGACCTTTTACTGTTCTACTTTTGCAAGTTTCCTGCTGGAGATGTGAGAAAAGTGGCTATAGCTAAGCTAAAGCTTAAAGCAGAGCAAAGCAAGTCTGTGTTTTCGGTTGTATTTTTAGCCTGTACTGGTACATCAGCACATACTGAGACATATTTACAGTCAAAATGGTAAAATGGACATGAACTGAAATATTACATTGGGGAGGCTTTATTGAAATAGGGTGTTGCACGCCTGGAAAGAGGATAATAAAAGAGCTGAAACTCGATTGTTGTTTTTGACAGTTTGTCAGATGAAGAAACAAGCGAGCTCCTCCTTCTGGATGTTTGCAGACATAATTAGTCAGCTTCCAGTAGCATTCTTGAAAAGCAGATCTATTTCTTACAAGACTTTTCTTTAAGCTTGACACTCCAAAAACTGTTTAATGTTGATTTAAGAAACTGGTAACACTATTGTCTGAAATGTGAACTGATTGTAAATGAATTACTAATCAGTCGATCACAGTTGCATTAAAACGTGATGTATTCATGTACATAGTTAGTTTAATAACTCTATGCAATTATATCACTCTGGTCTCACATGAAGTTACACTTAATTCGTGTATTTTGGTATATTGGGCAGTGTAGACAATATATTTAGTGATACAGTACTGTGCAAAAGTTACACACCGCCCTTCATTTATTTAATTTCCAGTCAAAATGGATTTACGTTATTCATTTTTAGGTGTTTTTCTCTGAGCAGATTAGATAAAAGATAAACCCACTTGCATATAAAAAAGGAAAAAGTTAGAGGAAAACGCGAAAAAACAAGAGTTTCCAAAAGTCAAAAAATAATTAAAAGCTACAGAGACAATGGGACTCCTAACAACCACCTGGAAGACCTGTTAAATTGGTTCTAGATGTAAGTAAGATGATTTTATCATGACGTGTTTTTTTTTTTACAGGTTGTCTGAAATATCATCGTACACGTTGAACAGTAGTGTGAATTTCCTGCTTTACTGCACTGCTCTGCTGGGAGTGTGTGTGGACGCCACCGTCATCGACGTCTTCTCCACAGTGAAAAGGAATCACAGACAACTTGAAAAGTAAAGACACACATTAACAGTCTGGTGTGAACTCGCATCACCCTTTAGCCCCTTAAACTGCAGCTTTATTAGTCAGTTATTGATTATGTAGTTATTACTATTCAGTATTCATTTTTTAAAATGTAATATCTGCGCTGTATTCTGACATTCATATCGGCAGAGGTGTGTAGAGTAGCCTTAATCCATACTCAAGTAAAAGTGCAATAAAGACTGCAGTAAAAGTGAAATAACCAATCAAAAAAAAAACAAACTGAGTAAAAGTACAAAAATAGCAGCTCTAAAAACTTTAGATCTGAGTATCTTAAAGAACTGCAGTGGAACTTATCAATACATCCAGCATCTACCAGCACAGGAACTGCAGATATGGCCCAGCCGATATATCAGTCAGGCCCTGTTATAGATGTTGTCACCAACACAACATAATGAAATTAAACCCAAAAAGTCATCAGGAAGGAAATCAGGAAAAAGTAGATTACTAATATTTTTAGTGTTTGAAAATACTCGAGAGTACACATCGACCAAAACTGCTTATATACCTAACATGGTGGTCACAGGCTGCAAATTATTAGTAGAAAACAAATAAATTTACAAATAAATAATGGGGTCTAGAATGATGAGTGGAGCTTTGGAATACCATATACAGAATATAGTCATATAACAATATCCAGAATATTAGCATCATTTTATACATTTATCTTCGACTAAATGATTCTAATATGAGACATTCTGGTTATTAATTGTTGTATTATTGTATAACCTTTGCTAGCCAGGTGAAAATATGAGTACATGGAACTGAGTAAATGATAAGGAATTAGATTAATTCCATTACAGATTAGAAATAATATGCAAATAAAATAAATGCAAACATCTGAATTTGAATGTTATTGGTTTTTATCTGTATCATACCGTCTGAAACAGAATTCTGAACTTGAAATTAAGGCTGCGTTCACATTACCAGGCTGAAGTGGCACAAATCCGATTTTTTGCCCTAATGTGACTCAGATCTGTTGTTTTCAGGGCTGTGTGGACACAAATCTGATCTTTTCAAATCCGACCTGAGCCACTTCCATATGTGGTCCTTGATCGGATACGTATCTGATTTGTGGTCATGTGACCTTAATGTGACGCTCAGATCGGAATTCATGTGCGTTTTTTCCACGTGCGCCATCATTCAGCGTTACCATGGCAGCAGCGCCGAACAGAAGTTAAAGCCTGTAAACGGTGGAAAAGCAGCTCATCTCACCTTTTTCTCCTTCGTCTCGCTCTAATAATGAAGCTGAGAGCTGATCAGAGTTAATGATCTTCTCAGCGAAGCTCGTTCTGCTCGTTAGTTTGTGCTGATGATGCACGTGATTCATTCACGTGACGTTACTGAGTAGGATGAGCTCATGAGGGTCATTTCAGGACGCCGGTTCGTCACATTAATGACAGATTTGAATCACTTACCTAAACGAGTGTGAACCATCGTGTCAGAGAGATCGGATCTGAGCAAAAAATCGGATTTGAGCAGTGAGGCTTGTAATGTGAACGTAGCTTAAGATGTGTAAGAAAGCAGTGTGCACAGCTGTGATACTATAATAGTTTCTGGAGTTATCAGACTGAATATTTTTTCAAAACTGAATTTCAGACGTTCGTTATCAACCATCTTGCTCTCTTACAAACCAGTTTCAGTTCTGAGTTCGGTTTCAGATTGTATGACACAGATTCAAATGAATTACACTCTAGTTCAGATTTTTCATTTTAATTGAAAAGTTCTAATGCCATGAATCTGATAAAATATTACTACACTGCAAGAAATGCTTGAGATTATAAACGTCTTAAGTGTGGTCAATAAATCTACTATTTCTCATTATGAGTCTGTCGTAAGAATATTGTGAGATTATTTAACTTATTTCTAGACATTTTTACTTGTTTTTAAGCAGTTTTATCTTATAAAAGTGTCTTATTTCATTGGCAGATCATGTTCCTTGTTTTAATCATTATTTCTTGAAATGAGCAAAATTATCTTCATTGTAGTAAGTAAACTAATCTGCCAATGGAATAAGACACTTTCACCAGATAAAATCACTTAAAACCAGTAAAAATGTACAGAAACAGGTGGAATAATCTTATAATATTCTTACAACAGACTCATAATGAGGGATATTAGATTTATGGACGACATTTAAGAAGTTTTCACTTGTTATTATATTATTTTTGGCAGTGTAGTTACTCTCCACCTCTGTATGTTGAGTCCGTTGTTTAGGACTTTAAGTGGAAAGGGTCATTTCTGTGTGTGTTGATGTGGTTCTGCACTCAACCTCTGCGTTTCTGTGGTTTCAGCTTCAGACACACCACGCGAGTTTTGGGACTTTACAAGAACGATGAACAAGGCCTGTGGCTGCTGGGAGAGGAACAGAACAACATCAAGATTTCCTTTGTGGTCAGGGCACACATTTTAAACCTTTCTATTACTGTAGAATTATCAGGCTGTCTTGTTCTTTTTTGGGTGTGTCTAAGTTCAGGGAAGACCTCTGGTGTTTATCAGAAGGTGTGAATTGTTGCCTCGTGTTGGATAAAGAAGGAATTTAAGCATCAAAGGCTGGACGGAAGGTTAAAGTGACCGGAAATATATGTGCATTTATGCTGTAGTGGAAACCAAGGCAGCAACTACAACATGATGGTGGGACGGAGTCTTTGTTGGCCTGAAGACACATCTTCAGTAAACTGAAGGAATTGCGCTGTTATCTAGTACAAATTAACTCATCTAGTGAAACTGACTCGTTTAAACCATGCAGTTCCGCGACGGTCTGTAACGAGGGGGGTTTATTTGACTATATTAACTAAAATATCACAGTCGACTTCCATTCTGCCAGTGAAACGGCCACTAGGGGGCCTGAAGAAGGAGGTTAACATTGTGATCTCAGTTTGTTACTCAGTGCAATTCGACTCGAGCAGGGTCGGTTCTGCAGACCGTAGAACCACAAAGATGACCAGAACACAGTGGTAGCACACCGACCTCCAACTTTTTTGAAAAGTGTTCTATATAGCAGTCAAAAGTGTTCCTCTATTATGATGTCAGGCTTGTTACAATAGGAGAACCTTTTTTGGTGCTACATAGAACCCTTTTCAAAAAGGTCCGATATAGAACCATCTACAGCACATTCTCAGCGCACAGCACTTTCACCATGCAAAGGAACATGTAAAGAGTTCTTTGAGTGTTTATGGTTCTATATAGAACCAGTAAAGGGTTCTTTGCATTGTGAAAGCGTTCTACAGATTGATGGAGAATGTGCTGTGGATGGTTCTATATATGACCTTTTTGAAAAGGGTTCTTCTATTGTTATGATGTCAGGCTTGTTACAATAGAAGAACCTTTTTGGTACTATATAGAACCCCTTTCAAAAAAGTTCTATATAAAACGATATACAGCACATTCTCAGTGCACAACGGTGCGAAGGAACATGCAAAGGGTTCTTTGAGTATTCATACTTCGATATAGAACCATTAAAAGGTTCTGTGCATCGTGAAATGTTCTTTAGATTGATGAAGAAAGTGCTGTAAATGGTTCTATATAGCAGTCAAATGGGTTGTTCTATTGTTACGATGTCAGGCTTGTTACAATAAAAGAACCCTTTTGGGAGCTATATAGAACCCTTTTCACAAATGTTCTATATTGAACCATAAACAGCACATTCTCAGCACACAACACTTTCACCATGCAAAGAAACCTTTAGTCATGCAAATGGTTCTTTGAGGTTTCATGGTTCTATATAGAACCATTGAAGGATTCTTTGCATTGTGAAAGTGTTCTTCAGATTGATGGACTGTGGATGGTTCTATATAGAACCTTTTTTGAAAAGGGTTCTATATAGCACCAAAAAGTGTTCTTCTCTTGTTCTGATTTCAGGCTTGGTACAATAGAAGAACCCATTTTAGTGCTGTGTAGACCCCTTTTCAAAACAGTTCTATGTAGAACCATCTACAGCACATTCTCAGCACACAACACTTTCACTATGCAAAGAGCCCTTCAGTCATGCAAAGGGTTCTTTGAGTATTCATGGTTCAATATAGAAACATTAAAGGGTTCTTTGCATCATGAAACGTTCTTTAGGTTGACGGAGAATGTCCTGTATATGGTTCTATATAGAACTTTTTTGAAAAGGGTTCTATATAGCACCAAAAGGGTTCTTCTCTTGTTACAATGTCAGGCTTGGTATAATAGAAGAACACTTTTTGGTGCTATGCAGAACCCTTTTCAAAAAGGTTCTAAATAGAACCATCTATAGCACATTCTCAGCACACAACACTTTCACGATGCAAATAACCATGCAAAAGGTTCTTTGAGTGTTCATGGTTCTATATAGAACCATTTTCTTTACTAAAGAACCCCTGAAGAAGGTCTTTTTAAGTGTGTAGGAGTGTAAAAACGTAATTACAGACGTCTTCATGTTAAACTAATCCAATCTGAATAGGGCTCAGCAGACTGTCTGTGAAACAGCAGTGAGCAGTTTGCTGCTTAAAGCAAAGGAGATTATGACAGATTCAGAGCTGATGATGTGTCAGATGGTCAGAGAACAGGCTGAGTCATCATGGTCATCACCCTCCTCATCATATCAGTCTAATTATAACCCCTAATTAGCGCTCACTCTAATAGGCTTCTGGGTGTTTGGTGAGTAACTGTGTTTTGCCTGTGCTCCTCCAGCTGTGTGCAGGCCCTCATTTCTCGCTGAGCTCCTGTGATCAGAGTGTGACAATGGGAGGGGAGGACAGGGCACAGTGCAGAAGAAGAAGGAGAACAACAGGAGGCGGAGAAAGAGTCCGAGAAAAGTTCAGAGAAGAAGTCTTTCAGCATCACAGCTGCTGCCATGGACAACGGTACTCAGTTCAGTGATCTGACTCATCTTATCTGTGTTAAGCAACCAAATACTTACATAGACTTTACACTGCAGTGTCCTTCAAGTGTTTCCATAGTGATATGGTTACGTTCTAGACGTGTCTCAGAAACTACTGCACTGCATCCAACACAGTCTCTAAAAGGTTAGGAGATGATTTAATCATGAGAGCTGAAAAAAATCCTAACAGTGTGACCTTTTACCAGCGTGTTAAGTTAACAATGGACTTTAATTTTAGATATTTTTTTTACAAAATTGATGTGTTCTTTTAAAAATGCTACTTTTAATTCCAGCCGGATTGGCTGTGTCTGTATTTTTGTCCCCTGACACTCTCCGTATTTAGACTCCTTGCACTTGAATCCATTTAATAATAATAATAGTTATTTAATAATAATAATAAAGGCAGCATGAAGCTTCTTTTACACCCCATGTGTCAACGCCTGTATCTGATTACATTCCCTATCGGAAAGTTTAAGTCCGTTCTGATCATGTTCGTCACGTCATAGTGAAAGTTTATACTGTTCAACATGGCGGAGCAGAAACTGGTCTGCAGAGGAGACGAAGTTTACGCTCTGATCTTTAAAAGACGGCAGTGGGACGGACGCCCAGCTTATGTGTCTCAGAACACGACGTCTTCCTCTCGGCCTTCTTTAATAAGGACACGTGAAGGACGTTTTCCTGAGTCTGACTTCATTTTAAAGTAATTAAAAACACAAGCACTGCTCACTGCTGCTCATCTCACTCTGACCGGACTCACGTGATGCTGGTTGTCATGGTAACATCTACACTAAGAGGTTCTTTGGATCGGATTACTTGTAGTAAGCATGAGATTTTCCATCAGATTATTGAGTAGAGTCAGCAGATGAACACACAATCTTAATCTACAACCGGAATGTATTCAGTCAGATTGGCAAACAGCCAGTGATTTTGAAGGTTCATGGAGGTACAAATGCAGAAGAGAGCCAGTTAGCTGATGTTGCTGCTTGGAAACTGAATATCATGTGTGTATTTATTAGCCTCTACACGAGCGGCACATCAGTAGAATTGTTTCAGAGAACTTGTAGAGAGGAGAATTCCCACTCTGTAACGTCTTCCATGTTTCTCAAACACTAGAGGGCGCTCCTGAGTGAGTCCAAAATGAATGGGTTGATATGGAGCACTCGAGTGAAATCATAGTTTATAAATTCTTAAACATTTTTAAGATAAAAGAATACATTCATTTCCTGAACACAGAACAGCATAAAACATTTTAACACTACTGTTATATTTTTAAAAGCTTTAAACTCGAGTTATATGAGTTTAAAACGGTCTCTTGTACGTTCATGACATCTGTGAGCGCAAACAGCCAATGAGCTGCTCCGCTCGCCAACCAATCAGCACTCAGTAGCAGTAATGCCAGCCAGTCAGCACTCAGTAGCAATAATGCTAACCAATCAGCTTTCAGTAGCAGTAATGTTCGCATTCTGCTGCCCAAAACCTGTTTACTGAAGAAAAAAGGAAACATACAGGTGAGTTTTCTTTGTTTTTTTTAGTGAGACTCATCCTTCTGCTTTCTAAAATTAAATGAAAGTTCTGGGTGAGAAACTATTTTAACTCTTCATTTTTAGCTGTTGAGCTCCATTTACTCCCATTCATTGAGGACTTGCTCGCGGGCGCCCTCTGCTGTTTAGCAATCATGTTTTTGATATAATGGGGGAAATAGGAAGAGGCCAGACTCCTTATAAACCGGCTCTGTTTGTTTGTGCTGTTGGAGACTCCCAGTGGTCATGTGAGATTTGTGTAATGTATGCTGGGTACTGTAGTGAGAGAACGCTGATGGGCGAATCGCAAAAAGCGTAGAAAATGGTGAACTGTGAATAAGGCTGAAAGGTGCAGTGCTGTGCTGCAGTGTATTATGGCCAATAACATGCTGAATGTCTGAATGCTAATCTCAAATAGATTTGCTCCTGCAGTTTCCTTACATACAGAAAAGACAGGCAGGTTCAACACACCAAGTTTGTCTCAGTAAGAAGTTCCTGTCTAGATCCCTGGAGAACCACAGTATTCCTCACTCTGCAGTACCGAGCTGAGTGTACGGCTCAGAACTGTTTCCTGTGGAGATTATTAAGCTTGCTGTCCTCTTTGTCTGCAGAGTTTATCGTGTGTGGAGACTGTAAGGGGAACATGTGGTTCAACCGGGTTCATAGCACAGCGAGATGGAGTCCAAGAAGACCAGTAAGTGTTCCCCAAACTGCTGTTAAAGGCATAGATTGCCCTAAATACTATATTTACACAGTGAGCCATGCTTACGAGAAAAACCCGACTTCTTGCCCCTTTTTTGTGATTAATATGACTGATAACAGTGATCTCTGACCCCTTTAGGCTCACAGTGACCGAATCAGCGTGTTGCGTTTGACGGACAGCACCATCATCTCCGCCTCTCATGACAGCACCGTCAAACTGTGGGACAGAAACACCCAGAAACAGGTGATTTAATTTCTCTGTGTTTTCTTTATCCACTCAGCTCGTCATACTAATAATTGTGATATTTAATCAAATAATTATTTATACAATGTAGAAGTCTACAATACAAAATGCACTGCAAAAAATAATATCTTAGCAATTAAAAGCTTCTTAAATGTAGTCAATAAATCTAAATTTCTCATTATGAGACTGTCGTAAGAAGATTATTCCTCCGGTTTGTGTACATTTTTACTTGTTTTAAGTGATTTTATCCAGCAGAATTTCATCCTCCTCCTCCGATGCAGATGCCAAATGTGTTGAAGGAGGTGAGTTGTCCTCCATTTTTGACTGTAGACTGGCGTTCGGGTTCGACTCTGTGTTCGTTTTCGTTTCACAGTCCAACCAAATCCCAATGGATAAAATCATGTCTCGCCCACGATTGTCTCCCACTCGAATATCCTGTTTCACTCTGAACTACGTCAGGTTAAAAAAATGCATCCTAATTTATGATTCATATTGACTTTAAAACCTTCAACTAGAAAACGTAAACTAGAAACCGGAAGTGATTTTTTGAGTTATCACATTTTCAATTTTTTTGGAGCAACAAGACATAATTAAATCAAATTTAATCACGTTTACTGTCTGATCAAATTTACACAGGTGCAAAGGTGAATGAATATATATATATATATATATATATGTGTGTGTGTGTGTGTGTGTGTGTGTGTGTGTATATATATATATATATATATATATATATACACACACATATATAATATATGTATATATGTGTATATATATACATATGTATATATATTCACTTACCTTTGCACCTGTGTACATTTGATGAGATGTGATCTGATTTGATTTGATTTAATTATGTCTTGTTGCTCCAATGTGTATATATACACATATATATACACCAGTATTGCACCATTCCAATATACAGCTTCATAACAGTAACATAGGTTATGAAATAAAGGCTACATCTTCCAGATTATACAAGATACGGATAGATGTACAAGATGTCAAACTATATGTGCAGGTATAGATTAAGCAAAAATATCAAATATAAATAATATACAGTAGTGATTTATTTGTAGGAATTTTATTAAAAATTGTGTCATGAGATTTGAAATATGAGGATATGAATATCAATGGATGAATTCTGGATATTAATTTTATTAGGCATTTATTCTTTAATTAGGCCTTCATTCTTGATTTATTCATAACTTTATTTTAGATATTTTAGCGGTAATTTTATTAATTTATTAATTTTTCATATGAAAATTTCATTTTCATAACCAACCGTTATGAAACCAATTACAGCTACATGTTTGTCATTCTGGACATTCTGAAATTCTTTTTTCTGTAATTTTGAACAATTTCCTACGAAATATTTGAAATCTGAACTAGCGTCAAACATTGTACGTTTGAATTTTTTTATTATTGCTTTATTTACATCATTTGAAAATGGCAGCTGCTCTTTACACGGCGAGCATTTCATGCTGAATGGACCAATGACTGTTGTCAGGTTAATGTACATTAAGTGAAGAACATTTTTTCCTTCTCCTGTAAAGTTACTGTACAGGTTACACAGGAAGGACGCTGGAGGCAGGGGCTGAGGGTCGCAGCACTCATTATACCTCTATTAACAAACGAACAAATGAAACCCTGGTCACTTTTCAGTGGCGTCAAAGCTGGACTTTTCAGTCCTTTTTCTTCCAACACAAGCTTTTCAGCTCCTCGGTCTGTTCGGCTGCTCGTCCCTCTCCTCCTCTCTGTTCCCTGCCTGCTCTTTTTAAAGGCACCTGAGCCAAGAGGGACAAAGAGCTCATTGCTCCGCCTCCCCGTCACTGCCCTCACTGCCCCCACACAGCTGTAGTCCAGCGGCTTTGCTGCAGAACAGGAGGCAGGGCCTGGGCGGCGGAGTTTGTGACTCGTGTCCCACCTTCATGCCTCTTGTGGCTGTCGTCATCCCCCCTCTCTGGTGGCTGATGTCCTCCTCCCGCCGTCGCTCACGTCCCTCGCGATGTTCAGGGTTCAGGCCGCGCCTTCCCGCGCCCTTTTGGCTGTCATTGGAGGATGGGTGCGGGGTACTTTAACCCAAAACCCAGCTCAGGCCGGCGACCTGGCCTGAGTGGACATCCCCCAGGGAAAGACCAATCACAGGGTTGGCAGGTGGGAGAACACAACCATTGTTTGGGCCGGGACTTGGCAATGACTGGGCAGGTCACCGACTTGGAGGCTACCGGCCAGTCTGGAGGTGCGGAGGTCGTCAAGTCTGGAAAGGAAGTGTCGGCACCATACATAGGCGGGGCCTCACCAACGCCTCCAGGTGCAGGGAGGGGAGGTGGAGGGGAAGGGATGTGAACTCTGAGCCCTCTCAGAGTGGAGATGGGAGGGCAGAGAAGGTGCGCTCCATGCCTTCTCAGAGCGGGGATGGGAGGGGAAAGAATGGGAACTCGGAACCCTCTCTGAGCGAGGAGGGGAGGGGGGAAGGAAGGCTCCTGTCCTCCTGGGAGCAGGGACTGGAGGCATGGGGTTGAGAGGGGGGGCTTCTGCCCCCATGCACACTGAGGGTCACCATCAGGAGGTATAAGGCCGTATGACAGTAATATGAATCTGCAGCATTTTGGTTTTACATGATTTAAACAGTGATTTTCTGTCATATGAATCGCACTGTGGAGTATTTTAGTAAAGAGTCAGTGTCGTTCTCACTGTGTGCTTCTCCAGGTGGGCCTGTTCGTGTGCGCCGCTCCAGTGGAGGTGATGGAGCTGGACCCAGCTGACCCCTGTAGGCTGGTGTGTGGTGACGCTTTGGGCCAGCTCTACTTCCTGTCCTGGAGAGGATAATGAACAGCTCATTACCCCAACTATCCAATCAGAATCCAAACTTCATCTTCATTTTGTTTTAGCTCTCCAAAATATGGGTGGTGGAGCTGAACACTACGGCGATGTTTAAACTCTCATGTGTCTGGGGTCACTACAGCACCTTATGTCATGTTATATTAAAGAAATATTTTTGATCATGTAATGCTTGAAAATACCTTGATGCACTAATGATGATGCATGCATGATTACAGTTATATTAAAGCATTTAGAGGATCCTCTTCGCTGTTCTCAAAGCAATTAATTAAAGAAAATTCTAAAGTGGTGATAGTTTTTGTTTGCTTGGTTTCCAAATAGCTCTAAAATTGTTTGTGCCTCTATGAGCTAATAGGTTTTGTTAAAATGAATTGGTTTAGTTGGTTTTGTCTGCTTTTATTTTGATATCAAATAAATGATGGTGTGTTGAGGTGAACGTGCGTGCTTTCATTTGGATCTAACGTGTGTAACATTTGCTTAACTGAAGGATTGAGTGAACAGTTTATTAGTGTTTAGCTGTGCCACAGTGCAGAATCATCTTTGTCCGGTCACAGGCTGTGTGCCTTTCCTTACAACTTGCTCTTTCTTCCTCTTTTTAGTCGTTGCTTAATAACGATCAAGCTAAAACTGGTACAGGGCTCCCGAGTGGCGCAACCGTCTAAGCGTTCCTATCATCAGGAGATCGCGAGTTCGATCCCTGGTGATGTTACAGCCGTCCGTAGCCGGGAGTCCAAGAGAGCACAATTGGCCTCGCTCTCTCTGGGTGGGTAGGATGGTCCCTCCTTCTCCCCCCATCACTCAACGCGATGCTAGTCAGTGCAGGCGTCTGTTAGCTGACCTAACAGATCTGGCGGTTGGCGCTTTCCTCCGAGCGCGTTCGGCTGTCCAGTGACGTTGCGTGAGCGGCAGCTCGAAAAGAAGCGGTGGTTGGCTTCACAGGTCTCGGAGGAAGCCTGTGTTAGCCTTCACCCTCCTAGCGTTGATAGTATCGTGTGATTGGGGGAGTCCTAACTAGCGGGTGGAACTGGAGACGACTAAATTGGGGAGAAAATCGGGTAAAAAAAAAAACTGGTACAGTTGCAGTAACGTTAAGTGATGAAGGGAAAACAACATTCACACAGCCATAAAACAAGAAAAAGTACCTCATCAAATTATTGCCAGATTAAGAAATTAAGAAATGCATTCTCTCTACAGGATGCAGAAAAGTTAGTTCATGCATTTATTACCTCAAGGCTGGATCACTGTAATGCCCAGCTGGCTGAATATTCCAGCAAAAGCCTCAACAAGCCATAGCTAGTCCAGAACGCTGCAGCCAGAGTCTCACTAGAACCAGAAAGTTTGACCATATCAGCCCAGTTTCATCAACCCTGCTTAAATTTTGCATTGATTACAAAATTCTCTTACTGACCTATAAAGCTCTAAACGGCCCCTCAGTACCTGAATGAACTTCTCTCATACTATGAACCATCACGCCTACTTAGATCACAAGGTGCTGCTCACTATTAGTACCTAGAACTAATAAAGCTACATCGGGGGGGAGAGCGTTTTCATACTAAGCCCCCCAGCTTTGAAATAATCTTCCAGTCAGTGTTCGGGACTCAGACACAGCCTCAGTCTTTAAGTCTAGGCTAAAAACTGACAAGTTTAGTCTTTGGCTTTGGTAATTAGTTTTCCCTGTTAGATAAAAGGTGCTTCCCTGATCATAGATCATGGTAAAGGTGCTGTTCAGTCACGTCTGCACTGCCTCACGCGCTCACTCAGGTTTGTTGACGGTGGAGCGGAGGAGCGGCGACACCTCAGGGAGCCTCATGTCTCTGTTACCTTCTGGCTCTCCCTCTTAGTAAGGCTGTAACAGCTCGACCTGCCGGAGTCTCTACTTCACTCTGCTTAACACTGTAATCTGTAATCAGTCTGTATTAACAGAACTAACTGTCTATGTTTTTCTTTGCCGAGTTGAACAGCTGCCCATCCTGTGCGTCTGATGCTGTTGCATCATCTGCCCTTATCTGGTACCCACTGCTCACCTGTCTCCTGGACCGGTTTGACCACCATGGAGCTTCCCGCTGTACAACGCTGTGCAAACCTCACCCCTCATGAACTGACCCTCCTGATGATGCTGCCGCACAGACGCAAACTATTTAATCATAGATGTTGCTTCTCCTGCTTTTCCCCTTTTCTGTATCTTATACTGATGGTCAAACCTTATTTTCCGCTCTTATTGTTTGCCGTCCGGTGTCGACCAGAGGAGGATGGGTTCCTCTTTTGAGTCTTGGTTCCTCTCGAGTTTCTTCCTCTTAAGTCTTAGGGAGGTTTTCCTTGCTACTGTCGCCATTGGCGACGCTCATGGGGCCTCGGACCCTGAATTTTTCTGAAAAGCTGCTCTTGCAAGTTGAATCTCTGACGATGTTACAGCATACCTGGTCCTCCATCTCCCCCCCATCATTAAGTGTGATGCTAGCCAGCGCAGGCCTCTGTAAGCTGACTTGGAGGAGAAAAAGATGCGGTTGTGCTTCACATGTCTTGGAAGAAGCCTGTGCCAGCTTCACCCTCCTAGCACTGGTGGTGTCGTGTGACTGGGGACACTTAGCTAATGGGTGGAACTGGACGCGACTAAATTGAGCAGAAAGATTTGGTAAAGTTTTGATAAACTGCAAAAAATAATATCTTAGTGAGTGTAAACATCTTAAATGTAGTCAATAAATCTAATATTCCTCATTATGAGACTGTCATAAGAATATTATAAGATTAACTTATTTCTAGACATTTTTACTTGTTTTTAAGCAGTTTTATCTCGTAAAAGTGTCTTATTTCATTGGCAGATCATGTTACTTGTTTTAATTACTATTTCTTAAAATTAGCAAAATTATCTTCATTATTTCTCTAAACAAGTAAACTAATCTGCCAATGGAATAAGACACTTTCACCAGATAAAATCACTTAAAACAAGTAAAAATGTACAGAAACAGGTGGAATAATCTTATAATATTCTTACAACAGCCTCATAATGAGAGATATTAGATTTATTGACTATATTTAAGACGTTTTCACTTGTTAAGACATCATTTTTTGTAGTGTAAACATCCCTCACCCCCACCCTCTAAAGTCAGTCAAGTCAAATTTATTTGTATAGCGCTTTTTACAACTGATGTTGTCACAAAGCAGCTTCACAGAAATCCATTTAGGACAAAGTTTCAACATGAAATGTAAATCCTCCAGGTGAGCAAGCCAGGGGCGACAGTGGCAAGGAAAAACTCCCTCAGAGCTGAGGAAGAAACCTTGGGAGGAACCAAGGCTCACAAGGGGGGACCCATCCTCCTCTGGTCAAACTACCTACAAAATTATTATTCTACTAATATTAATAGTAGTAGTAGTAATAATAGTTAGGAGTCCACTTCAGTGTAGAGTGGGCAGCCAGTCCAAGGCAGGTGGCGGTGACTGGGGTGTGGGCAACTGGTTTGAAGCGGGTAGTCGGAGAGCTCTACAGACAATCATCCAGCAGTGTCCGGCCGGACAGGTGGGCAGTCGTTTTCTCGGAAGAAAGGTAGGGAGATGGAGTTAGTTTAGTTCTGTGTGGGTGTATGTATAATAATAAGTAAATCATTTCCAGAGTGTGGCTAACGACTCCGGCAGATCTGACTACAACAGCTTAACTAAAAGGAGCGAACCAAAAGGGCACACAGACACGGGAGCACCCTGAGACAATCTGGCATCCCTCCGCTCCACCGTCCACAAACCTGAGTGATCAGGGTGCGAGCGGCGGGACGACAGCAGCGTCTCAGTTTACTGTAAAGGTGTTACAGCACCCCAAGTTTTGGACTCAGCAGAGTGAACATTATTTTTTGCAGTGTGTTTATATGTAATGGCATGTGGTGAAATATTAACGGCAGGAAATAAAGCTGTTGTTTAGGGATGACACAGCTTTGTGTGAGGACCTTTATCAGTTTACCACTCTGACTCTGCACTGCACTCTCACAGTGACCTGAGGAGCTGCTTCACTCATCACTGACCCAGCCTTTAGACAGTAAGACGTCCACTTTAACTCTTTAACACTTTAATCTTCTCCGCTCTGTATTAAACTCCATATCTACTACTGTTGGGTGTGCAGGGCAGTTCTAGCAGTGCTCCAGTGAAGCTTTAGGCGAATATGTAAAACTACATCTCAGTGTTCTTGTCAGAAAATAAAAGTAAGAAGCACAGAGAAGACGGCAGTTCTGAACACTGCATTTCTGACTGTACGTGCAGAGAGGAGAAGCTCACACACTGTGCAGAGATGATGGTGAAGGTGCTGCAGGGGGCGGCTGTACTGGCCTGGTTATTGAGCTCAGCAGCTCTGGTGAGTATTATCATCATCATTCACTCACTATTCAAATACAATTTTGTAAACAATTCTGTAAAAAAGGTGATTTAAATTAGATATTATCATCATTGATAGTAAATGTTATTACACTGCAGAAAAAAACGTTCATCTTACAAGTGTAATTATCTTAAATATTGTCAATAAACCTAATATTTGTCCTTTTGAAACCATTGAAAGAATTTTGTATTTGTTTTAAGTAATTTTATTAAGTAAAATTCTCAGTATATTGGCAGATAATTTAGCTTGTTTTAGGAAATGTGCTTTAAACCAGTACATTGGAATAATTTCACTTAATAATATGACCTAAAACAAGTAACAAATTATGGAAATTAGCTAGATAATCTTAAAATAAGAGCACAGCCATCTCAAAATTGGAGATGTTAGATATATTGACTAGATTTAAGATCATTTGAGTTGACGAGAGACCATTTTTTGCTTTCTGTTGTAAGAATATTATGATTATTCCACCTGTTTCTGTACATTTTTACTTGTTTTAAGTGATTTTATCTGGTGAAAGTGTCTCATTCCATTGGCAGATTAGTTTACATGTTTTGAGAAATAATGAAGATAATTTTGCTCATTTCAAGAAATTATGATTAAAACAAGGAACATGATCTGACAATGAAATAAGACACTTTTATAAGATAAAACTGCTTAAAAACAAGTAAAAATGTCTAGAAATAAGTTAAATAATCGTATAATATTTGTACGACAGTCTCATAATGAGAAATATTCGATATATTGACTACATTTAAGATGTTTACACTCACTAAGACTTCATTTTTTGCAGTGTATGGAGAGGTCAACATCCATTTTTCCCAAAAAGAAGCCGAAACGTAGACTTATCTGACCACAGCGCACATTTCCACCGTCTTTCAGACCATCTGAGATGACCAACTTTTTTTGTGTGTTGCAGGCATTAAGTTCAAAATTTGTTTATATAGACAAAATGCAATCAAGTTGGTCAGTGAAAACAATAAAAGTCATTTCTTTTAACTGTTCTTTGAACTTTATTTTGTAAATAATGTTCAAGAGAGTTTAAAAAATCACACATTCTTGCTTTTATTGCTTTTTAAAAAATGTCCCAACTTTTCTAGAAATGGGATCACAAATGAGATTACAATAAAAGTTACATGTGTATTAAATAAATTGTAATCAGGGTGTGGTCAGTGGGCGGACTGTCCGAGCTGCTGCTAATAACGACGTTGAGGTTTTGACTGAAGCTCTGATTGACGACTTCAAGCAGTTCATTAAAACGCAGCTGGAAAACCTCAAAACAGAAAATAAAGGTAAACATTACTCAGATCTTTGGTTAGATTGGTAACACTTTACTGTAGGGTACTGTTCGTAGGGCTACATGACACCTACATAAGCTTGTCCTAACAACTGACATAGCTCTACACAACTGTTTATAAATGCTTATTCCAACAGGCGTCATCTGTCATAAAGGTTACTTTAGCCGACTTTGATCAAAATTGGCAAACGTAACCTTTATAGTAAATGACGCCTGTTGGAATAAACATTTATAAACATTTATGTAGGGTTATGTCAGTTGTTAGGACAAGCTTATGTAGGTGTCATGTAGCCTTATGAACAGTACCCTACAGTGAAGTGTCATAATGTTCATATATTGATTTTCTGCTAATCTAATAAAACATCATTTTCTATATGTGTATATATTTGTTATATTTCAGTTAATGTAACTGCCTACATAAACTATAGACAGCAATAAGTCCTACTTAGAAAATCAACAATACATGTAAACCAGTGGCTCCAAACTTTTGTATGTGCATTTGTGGTCCTTGGGTTCTCCTCAGCTTCCCAGTCATTTATATATATATATATATATATATATATATATATATATATATATATATATATATATATGGGTCATTCTACAGAAATGTCAACTTCTCTGTCTCTCTATAGGAGTCACTGGTGTTACTGATCCTCATTGGTGTTACACATAAGAAAGGAAACACCAGAGACATTTTAATGAACAATGCATTTTACAAAACGGCTGCTACAGAGCATCAAACCACATGTTGTCAATCATGGAACATCCACTAAAATATGGAATTTAATCCATTTGTGTTCTATTTTTTCACAATTGCCTCAGAATAAAGTCGGTCACACCAGTGACTTCAGCTAAAAGCTTCATATGAAATCATGAGCTAAATCAGAAAATCCCTGATAACTGAAAGACACAGTGGACTCACCATGTGCTTTTCTTCATAGATCCTAGGTAGGTAGGTAATTTGAGGTAAAAGGAAGTCGAGATTTTTTATTATGCAGTGACACGACTCCTGGGGACCACAACTTTTGTTTTATATTTTATAATATTTATTTAGCATTAGTTTTCTTTATGTTATTTAATTTATATATTCCATAGTCATGTATAGATTATTGTAGTCAAAATATGGCCCTCAGCCTTTACACTGTGACGATGAGCTCTTCTGTGGTGCTTGGAGTTCTATAGACCCGATTTATAAACCAATATTGCTAAATTGAGGCTCAAGAAGATGAAATTGTTTTATTTTAAAATTTAAATAAAATGTATCCCTAACATGGTTTTTAAGTGTAATATAGCTAGGGACACAAAAATGGACGTTTCTGTAGAATGACCTTACATATATATATATATCTGTGGATAAAAACAGCTAATTTGGCTGTAAAGAAATTCAAACTGGCGCTGACCATCAAAATGCATGATTGCTGATTCCTGAGCTTAAAGAGTTTCTGTTACGATCTTTTCTTGTTTCCTGCTAATGTGAACTTTCTAAGCTTTGAAGACGGAGCTGGAAGTTTACGTCTCCAAACAACAGTCAGTCCTTCAACAGGTGCAGGAGATCCAACAGCACAGCAGTGGTAAGAAAGACGGTGTACGTGAGAAATATGCACTGCTTGTTGTGCTGTATTGTATTGTACCCCGGCGTGTCGCCTGGCCCTTGGCTTCGGTGGCTATAGGCCTGAATATTTTTGAACCATAAAAATAATGTTAATTTGTTGTTTTTATGTTTCAAATGTTGTTTCTAGTTTGAATTTAGACAGCAAGAGTTGAATTAAATGACTATTCAGCATTTTAAACTATCAATAAATATCAGAATCACTCAATTTCACCAAGGATGTTACACTTTTTGTCACTACTAAAACAATCACAGCACTGTTTCACTGGTGACAATTTTAGCTCATTTTGAGCAGAACTCAAAAACGTCAGCCAGTACACGACCAGCAAACACAGCTTTGAACAGCTGTACACACAAAAAATCATTATATTTTTATTAAAACACAACTTTACTTAATTGCAGAAAATAAGCATTTCAATAGTGACAATTCTGAAAGTTCTACATGGATTTGTAGACTTTGGGACACTTTTACTTCAAAACAATGAAACAAAATTTTCAACTAAGGTGGAACTTCTTTTAAGGTGGCACAGAATTTAAGGTGGAACTATATTTAAGGTGGCCCAGAATTTAAGGTGGAACTCTCTTTAAGGTAGCACTAATCGGGGCCTTGTCGTGGCGGAAGGGCTTGTGTGGTCTAGGGATCTTCAGAGCTAAGTCATCGGGAGCAACATGCTCCTGGTAGGGTCTCCCAGGGCGAACAGGTCTGGAGTGAAGACCCAGACTAACTCGATCCAAAAACCTCCATGATAAATGGACACAGAGCATCGTGTACCCTGCCTGGGAGAGGGTCACCGGGACCTACCCCTGGAGCCAGGCCTGGGGGTAGCGTCCCTCGGCGAGCGCCTGGCGGCCGGGCAGCCCACGTAACCCGGCCGGGCTCAGCCCGAAGAGGCAACATGGGGAGACCATGTGGGCCCACCACCCGCAAGGTCCAGCATGGGGGAGTGGTGCAGTGCCGTATAGGCAGTGGGAGATTGCAGGGGGGCCCTTGGTGGCCTAGGCCCCTGCGGCAGAAACTGGCTCTTGGTACGTGGAATGTAACCTCACTGGGGGGGAAGGAGCCGGAGCTTGTGCGGGAGGTTGAGAGGTACCAAGGGGCTCACCTCCACCCACAGTATCGGCTCTGGAACCAAACTCCTGGATAGGGGTTGGTCCCTCTCCTACTCCGGGGTTGCACAAGGTGAGAGGCGCCGGGCGGGTGTGGGGATACTCACGAGTCCCTGGCTGGCGGCAGTTGGAGTTTGTCCCGGTGGACGAGAGGGTCGCCTCAATGCATATTAAAATCGCAGAGAGGAAAACTCTGACTGTTGTGTGTGCTTATGCACCAAACAACAGGTCGGAGTATTCGGCCTTCTTGGAGCAAGTGGGCGGGGTTCTGGAAAGGGTCCCGACTACAGACTCCATAGTCTTACTGGGAGACTTCAATGCTCATGTTGGCAATGACTGGGAGAACTGGAGAGGCGTGATTGGGAAGAACGGCCTGCCCGATCTAAACCCGAATGGTGAATTGTTATTGGACTTCTGTGCCAGGCATGGATTGTCCATAACGAACACCAAGTTCGAACACAAGGATGTTCATAAGTGTACATGGTACCAGAGCTCCTTGGGTCAAAGGTCAATGATCGACTTTGTTGTCGTTTCATCTGACTTGGGACCATATGTTCTGGACACTCGGGTGAAGAGAGGTGCTGAGCTGTCAACTGATCACCATCTGGTGGTGAGTTGGATCAGATGGCAGGGAAGACTGAGGGTTAGACCTGGTAGGCCCAAGGGAATAGTGAGGGTGTGCTGGGAACGACTGTCCGAGGCCCCTGTTCGGAATGATTTTAACTCCCACCTCCGGGAGAGCTTTTCTCATGTCCCGGAGGAGGTAGGGGACATGAGAATGAATGGACCCTGTTCAAAACCTCCATTGTGGAAGCTGCCAGGCGCAGCTGTGGCCAAAAGCTTAATGGTGCCTGTCATGGCGGTAACCCAAGAACCCCCTGGTGGACACCGGTGGTGAGGGAGGTCGTCAAGCTGAAGAAAGAGGCCTTTAGGGACTGGATGGCCCGAAGGACTCCCGATTCAGCAGATAGGTACCGATATGCAAAAAAGGTGGCAGCTGCAACGGTGGCAGAAGCAAAATCCAGGGCGTGGGAGGAGTTTGGTGAGGCCATGGAAAAAGACTTTCGGTCGGCCTCGAGGAGGTTCTGAACAACTGTCCGGCGACTCAGGAGTGGTCGGGGTGGCTGCGCCCAGGCTGTATTCAGCAGGGCTGGAGAAACTCTGACTTCAAATGAGGATATTGTCGGTCGGTGGAAAGAGCACTTTGAGGAACTCCTTAATCCGGGTGACATGCCTCCCTCACGGGAGTCAGGGCCAGAGGCCTCTGGCGTGTCAAGCTCCATTTCCCTGGTGGAGGTCACTGAGGTAGTTGGCAAGCTCTTCAGTGGCAAGGCACCGGGGGTGGATGAGATTCGTCCAGAGATGCTTAAGGCTCTGGATATTGTGGGGCTGTCGTGGCTGACACGCCTCTGCAATAGTGCATGGACCTCGGGAACAGTACCCTTGGACTGGCAGACCGGGGTGGTGGTCCCTATTTTCAAGAAACGGGACCGGAGGGTGTGTGCCAACTATCGGGGTATCACACTGCTCAGCCTCCCTGGGAAAGTCTATGCCAAGGTGCTGGAAAGGAGACTTCGACTGATAGTTGAACCTCAGATTGAGGAGGAACAATGCGGATTCCGTCCTGGCCGTGGAACAATGGACCAGCTTTTCACCCTCTCACGGATTGTTGAGGGGGCATGGGAGTTTGCCAGCCCAGTCTACATGTGTTTTGTGGATTTGGAGAAGGCTTACGACCGTGTTCCCCGAGATATCTTGTGGGAGGTCCTCCGGGAGTATGGGGTGCCGGGGTTACTACTCCGGGCCATTCAATCTCTGTACGCCCAGAGTGAGAGCTGTGTTCGTATACTCGGCATTAAGTCGGACTCTTTCAGTGTTAGCGTTGGTCTCCACTCCTGTTTGTGATATTCATGGACAGGGTGTCAAGGCGTAGCTGGGGTCAGGAGGGCATTATGCGTGGAGGCCGGAGGGTGGCGTCTCTGCTATTTGCAGATGATGTTGTTCTTTTGGCTGGATCACATGGATGCCTCCAGCGCACACTGGAGTGGTTTGCAGCTGAGTGTGAAGCGGCTGGTATGCGGATCAGCACCTCCAAGTCTGAGTCCATGGTCTTAGCCCGGAAAAGGATGGTATGTCCACTCCAGGTAGGGGGAAGGGACTTGCCCCAGGTGGAGGAGTTTAAGTATCTCGGGGTCTTGTTCACGAGTGATGGGAAGAAGGGTCGTGAGATCGACCGCAGGCTGGGACAAGCGGCAGCAGTAATGCGGTCGCTGTACTGGACTGTAGTGGTGAAGTGGGAGCTGAACCGTAAGGCGAAGCTCTCTGTTTACCGATCGGCCTACATCCCGACCCTCACCTATGGTCATGAGCTGTGGGTAATGACCGAAAGAATGAGATCGCGAATACAAGCGGCAGAAATGAGCTTTCTTCGCAGGGTGGCAGGCTACACTCTATTTGATAGGGTGAGGAGCTCGGCCATCCGGGAGGAGCTCAGAGTAGAGCCGCTACTCCTCCGCATTGAGAGGAGCCAGCTCGGGCATCTGATCCGGATGCCCCCGGGACGCCTCCCGGTGGGGGTGTATCAGGCACGGCCTACCGGAATAAGACCCCGGGGTCGTCCTAGGACCCGCTGGAGGGATTATATCTCCAAGTTGGCCTGGGAGCGGCTTGGGGTCCCCGGTAATGAGCTGGAGGAAGTTGCGGGGGACAGGGTCACCTGGGATTCTCTGCTCTCCCAACTGCTACCGCGACCCTATCTGGACTAAGCGGTTAACGATGATGATGATGATGATGAAACGAAGGTGGCACAGAATTTAAGGTGGAAGTACATTTAAGGTGGCACTGAATTTTTTGCTGAAAAAAAAGCAAAAAGTACCTTATAAATGATGATTTTGCATATATTTAGCATATTGTGATCTCTGTTAATGCCCTGTGTTTAAATAGATCAGAACATAATCCTTGTGAAATATTTTAGGACTGAATACGTTTTAATATGGAATCTCAGTTTGGACTGATTCAATGGTCCACATACGACTGAATTCACCTACATTTCTTTTTATAATATGAAACACAGTATAAATCAGAACTCTCTCATTTGGATTTCATCAGATTTGGATGCCAAGATTGCATCAGCTGCCTCCAAACAGGACCTGCAGTCAGTTGTACAGAAGGTGGACGAGCTGAAAACGAAGGGAGGTATGTTATATACAGTCTCCTCTGATAGTGCTGGAACAGCAAGGCCAGCTGTTTTTTATTTTGTTTTTGCTCATTAGTCATCATCATTCTGCAAAAGTCACCTTAATAAATTTCTTTCTAATCAAAAATCATGTCATCATTTTCCTCTTTTCCACTTCTTCTTTTTAAAGATGAGCCAAAAGTGGCCTTTTCAGCCACACTTTCAAACCTAGAACATGGTCACAAATTCTTTACGTCAAAGGAAGGACTCACTCTGGCCTACACAAACGCTTTCACCAACATCGGCAATGCATATGACCCAAATACAGGTACTGTAAGGCTCTACTGTTCATTATATACCTACAGTTCTATTCTGTATCTGCTGTTTTATTATATATATCTGTGTCTCTCAATCCTGATCCACACAGCTCAGTTCATAGTGTGTTCCATTCTGAAGGCAGCTGCCTAACTAGTCACTGCATTCAAAGGCAGCTCTCTCTCTCGTTGGGCAGCATTTTAACCGAGAAGGAATCTTAGTAGGCATCGCATTCGGGACAGAGCTTCAGAGCCATCACACGTCATAACTTTCACTGCGCTGTACACATTTTATCTGTTTTACTCGCAGGCGCTGGTTAACTTACACTCACCTCAGTGAATGAGGACAGCTCCGAACAGCAGCAGCTGTTTGGAAATGTGTCTATGAAGAACAGGCCGCTTTACGGAGTCGTATCTGTTATATATACTCGACTTTGCGCCCCAGATAAATACAGATAATTGTACTAGTTTGTGAATCATTTCTCTTAATTCACTGTCCTCATCCACCTTAATGAACCTGCTTTATTTCTAACATGTAAAGGATAAAAACTACGTATAATTTTGTACAAAATGCACTCAGAAAAAAAGGATCGCACACAGTCTGTTAAGCTGCTAGTATGCATTTTATTTTATGCATTCTCATCTGATGTATGAGCTCCTAGTCCAGGGGTGTTTAATTAGAATTCAACAGTGGTGGACAGTAACTAAGTCAATGTAATTCATTGCTGTACTTAAGTAGTTTTTTTCCTGTATCTGTACTTTACTGAAGTTTTTTTTCCATTTTGGGCGACTTTTTAATTTCACTTCACATTTCAAAGTCAGATATCTCACTTTTTACTCCACTACATTATGAGAAATCTGTCGTTCCTTTTGTCTTATGTGTGTATAAAAACATAACATGTCAAAATGAATGAAGCGCGAAGAAGCACAACAAATCATGGCACAGCGGTCACTTAGTTTTGAGCTTGTTTTGACCTGTTGGTCATACCGACCCAGCGCAGCACACGGTTCAACATCAGTGCAGCAGCGTAAAATTTTGGGAGAGTCTATTCAACATAAATGATGATTGAACTTTGTGTAAATAGACCACAATATAGAAATATGAATGAATTTACATAAACACTTTCATTTTATAGTAAATAGTTTAGGCTAGTTTATGTTTATGAACAGAGACCTACAGATGCAGTTTAGTAAAGGAAAACTCATCTGTGAATCTGAGTTTAAAGCAAGTTTTTATTAAACTTAACTAAGTTGCAAATAAATCTTAAACTGAAACTTTTCATGGCCACTCAGTTCTACCTGATGGAAACTGTTTGCCTTCAGTGTTTTGTGCTTATGATCATTTTAATAAACATCAGCGTCACTAATTAATGACATTCTGTTAAAAGACTGGTTTACCAAGAGAGACACTGGAGTATTTTCACCTAAAATGATTTGAATGCAAATACTTTTGTACTTCTACTCAAGTGGAGGTCTAAAGGGAGGAACTTCTCCTTTTACTGGAGTAATATTTTACCTTGGGTGTCTCTACTTTAACTCAAGTACATGGTTTGTGTACTTCGTCCACCACTGGAATTCAATAAGGTCCAGTTAGAGAAAATTTCCTCAGGCAAAGGTCCAGAACATCATAATGTCTAAGTTGGATTATGATTCAGTGCCATATACTGTTTACTGAAGTAGCCTAGTAGGTATATCAACATCTTCTTCAGTCAACAACTGAATGTCAAATCAAATAAAGTACAATTCAGTCATATTTCAACAATATTTATTGTCCATTTTCTCTTTTTAGAGCACAACATGTTAAATAACTTCCCTCTGACTCACTTTCTTCTCTGACTGCTGTTTCTCGCCTCGTCCCATCCCTTTGTGTGCGTCACTCACTCGAGTCTCAGTGCTCATCGTAATGCACAGATCTGATTGGCTGAGTGGCTTCACGTGTGATATTTGTAACGTATGCGATTGGTCTGTGAGTCTCCCGGGCCGTTAAAGCGGCACCGTAAGGGTTAGAAAATAGGACCACCCTGTCGCAGTGAAATAATTCTCCATAGTTTATCGGTTATAGGTCCAGGTCCGCATAGGACAGCGTCTGGGCTCTGGACTCGGACTGCAGTCCGCCTATTAGTGACCTCTGTCCTAGTCTGAAATGTAGCCGACGTTAGTTCCTGATCACAGACAAAATCCCTGAGTACAGAATCAAATCGATTGCTATTTACATACAAAACGTGCTACTAGACCCTAGTTAAACTACCTTAGAAGGCAGCTGCCTTGTGCTGCCTTCCGAATGGGACAGCCTTCGCCTCGGGAGTGCTTAGACCTACTTAGACAGCTCTGCCTCCCAGTTGAAACGCACCATCAGTGGTTTGGACAGTCTCTGACCGTTTGTGCATGTGAACAGTAATTCAGTATTAACTGTATCCTCTGCAGGTATCTTCACTGCCCCTGTGAAAGGAGTCTATTTCTTCAGCTTTTCTGTCTTCAACCCGTATGACTACTCAAGTTCAGCCCCACAGGTTGGAACTGGAGTTGCCCTGATGAAAAACGATGCCCGTATCCTCTCAGTGACCGATAACCCTCCAGGGGTAGACACAGAGGACACTGGGGCGGGGTCAGCCTATCTCCTGTTGAATAAAGGAGACCAGGTGTATCTGAGGCTCTTGAACAATCGCAAGATTTATACAAATGGAAACAAACGAAACACTTTCAGTGGCCACCTCGTCTTCGCAATGTAGACTTTGCAGTGCTTTTGAAAGAGATCACATCCTGTCTATCAGTTATCAATATTTCATCATTGATTTTAAGTGATTTGCTGTGACTAGCTACAGAAGTATGTGGACACATGACTATCACACCTGTATAAGCTTGCTAGACATCCCATTCAAAACTACAGGCATTCATATGGAGTATTCACAATATTCACAATACTATTACACAAGAGTAGCACTTACAGTTGACTGGGGCAGATCTAGCAGATCTAATTTCATTAACAAACAGTGCCATGTTTAAAGTCAATGAGCTCTTCAGTACTACCATTCTGCTGCCAATGATTGTCTATGGAGACTGCATGGCTTTGTTGCTTGATTTTGTACACCTGACAGCAATGGGTGTGGCTGAAACACCTGAACTCAATAATTAGGAGGTTTGTCCACATACTATCTACTATGGTGTAATCTTATTGAATCCCACATGAATTTGTTTTATTGTTTAATTTTTAATCAGCTAATCCATTTAATGCTTTTCCTGAATGATTTATTATTTTTCTCAGCATTATAAAAACTGTTTTTGTCTGATAAATTCTCTGAATAAATCTGGCAAAGGCATTTTGGTCTGTTTACAGGTCATTTTTTATTGAACCTACAAAACCTTACACTACACTTTTTTGATGTTATTAACCCTCTAGAATCCCAGGCTCATTACATACTAAGGCTTATTATCCAGTAACCACAGGATTTCAGTGCAAACTGGAAGTGTGTTTGATAAAATGGCCAATAAATGTAATGTATTATCTCTAATCTAACTGTATTCAAAACAGCCTGGGGAGTCATGATGTGTAGGACTGCAAAACTAGAACATTTTCATTTTTAAATATTCAAACATTCTTTTAATTTAATTAATATTAAAGTCAATTTTATTTTTCATAGCACGTTTTGCAGCAGGGATTGTTACAAAGCAGCTTTACAGAAAATCCAGGTCTGAGCCCCCTTGAGCAAGCCAGTCATTAATTAGTGACGCTGATGTCTATTAAAATTATCATAAGCACAAAACACTGAAGGTAAACAGTTTCCATCAGGTAGAACTGAGTGGCTCTGAAATAACTTTTTACAAACAAGCAAAGTTTCAGTTTAAGATTTATTTGAACTTAGTTACAAGTTTAAGTTTAATAAAAACTTTAAACTCAGATTCACAAATGAGTTTCCTTTACTAAACTGCATCTGTAGGTCTCTGTTCATAAACATAAACTAGCCTAAACTAATTTACTATAAAATGAAATGTGTTTGTATAAATTCAGAATAAAGACACGTCAGTCACAACTGCATATGAGTACATATTTCTATATTGTGGTCTGTTTACACAAAGTTAGGTTAGTTCATCATTTATGTTGAATAGACTCTCCCAAAATTTTACGCTGCTGCACTGATGTTGAACCGTGTGCTGCACTGGGTCGGTATGACCAACAGGTCAAAACAAGCTCAAAACTAAGTGACCGCTGTGCCCTGATTGGTGTTTTTGCTTCGCGCTTCTTTCGTTTTGACATGTTACATTTTTATTCACACATAAACCAAAAGGAACGACAGATTTCTCATAATGTAGTGGAGTAAAAAGTGAGATATCTGACTAACTGAAATGTAGTGGAGTGAAAGTAAAAAGTCGCCCAAAATGGAAAAACTTCAGTAAAGTACAGATACACGAAAAAACTACTTAAGTACAGTAATGAACTACATTGACTTAGTTACTGTCCACCACTGGTAGACTCAGAACTCAGGTGAGGAGGATCGCTGGAATGACTGTCTATTGGTTGCTGGTGATGATGGAGGAGTCATGTGGTCTCCCCCTGAATCATGGGAACTGGAGTTTTCCAGGCAGTCCATTGACTCAAGTGAGCCAGCAGGTTAAAGGGAACCAGTAGAGGAGGCGTCCTTGGCAGGAGGCGTGACAAAGAGCAAGAGGATGAAACACTGAGAGGAACCAAGACACAAAATGGGAACCCATCCTCCTCAGGCCAAGACTGGTACCAGTGGATTTATGGTACCAGTGGATTTAAGGTACTACAGCTTTAACACACTCTACAGTGATCAAGCTACATCACTTTATGAAATTCAAATTTCCAGTGTTAGTAACTGGATTTTTTAAGCCAACTTAATGTCCGTTCACAAACTCCCCCTTTCATGTTTTTAATTATGTTTTTCTTTATATTATTTTAAAAGATTACACTGTGAACATTTAATGATGAATGAAATAACGTAATCATATAAGTGTGGTATGGCATTGTTTGATGCCCTGATTGTAAAATAAAGGGGTCACTATAATGTAAATAAAGCATAGTTTGGCTTTTTTAATGTAAACGTTTATATAAAGTAAAACAGAAATCAAAATAACTGATAATCAAAAAAGTGTGGAATAGTTAATATGTTTTTCACTGGAACGGCTCAGTTTAGCACTGGAGCTATGAGGCTAATGTAGCTAACAAACACTAGAAGCGAATAGTCACCCAAATCATTCACATTTTATGTTAAGTTAAATTCAGTAAATAAGCACTAAATGTGCATTAAAGTGTGCTTTTATTTGCTCTTAGAAAATCAACAATAACATGCACCCAAACTTTTGCATATGGTGGTGGATCTTCAGCGTAAAAATTCAAGATTAGCACTTATTAATCAAAAAGAAATAACAGAAATTCTGAATGTAATTCAGCACTGTCCTGATCCACGTCCACAAGCCTGCACCACCTTAATGAAGAGCTGGATGGGGTCTGAGTGGGGGTGTAACTGTATTGGAGCTGTGTACATTATTAAATGGACACAGTCTGTTGTAATGTCAAATGATTTGAATCTCAGTGGAGTTTAAGGTGGTTTAATGATGAGCACAGAGGCCTGTGGAGATGCTCTGCGTTCATATGTGGTGAAATATTAACGGCAGGAAATAAAGCTGTTGTTTAGGGATGACACAGCTTTGTGTGAGGACCTTTATCAGTTTACCACTCTGACTCTGCACTGCACTCTCACAGTGACCTGAGGAGCTGCTCCACTCTTCACTGACCCACGCTTTAGACGGTAAGACGTCCACTTTAACTCTTTAACACTTTAATCTTCTCCGCTCTGTATTAAACTCCATATCTACTACTGTTGGGTGTGCAGGGCAGTTCTAGCAGTGCTCCAGTGATGCTTTGGGCGAATGTGTAAAACAAAAAAACAACAACAACAAAAAAGATATATAATAATAATAATAATAATATGCTTATCTTTGTTTGTGCAGCTCAAATTGCTTTACAGAAGCCTGATGATGTTTTACAACAGACAATGCCAGATAAAGTTAAAAAGAAATATCGAAGAGACGTACAATTTTAATGAAATGAGTTGAAGAGATACGTTTTAAGATGCTTCTTCAAAGTGAGCTCTGAGCTTGTCCGTCTAATAAAAGGTGAACTGAGCTCCACAGCAGAATAACTGAAAGAGTCTCTCCATGTTTTCTGTATTTTACTGAAGGTGTTTGCAGAAGGTCAGTATCTACAGATCTTAGATCACATGCTGGAACATAAACAGACAAACACCCTGTGATGTAAGCAGAGCTTTAAAGTCATTTAGAGCATTAAAAACTTGTAGCGTCTATCCTGAACGATACAGGCAGCCAGTGCAGTTATTTTAAAACAGGAGTGATCTGATCTCTCTGTTCTGTTTTTGTCAGGATGCTGCTGCATTTCGTACGAGTTGTAAGGAATGTATTGCGACATCCACTGAGAAATATCTGACGCACAGCTGGTTAGTCTGTCTACGGAGTCTTGAACATCAGAAGGAATGGAAATGTATAATTACATGCCTTCAGCATAGCTATGGAAATGTAGATGATGTTTCCTAATGACATCACTTAGAGGTAGCATGTACAAATAGAAAAGCAAAGGCCCTAAAACTGAACCCTGTGGGACTCCACAAAAATGTTAAATCTCTTCACTGAATGATTTCCCAGTGAAACCAAGAATTCTGCATTAAATATGATTGGTACTATGCTAAAACTGTGCCTGAGAGGCCGACCCAGTATCCAAGGTAGTTTATTAGAATTTTTTGGTCAATGGTATCAAAAGCTGCACTAAGATCGAATAAGACCAGGGCTAATAAGACCATGAACTAATGCTGTCTCAGTACTACGGTTAGAACGAAAACCTGATTGAAACTGCTCAAATAACTTGTTTGATAGTAGAAACACATTTAATTGTTTGCAAGTTACTTTTTCTAGGACTTTACTTAAAAAGGAAGACTAGACATTGGTCTAAAATGATTTGTACTGGAGGATCCATGCTACTCTTTTTCAGTAGGGGTTTCACTAGGACAGTGAAGCCCTTACTGAACATGGAACATGAAGGTTAAAAATGCTTCATTTCTGCCTACTTTGCTCAGACACTGTGCAAAGGGTATTCTATTTTGTGTTCTTTACTAATTTAATATAGAAATACAGTAAGTTTCTTTTTATTACGAATGATATTAGCAGCAAAAAAATCTGAGTGAAAAGTAGCATCTTTGAAATTTCAACAAGAATTTCAGAATTTCTTAGCATCTGTCTACGTTTTGTGCACTCAAGCAGCTACAACTCTGATCACTAACAGTGTCAAAGGCCTCTGATCAGTAGATTAAATCCACCTGAGAGGCATCTGAACACAGACGGCCTTAAAACGGTCTGTTTCACAAATTTGCTTAAGTTGGAACAGCGACCTAGAAATAGTGCAGAATCCTCAGTGTTTCTTCTTTGTTTTACTTCTCATGACTTTTCTTTGTTTTAAATGTTTCAAAATGAATAAAATCTGTTCTGTATTTGCAGGATTAAATAAAAACAACCCTAGATTTTCAAAGTGGTCTCAGACTTTTGGACCCCCACTGTACACTTTAACTCTTTACCACTTTAATCTTCTCCACTCTGTATTAAACTCCATATCTACTACTGTTGGGTGTGCAGGGCAGTTCTAGCAGTGCTCCAGTGAAGCTTTAGGCGAATATGTAAAACTACATCTCAGTGTTATTGTCAGAAAATAAAAGTAAGAAGCACAGACAAGACGGCAGTTCTGAACACTGCATTTCTGACTGTACGTGCAGAGAGGAGAAGCTCACACACTGTGCAGAGATGATGGTGAAGGTGGTGCTGCAGGGGGCGGCTGTACTGGCCTGGTTATTGAGCTCAGCAGCTCTGGTGAGTATTATCATCATCATTCACTCACTATTCAAGTACAATTTTGTAAACAATTCTGTAAAAAAGGTGATTTAAATTAGATATTATCATCACTGATAGTAAATGTTATTACACTGCAGAAAAAAACGTTCATCTTACAAGTGTAATTATTTTAAATATTGTCAATAAACCTAATATTTGTCCTTTTGAAACCATTGAAAGAATTTTGTATTAGTTTTAAGTAATTTTATTAAGTAAAATTCTCAGTATATTGGCAGATAATTTAGCTTGTTTTAGGAAATGTGCTTTAAACCAGTACATTGGAATAATTTCACTTAATAAAATGACCTAAAACAAGTAACAAATTATGGAAATTAGCTAGATAATCTTAAAATAAGAGCACAGCCATCTCAAAATTGGAGATGTTAGATATATTGACTAGATTTAAGATCATTTGAGTTGACGAGAGACCATTTTTTGCTTTCTGTTGTAAGAATATTATGATTATGCCACCTGTTTCTGTACATTTTTACTTGTTTTAAGTGATTTTATCTGGTGAAAGTGTCTTATTCCATTGGCAGATTAGTTTACATGTTTTAGAGAAATAATGAAGATAATTTTGCTCATTTCAAGAAATAATGATTAAAACAAGTAACATGATCTGACAATGAAACAAGACACTTTTATAAGAAAAACTGCTTAAAAACAAGTAAAAATGTTTAGAAATAAGTGAAATAATCGTATAATATTTGTACGACAGTCTCATAATGAGAAATATTCTATATATTGACTACATTTAAGATGTTTACACTCACTAAGACATGATTTTTTGCAGTGTATGGAGAGGTCAACATCCATTTTTCCCAAAAAGAAGCTGAAATGTAGACTTATCTGACCACAGCGCACATTTCCACCATCTTTCAGACCATCTGAGATGACCAACTTGTTTTGTGTGTTGCAGGCATTAAGTTCAAAATTTGTTTATATAGACAAAATGCAATCAAGTTGGTCAGTGAAAACAATAAAAGTCATTTCTTTTAACTGTTCTTTGAACTTTATTTTGTAAATAATGTTCAAGAGAGTTTAAAAAAATCACACATTCTTGCTTTTATTGCTTTTTAAAAAATGTCCCAACTTTTCTAGAAATGGGATCACAAATGAGATTACAATAAAAGTTACATGTGTATTAAATAAATTGTAATCAGGGTGTGGTCAGTGGGCGGACTGTCCGAGCTGCTGCTGATGACGATGTTGAGGTTTTGACTGAAGCTCTGATGGACGTCTTCAAGCAGTTAAAGTCCATTAAAACACAGCTGGAAAACCTCAAAACAGAAAATAAAGGTAAACATTACTCAGATCTTTGGTTAGATTGGTAACACTTTACTGTAGGGTACTGTTCGTAGGGCTACGTGACACCTACATAAGCTTGTCCTAACAACTGACATAGCTCTACACAACTGTTTATAAATGCTTATTCCAACAGGCGTCATCTGTCATAAAGGTTACTTTAGCCGACTTTGATCAAAATTGGCAAACGTAACCTTTATAGTGAATGACGCCTGTTGACCTTACATATATATATATCTGTGGATAAAAACAGCTAATTTGGCTGTAAAGAAATTCAAACTGGCGCTGACCATCAAAATGCATGATTGCTGATTCCTGAGCTTAAAGAGTTTCTGTAATGATCTTTTCTTGTTTCCTGCTAATGTGAACTTTCTAAGCTTTGAAGACGGAGCTGGAAGTTTACGTCTCCAAACAACAGTCAGTCCTTCAACAGGTGCAGGAGATCCAACAGCACAGCAGTGGTAAGAAAGACGGTGTACGTAAGAAATATGCACTGCCTGTTGTGCTGTATTGTATTGTACCCCGGCGTGTCGCCTGGCCCTTGGCTTCGGTGGCTATAGGCCTGAATATTTTTGAACCATAAAAATAATGTTAATTTGTTGTTTTTATGTTTCAAATGTTGTTTCTAGTTTGAATTTAGACAGCAAGAGTTGAATTAAATGACTATTCAGCATTTTAAACTATCAATAAATATCAGAATCACTTAATTTCACCAAGGATGTTACACTTTTTGTCATTACTAAAACAATCACAGCACTGTTTCACTGGTGACAATTTTAGCTCATTTTGAGCAGAACTCAAAAACGTCAGTAAACACAGCTTTGAACAGCTGTACACACAAAAAATCATTATATTTTTATTAAAACACAACTTTACTTAATTGCAGAAAATAAGCGTTTCAATAGTGACAATTCTGAAAGCTCTACATGGATTTGTAGACTTTGGGACACTTTTACTTCAAAACAATGAAACAAAATTTTCAACTAAGGTGGAACTTCTTTTAAGGTGGCACAGAATTTAAGGTGGAACTATATTTTTAGGTGGCCCGGAATTTAAGGTGGAACTCTCTTTAAGGTAGCACTAAAACGAAGGTGGCACAGAATTTAAGGTGGAAGTACATTTAAGGTGGCACTGAATTTTTTGCTGAAAAAAAAGCAAAAAGTACCTTATAAATGATGATTTTGCATATATTTAGCATATTGTGATCTCTGTTAATGCCCTGTGTTTAAGTAGATCAGAACATAATCCTTGCAAATATTTTAGGACTGAATACGTTTTAATATGGAATCTCAGTTTGGACTGATTCAATGGTCCACATACGACTGAATTCACCTACATTTCTTTTTATAATATGAAACACAGTATAAATCAGAACTCTCTCATTTGGGTTTCATCAGATTTGGACGCCAAGATTGCATCAGCTGCCTCCAAACAGGACCTGCAGTCAGTTGTACAGAAGGTGGACGAGCTGAAAACGAAGGGAGGTATGTTATATACAGTCTCCTCTGATAGTGCTGGAACAGCAAGGCCAGCTGTTTTTTATTTTGTTTTTGCTCATTAGTCATCATCATTCTGCAAAAGTCACCTTAATGAATTTCTTTCTAATCAAAAATCATGTGATCATTTTCCTCTTTTCCACTTCTTCTTTTTAAAGATGAGCCAAAAGTGGCCTTTTCAGCCACACTTTCAAACCTAGAAAATAGTAACAAATTCTTTACGTCAACGGAAGGACTCACTCTGGCCTACACAAACGCTTTCACCAACATCGGCAACGCATATGACCCGAATACAGGTACTGTAAGGCTCTACTGTTCATTATATATCAGTTCTATTCTGTATCTGCTATTTTATTATATACAGTCCTGCTCACCATTATTGGCACCCCTTCCTTTTTTGCATAACCTGTACAATATCTTCAGAAATAAATGTAAATGTACCAAAGTTATATCTTCAGGATTTTTTAATTGTAGGTCCAAAGTAATACAACAAAAAAAACATTGTTTTTCAACTTGCATGTTGCAATTTTAAAGAAGAAACAGAATAAACAGCATGTGCAGCAATAAAGGCACCCCTTGTTAATATTTGGTTGCACACCCTTTGGCTGTGATGACAGCCTCCAAACGTTTCTTGTAGCCATCTATAAGCTTCTTGCACTTCTCAGCTGGTATTTTTTCCCACTCTTCCTTTGCAGTTTGTTCAAGCTCTTGAATGTTTGCAGGATTCTTTTTCCCAATGGCAGATTTCAACTCACCCCAAAGATTTTCAATGGGATTGAGGTCAGGACTCATTGCTGGCCATTTTACAACAGTCCATTTTTTCCTTTTAAACCATTCCCGTGTACTTTTGGATGTGTGCTTTGGGTCATTGTCTTGATGGAATACCCATGATCTTTGGCTCAAACCAAGTTTTCTTACACTGGGTAGGACATTTTCGCTCTAAAATCTCTTGATAATTCTCTGATTTCATGATTCCTGTGATACGGTCAAGGCCTCCAGTACCAGACGCAGCAAAGCAACCCCACAACATTATGGATCCTCCACCATGCTTAACTGCTGGTAGGGTGTTCTTTTCCTTATAAGCTCCATTGCGCCGACTGTAAACAAACTGTTGCTTTGCATTGCCAAAAAGCTCTATTTTTGTTTCATCTGTCCACAAAACATTGTCCCAGAATGATTGTGGTTTGTCAAGGTACTCTTTGGCAAAGATCAGTCGTTCCTTTTTATGTCTTTTCTTTAGCAATGGTTTCTTCCTTGGCCTTCGCCCATAAAGCTCTGCATGGTTTAGTGTGCGGCGTATGGTACTTGTTGAAACCATGACCCCAGACTGTTCCAGGTTGGCCTTCAGTTCTTTGGATGTTTGCCTTGGTGTTTTTTCCACCATTCGCACCAACCTTCGAAGACTTCTCTTGTCAATTTTCCTCTTTCCCCCACGTCCAGGGAGGTTCTTGACAGTTCCATGCTTGGCAAACTTCTTAATAACATTGCGCACTGTTGAAACTGGGATACCAAGGTCTTTGGAGATGGCCTTATACCCTTTGGAAGTCTTGTGTTTGCTAATAATAGCACTTCTGATGTCCTCAGACAGCTCCTTTGTCTTCACCATTGTAACAAATGAACATGGCCCAACGTATGGCTTTTAATTTTTACCCGATTTTCTCCCCAATTTAGTCGTCTCCAATTCCACCCGCTAGTTAGGACTCCCCCAATCACACGATGCTATCAACGCTAGGAGGGTGAAGGCTAACACAGGCTTCCTCCGAGACCTATGAAGCCACCGCTTCTTTTCGAGCTGCCGCTCACGCAACGTCATTGGACAGCCGAACGCGCTCGGAGGAAAGCGCCAACCGCCAGATCTGTTACGTCAACTAACAGACGCCTGCGCTGACTAGCATCGCGCTGAGTGATGGGGGAGAAGGGGGGGCCATCCCACCCACCCAGAGAGAGCGAGGCCAATTGTGCTCTCTCGGACTCCCGGCTACGGACGGCTGTAGCATCACCAGGGATCGAACTCGCGATCGCCTGATGATAGGGCCAACGCTTAGACGGTTGCGCCACTCGGGAGCAACGTATGGCTTTTTAAATTCATGTCACATGGGCACTGAATTTGTCACAGGTGATTATCATTTGCGATTTACCACAGGTGAGTGAAAATGTGTTTCCGTACTAATTTAATGTAAAGGGTGCCAATACCAGTGTCACAGCAAGCTTTAGGTTTTTTCTGTTTTTCCCTCACATTGTTTTTTGTTTTAAATTGTTGTTTATAGTTTACTCATTTGTTTTAAATATGAGTGCTCTATACAAAAAACTGTTTCAGTTGATTAATTTTTTCAGGGGATATTCCACAATATGTACTTAAACTTCATGGGTGCCAATAATGATGAGCAGGACTGTATATCTGTGCACCTGTGTCTCTCAATCCTGATCCACACAGCTCAGTTCATAGTGCGTTCCATTCTGAAGGCAGCTGCCTAACTAGTCACTGCATTCAAAGGCAGCTCTCTCTCTCGTTGGGCAGCATTTTAACCGAGAAGGAATCTTAGTAGGCATCGCATTCGGGACAGAGCTTCAGAGCCATCACACGTCATAACACTGCGCTGTACACATTTTATCTGTTTTACTCGCAGGCGCTGGTTAACTTACACTCACCTCAGTGAATGAGGACAGCTCCGAACAGCAGCAGCTGTTTGGAAATGTGTCTATGAAGAACAGGCCGCTTTACGGAGTCGTATCTGTTATATATACTCGACTTTGCGCCCCAGATAAATACAGATAATTGTACTAGTTTGTGAATCATTTCTCTTAATTCACTGTCCTCATCCACCTTAATGAACCTGCTTTATTTCTAACATGTAAAGGATAAAAACTACGTATAATTTTGTACAAAATGCACTCAGAAAAAAAGGATCGCACACAGTCTGTTAAGCTGCTAGTATGCATTTTATTTTATGCATTCTCATCTGATGTATGAGCTCCTAGTCCAGGGGTGTTTAACTAGAATTCAACAGTGGTGGACAGTAACTAAGTCAATGTAATTCATTGCTGTACTTAAGTAGTTTTTTTTCGTGTATCTGTACTTTACTGAAGTTTTTTTTCCATTTTGGGCGACTTTTTATGTGTCTTATGTGTGTATAAAAACATATCATGTCAAAATGAATGAAGCGCAAAGAAGCACAACAAATCATGGCACAGTGGTCACTTAGTTTTGAACTTGCTTTGACCTGTTGGTCATACCGACCCAGCGCAGCACACGGTTCAACATCAGTGCAGCAGCGTAAAATTTTGGGAGAGTCTATTCAACATAAATGATGATTGAACTTTGTGTAAATAGACCACAATATAGAAATATGAATGAATTTATATAAACACTTTCATTTTCATATTAAATTAGTTTAGGCTAGTTTATGTTTATGAACAGAGACCTACAGATGCAGTTTAGTAAAGGAAACTCATTTGTGAATCTGAGTTTAAAGTTTTTATTAAACTTAAACTTGTAACTAAGTTTAAATAAATCTTAAGCTGAAACTTTGCTTGTTTGTAAAAAGTGATTTCAGAGCCACTCAGTTCTACCTGATGGAAACTGTTTGCCTTCAGTGTTTTGTGCTTATGATAATTTTAATAGACATCAGCGTCACTAATTAATGACTCTATTAAAAGTCTGGTTTACCAAGAGAGACACTGGAGTATTTTCACCTACAATGAGTTAATGAAGCGAGTCTTGTTAAAGAAATGATAATAGGACATCAAAGTCATAATTAATCTTTTAGTACTTTCACTTTTGATACTTAAGTACATTTGAAGGTAAATACTTTTGTACTTCTACTCAAGTGGAGGTCTAAAGGGAGGAACTTCTCCTTTTACTGGAGTAATATTTTACCTTGGTGTCTCTACTTTAACTCAAGTACATGGTTTGTGTACTTCGTCCACCACTGGAATTCAATAAGGTCCAGTTAGAGAAAATTTCCTCAGGCAAAGGTCCAGAACATCATAATGTCTGACTTGCATCATGATTCAGTGCCATATACTGTTAACTGAAGTAGCCTAGTAGGTATATCAACATCTTCTTCAGTCAACAACTGAATGTCAAATCAAATAAAGTACAGTTCAGTCATATTTCAACAATATTTATTGTCCATTTTCTCTTTTTAGAGCACGTCATGTGAAATAACCTCCCTCTGACTCACTTTCTTCTCTGACTGCTGTTTCTCGCCTCGTCCCTCCCTTGTGTGTACATCACTCACTCGAGTCTCAGTGCTCATCGTAATGCACAGATCTGATTGGCTGAGTGGCTTCACGTGTGATATTTGTAACGCATGCGATTGGTCTGTGAGTCTCCCGGGCCGTTAAAGCGGCACCGTAAGGGGTAGAAAATAGGACCACCCTGTTGCAGTTAAATAATTCTCCATAGTTTATCGGTTATAGGTCCAGGTCCGCATAGGACAGCGTCTGGGTCTGGACTCGGACTGCAGTCCGCCTATTAGTGACCTCTGTCCTAGTCTGAAATGTAGCCGTCATCATTCACCCAACACTGACGTGACTGTGATAAGCACAGCAATACAAGACAAGAAGAGCAGGCAGAAATAAGCATTTGTGGTGTTTATTTTTAAAAGCGTTTTATTTCTGAATGTCTACATCGTCCAGTATGTTGAAGTATTTTTCATCGTTTAGGGAGAACGTCAGTTTACAGCGCCTTTCCGCCGTGTTTCTACCCCCACCATACGCTCGGCAAGTGAGCTGCTCAGTGGTTCGGCGCAGCTTTTCACCGCTCCTCTTCCTCAGCCCCTCAGACAGCTCCTCTCCGCTTCTGTAACGTTAGTTCCTGATCACAGACAAAATCCCTGAGTACAGAATCAAATCGATTGTTATTTACATACAAAACGTGCTACTAGACCCTAGTTAAACTACCTTAGAAGGCAGCTGCCTTGTGCTGCCTTCCGAATGGGACAGCCTTCGCCTCGGGAGCGCTTAGACCTACTTAGACAGCTCTGCCTCCCAGTTGGAACGCACCATCAGTGGTTTGGACAGTCTCTGACCGTTTGTGCATGTGAACAGTAATTCAGTATTAACTGTATCCTCTGCAGGTATCTTCACTGCCCCTGTGAAAGGAGTCTATTTCTTCAGCTTTTCTGTCTTCAACCCGTATGACTACTCAAGTTCAGCCCCACAGGTTGGAACTGGAGTTGCCCTGATGAAAAACGATGCCCGTATCCTCTCAGTGACCGATAACCCTCCAGGGGTAGACACAGAGGACACTGGGGCGGGGTCAGCCTGTCTCCTGTTGAATAAAGGAGACCAGGTGTATCTGAGGCTCTTGAACAATCGCAAGATTTATACAGATGGAAACAAACGAAACACTTTCAGTGGCCACCTCGTCTTCGCAATGTAGACTTTGCAGTGCTTTTGAAAGAGATCACATCCTGTCTATCAGTTATCAATATTTCCTCATTGATTTTAAGTGATTTGCTGTGACTAGCTATAAACTACATGGCCAGAAGTATGTGGACACATGACTATCACACCTGTATAAGCTTGCTAGACATCCCATTCAAAACTACAGGCATTCATATGGAGTATTCACAATATTCACAATACTATTACACAAGAGTAGCACTTACAGTTGACTGGGGCAGATCTAGCAGATCTAATTTCATTAACAAACAGTGCCATGTTTAAAGTCAATGAGCTCTTCAGTACTACCATTCTGCTGCCAATGATTGTCTATGGAGACTGCATGGCTTTGTTGCTTGATTTTGTACACCTGACAGCAATGGGTGTGGCTGAAACACCTGAACTCAATAATTAGGAGGTTTGTCCACATACTTTTGGCCATATAGTGTATATCTACTATGGTGTAATCTTATTAAATCCCACATGAATTTGTTTTATTGTTTAATTTTTAATCAGCTGATCCATTTAATGCTTTTCCTGAATGATTTATTATTTTTCTCAGCATTATAAAAACTGTTTTTGTCTGATAAATTCTCTGAATAAATCTGGCAAAGGCATTTTGGGCTGTTTACAAGTCGTTTTTTTATTGAACCTACAAAACTTTACACTACACTTTTTTGATGTTATTAACCCTCTAGAATCCCAGGCTCATTACATACTAAGGCTTATTATCCAGTAACCACAGGATTTCAGTGCAAACTGGAAGGTGTGTTTGATAAAATGGCCAATAAATGTAATGTATTATCTCTAATCTAACTGTATTCAAAACAGCCTGGGGAGACATGATGTGTAGGACTGCAAAACTAGAACATTTTCATTTTTAAATATTCAAACATTCTTTTAATTTAATTAATATTAAAGTCAATTTTATTTTTATAGCACGTTTTGCAGCAGGGATTGTTACGAAGCAGATTTACAGAAAATCCAGGTCTGAGCCCCCTTGAGCAAGCCAGGATGGACAGTGGCTAGAAAAGCTCCCTAAGAGTGTCAGGTGGTCAAAACAGATCAGACGCTTGCAGATTAAAAGACAAGGTTGTAGTTTACTTGAGGCCTTTGGAGTTTTCCAAAGAGCATAGTCAGAACAGGCCAGGGACAAAACCACGGAGCACGATAACCAAAACAACACAGACATTTAGAGAGAATCCAGAAACCAGTTAAAAAAACCAAGAGATCAATAATGTCCAGCAATCAAACCAAACGGGCAAACACGAAAAAAACACAAAAACAGGTCATACAGATCAGGCTTACAGACAAGGAACACTCAGTACACAACAGGAACTACTGGCAATACTTCACAAAGTGCTAAACTAAAGCCTGGGATTACATACAAACTAACTGATTACAAGTAATGGGAAACAGGTATGTAGATTCCAGTGGTGGACCAAGTACACAAATCATGTACTTGAGTAAAGTAGGTGAAAATACTCCAGTGTCTCTCTTGGTAAACCAGTCTTTTAATAGAGTCATTAATTAGTGACGCTGATGTCTATTAAAATTATCATAAACACAAAACACTGAAGGCAAACAGTTTCCATCAGGTAGAACTGAGTGGCTCTGAAATCACTTTTTACAAACAAGCAAAGTTTCAGTTTAAGATTTATTTGAACTTAGTTACAAGTTTAAGTTTAATAAAAGTTTCCTTTACTAAACTGCATCTGTAGGTCTCTGTTCATAAACATAAACTAGCCTAAACTAATTTACTATAAAATGAAATGTGTTTGTATAAATTCAGAATAAAGACCCGTCAGTCACAACTGCATATGAGTACATATTTCTATATTGTGGTCTGTTTACACAAAGTTAGGTTAGTTCATCATTTATGTTGAATAGACACTCCCAAAATTTTACGCTGCTGCAATGATGTTGAACCGTGTGCTGCACTGGGTCGGTATGACCAACAGGTCAAAACAAGCTCTAAACAAAGTGACCGCTGTGCCCTGATTGGTGTTCTTACTTCGCGCTTCTTTCGTTTTGACATGTTACGTTTTTATTCACACACAAACCAAAAGGAACGACAGATTTCTCATAATGTAGTGGAGTAAAAAGTGAGATATCTGACTTTGAAATGTGGAGTGAAAGTAAAAAGTCAGTAAAGTACAGATACAGGAAAAACTACTTAAGTACAGTAATGGACTACATTGACTTAGTCACTGTCCACCACTGGTAGACTCAGAACTCTGGTGAGGAGGATCGCTGGAATGCCTGTCTATTGGTTGCTGGTGATGATGGAGGAGTCATGTGGTCTCCCACTGAATCATGGGAACTGGAGTTTTCCAGGCAGTCCATTGGCTCAAGTGAGCCAGCAGGTTAAAGGGAACCAGTAGAGGAGGCGTCCTTGGCAGGAGGCGTGACAAAGAGCAAGAGGACGAAACACTCAGAGGAGCCAAGACTCAAAATGGGAACCCATCCTCCTCAGGCCAAGACTGGTACCAGTGGATTTATGGTACCAGTGGATTTAAGGTACTACAGCTTTAACACACTCTACAGTGATCAAGCTACTTCACTTTATGAAATTCAAATTTCCGGTGTTAGTAGCTGGATTTTTTAAACCAACTTAATGTTTGTTCATAAACTCCCTCTTTCAAGTTTTTAGTTACGCTTTTAAAAAATTACACTGTGAACATTTAATGTTGAATGAAACAAAGATTGTTGTTACATAAATATACATTAAATGAAGAACAAATTTTCTGGTAACACTTTCTATGAATGTCACCTTTGTAAGCATCTATAAACACATTTATAACATGTTATAATGTATTTATAAGGCATTATAAACATGGTTATAATTGCACTGAATTACACTTTATAGCCATGTTTATTATACATTATGCATTGTTAATATAATGCATTATAAATAGTGTTAATAACATGTAATAATAGCATGTCAGTGCCAAAGAAGTCAGTCCCAGCTTGGAGAGCGTAAAGTAAAGACAAATACCAAGCTAACGGTGGTGAACATTACCTTTCCCACATTGGGTAAAACACTGATGGCAGCTCTAGTTTAAACTCTGACATTTGAAGCCTGTAATGTGCTTTACTGTGAATGTTTTAGTGTTTCAGTAAATCCTTCAGTAAATACTTCAACTTGAAGCCTCACTCTTAACACTGGAGGAGGCTTTAGTACAGTACGCTTCACTTTACTTAGAGCGGACAAATACAACTTATGAGCTCTTATAATTTGATATGAACAGTACTTATAATGTATTATGTTATCAATTCATAATGCATAATAAACATGGCTATAACGTATAATGCATTTTTATAAATATTTATAGCTATGTTTATAATGTCTTATGAATGCATTACAACATGTTATGAATGTGTATATAGATGCTTACAAAGGTGACATTCATAGAAAGTGTTACCAATTTTCCTTCTCCTGTGAAGTTACCATCAGCAGATACAAGGCCTTATGACAATTATATGTATCTGCAATATTTTGGTTTTATATCATCTTTGCCCAGTCACGTTCTGCTTTCTCTTTCTTCCTCTTTTTAGTCGTTGCTTAATAATGATCAAGCTAAAACTGGTACAGTTACAGTAACGTTAAGTGATGAAGGGAAAACAACCTTCAAACAGCCATAATACAAGAAAAAGTCCCTTATCAAGTAAAATAAAAAATAAAGTTAAAAAGTGATAACCAGATACTGAAATGCAGGTTTAGACATGCACTGCACTAATCGATCAGCCAAGATATGTTTGGGGTACAAATTGTTCCTTGTTAATTCAGCCCTTGCAACGAAAAACAGTTTATGTGACATTTTTGTAATCATATAAGTGTGGTATGGCTTACAGACAAGGAACACTCAGTACTAGTGGTACCAGTGTATTTAATGTAACAGTGGATTTAAGGTACTACAGCTTTAACACACTCTACAGTGATCAAGCTACTTCACTTTATGAAATTCAAATTTCCAGTGTTAGTAGCTGGATTTTTTAAGCCAACTTAATGTCCGTTCACAAACTCCCCCTTTCATGTTTTTAATTATGTTTTTCTTTATATTATTTTTAAAAATTACACTGTGAACATTTAATGATGAATGAAATAACGTAATCATATAAGTGTGGTATGGCATTGTTTGATGCCCTGATTGTAAAATAAAGGGGTCACTATAATGTAAATAAAGCATAGTTTGGCTTTTTTAATGTAAACGTTTATACAAAGTGAAACAGAAATCAAAATAACTGATAATCAAAAAAGTGTGGAATAGTTAATATGTTTTTCATTGGAACGGCTCAGTTTAGCACTGGAGCTATGAGGCTAATGTAGCTAACAAACACTAGAAGCGAATAGTCACCCAAATCATTCACATTTTATGTTAAGTTAAATTCAGTAAATAAGCACTAAATGTGCATTAAAGTGTGCTTTTATTTGCTCTTAGAAAATCAACAATAACATGCACCCAAACTTTTGCATATGGTGGTGGATCTTCAGTCTAAACATTCAAGATTAGCACTTATTAATCAATTGTGATCCACGTCCACAAGCCTGCACCACCTTAATGAAGAGCTGGATGGGGTCTGAGTGGGTGTAACTGTATTGGAGCTGTGTACATTATTAAATGGACACAGTCTGTTGTAATGTCAAATGATTTGAATCTCAGTGGAGTTTAAGGTGGTTTAATGATGAGCACAGACGCCTGTGGAGATGCTCTGCGTTCATATGTGGTGAAATATTAACGGCAGGAAATAAAGCTGTTGTTTAGGGATGACACAGCTTTGTGTGAGGACCTTTATCAGTTTACCACTCTGACTCTGCACTGCACTCTCACAGTGACCTGAGGAGCTGCTTCACTCTTCACTGACCCACGCTTTAGACGGTAAGACGTCCACTTTAACTCTTTAACACTTTAATCTTCTCCGCTCTGTATTAAACTCCATATCTACTACTGTTGGGTGTGCAGGGCAGTTCTAGCAGTGCTCCAGTGATGCTTTGGGTGAATGTGTAAAACAAAAAAAACAACAACAACAAAATAAAATAATAACAATAATAATAACAATAATAATAATAATAATAATAATAATATGCTTATCTTTGTTTGTGCAGCTCAAATTGCTTTACAGAAGCCTGATGATGTTTTACAACAGACAATGCCAGATAAAGTTAAAAAGAAATATCGAAGAGACGTACAATTTTAATGAAATGAGTTGAAGAGATGCGTTTTCAGATGCTTCTTCAAAGTGAGCTCTGAGCTTGTCTGTCTAATAAAAGGTGAACTGAGCTCCACAGCAGAATAACTGAAAGAGTCTCTCCATGTTTTCTGTATTTTACTGAAGGTGTTTGCAGAAGGTCAGTATCTACAGATCTTAGATCACATGCTGGAACATAAACAGACAAACACCCTGTGATGTAAGCAGAGCTTTAAAGTCATTTAGAGCCTTAAAAACGAGTAGCATCTATCCTGAATGATACAGGCAGCCAGTGCAGTTATTTTAAAACAGGAGTGATCTGATCTCTCTGTTCTGTTTTTGTTAGGATGCTGCTGCATTTCTTACGAGTTGTAAGGAATGTATTAGTTTTTCCGGAAGTTCAGTAAGAAGATCATTACAGTGATCAACTCTGCTTTTAACAAATGCATGAACAAGTTTCTCTCTGAGAGAGAGAGAAAAGGCTGAACTTTATCAATTGTTCTGTAATGATAAGAAGCTACTTTAGTGACTGCGTTTACATGCGGGATAAATCAGAGCTCAGAGTCTAAGATCACACCCAGGTTTCATACTTCAGGATTGGTATATGAGGCTAAAAAGTTGAATATCTCATAAATCATTTTTCTCTGAGTTTCTGTACGATCAGTATTTCAGTTATTCATGATTTAATTGTAGAACATTTTGCAACATCCACTGAGAAATATCTGACGCACAGCTGGTTAGTCTGTCTATGGAGTCTTGAATATCAGAAGGAATGGAAATGTATAATTACATGCCTTCAGCATAGCTATGGAAATGTAGATGATGTTTCCTAATGACATCACTTAGAGGTAGCATGTACAAATAGAAAAGCAAAGGCCCTAAAACTAAACCCTGTGGGACTCCACAAAAATGTTAAATCTCTTCATTGAATGATTTCCCAGTGAAACCAAGAATTGTCTAAGCATTAAATATGATTGGTACTATGCTAAAACTGTGCCTGAGAGGCCGACCCAGTATCCAAGGTAGTGTATTAGATTTTTTTGGTCAATGGTATCAAAAGCTGCAAAATGAATAAAATCTGTTCTGTATTTTCAGGATTAAATAAAAACAACCCTAGATTTTCAAAGTGGTCTCAGACTTTTGGACCCCCACTTTACACTTTAACTCTTTACCACTTTAATCTTCTCCACTCTGTATTAAACTCCATATCTACTACTGTTGGGTGTGCAGGGCAGTTCTAGCAGTGCTCCAGTGAAGCTTTAGGCGAATATGTAAAACTACATCTCAGTGTTCTTGTCAGAAAATAAAAGTAAGAAGAACAGAGAAGACGGCAGTTCTGAACACTGCATTTCTGACTGTACGTGCAGAGAGGAGAAGCTCACACACTGTGCAGAGATGATGGTGAAGGTGGTGCTGCAGGGGGCGGCTGTACTGGCCTGGTTATTGAGCCCAGCAGCTCTGGTAAGTATTATCATCATCATCATTCAATCGTCATTCAAGTACAATTTTGTAAACAATTCTGTAAAAAAGGTGATTTAAATTAGATATTATCACTCTTGTTGGTGTCATTGGTGTTATTCCATAATTCTATACAAACCCCATTCCCAGAAAAGTTGGGACATTTTGAAAAAAGCAATAAAAACAAGAATCACATTATTCACTTGGGAACTGAGGATACTGATTGTTGCAGTTTTGCAAGTGGAATTTTTGCCCTTTCTTACTTGATACAAGTCCTCAGCAGCTCAACAGTCCTTAGTCATCATCTGAATCTCCTCTTCATGATGATCTGTACATTTTCAATGAGAGACAGATCTGGACTGCAGGCAGGTCAGTCAAGCACACTCACTCTGTGTCTATGAAGCCATGCAGTTGTAGAATGTGCAGAATGAGGCCTGGTGCTGTCTTGCTGAAATAAGCAGGGAAACGGCGTCATCTTGATGGCTGCATGTGTCTCTCTAAAATCCCAGTATACACCTCCGCATCAACGGTACCTCCACATATATGCAAGTCACCCATGCTGTGGACACCGATGCCCCCAACCATGACAGATGTTGGCTTTTGTACCTTTCACTGATAAAAGTCTGGATGGTCCCTTTCGTTGTTGGTATGAAGAACTCAACATTTGTTTTTCCCAGAAAGAAGCTGAAACGTGGGCTCATCTGACCACAGCACACATTTCCACCGGCCTTACGCACGTCTGAGATGAGCTCAGGCCCAAACTTTTTGAGTGTGTTGCAGGCATCAAGTTCAAAATTTGTTTATATTTTTATTTACAAAAATATTTACAAAGTGTATATTTTGAAAATAAAGCTTCAAGAGTTAACAAATTCACAGATTCCTGTTTTTATTGCATTTAGAAAGTGTCCCAACAGGCATATTAGATAAATCATAATCATGACAGTAATAATAGCCGCCAATAAAAGCTATGTTTTTGATCTGTAGATGAAAGGAGAGTTAATTTCATTACAGGGTGTGGTCAGTGGGCGGAATGTCCGAGCTGCTGCTGATGACGACGTTGAGGTTTTGACTGAAGCTCTGATGGACGTCTTCAAGCAGTTAAAGTCCGTTAAAACACAGCTGGAAAACCTCAAAACGGAAAACAAAGGTAAACATTACTCATATCTTTGGTTAGGTCTTCATAATGAACAGCGAGAGCTGTATATTGACTTTCTGCACATTTAATAAAACATCATTTTCTGTATGTGTATATTATGTTAATTTAAATATAATTTCTATATAATTTTCTACATCAACTATAGACAGCAATTAGGCCTGCTCAGAAAATCACCAAAACGTTTTTTAATTAATTAAAACTTTGATCAGTGGCACCCAAACTTCTGTATGCACATTTGTGTGGCCCTTAGATTCTCCTCAGCTTTCAAGCCAGAGTGGCTCAGACCTTCCCCATGACCACGCCTCTATATATATACCAACACTGTCCATTTTATCAGCTCCACTTACTATATAGGTGCACTTTGTAGTTCTACAGTTACAGACTGTAGTCCATCTGTTTCTCTGATACTTTGTTAGCCTGTTCTCCAATGGTCAGGATCCCCGCAGGACCGCCAATAAATAGAAGTTTTTTCTTTAAGAATTTAAAGATACAATATGTACGTTTTGGGGATTTTGTGTATTCAAAGAGAGCTCAGGTAAAACTAGGTGAGGGACACATCCTCTGAGGATGTGAGTGAATTATCTACTATTGTCATCGTATCTTCATCAGTATAATGTTGATTTTTGAGATAATTTGAGACCTGAACATCAAGCCGGACCTTTTTTGAGGCAGTCCATGTGACGTTAATATGTAAAGACATACAGCGTGGTATAAAAACTCCCAATCTGACACCTCTGACTTACATGATTATTTCAGGCTTTACAGAGCGACTCACAGCAGCACACGCTCACCATATCTTAACCTTTTAATGCTACTTCTTTCAGTTCTAACCAATGTCAGCCGCTGAGTTCTTGTGGAAGGAAGGAAAAGGCCTGCTTTATTGAGCTTGGATGGCAAGATGGTTCCCGGACAACCACAATGCAAAGAACACGTCAAAAACACCCACTTTTATATCCTGTTTCTATGGAATTCTATACCGTCTTAGTTCCCATTATCTCCAAACCTTACATGTACATGGGAACTGTCACATCTGCACTTAGGAACCCTTATTTCGAATCATACATGAAATATGTTTTTTAAAAATATCTTATCTTAGCTGTACCAGAACGTTCCAGTACCCAAGGACATCAGCTTTTGACTGGTTGCATTGTAAGTTCACCTGTTCCAGGGCTGGTTCTTATCTCAAGGGCAGTTCTTCTTGCTCACACAGCAGATCCTAACAAGCTTCAGGAGGCCCCTTTTACAAACAGGCTTTGAAGCTAAGGCCTATTTTACAGTGTGAAGATTACTATTCTTTGGTTAGTAAACACTACTCGTTAACATTATCAGAAAATAAAGATTATTTATTCGAAACATCCATCACCAACCATATTATATAGTGCACTTTTAAAATACCAGTAAATATGTTATTTATGTTTGATGTTGGCTAATAGAAAATGCTGGAAATGTAGTGTTTCATGTGCTGGTTTAGCCCACATTGAAATAGGAAATTCGAACTGGTGCTGACCATAAAAACGCACGATCACTGCATCGCTGTCTAAATGATTCCTGAGCTTAAAGAGTTTCTGTAATGATCTTTTCTTGTTTCCTGCTAATGTGAACTTTCTAAGCTTTGAAGACGGAGCTGGGAGTTTACGTCTCCAAACAACAGTCAGTCCTTCAACAGGTGCAGGGGATCCAACAGCACAGCAGTGGTAAGAAAGACGGTGTACGTGAGAAATATGCACTGCCTGTTGTGTTGTATTGTATTGTACACCTTAGAAAAAATGCAAGTATTAGTTTTAATAGTGTAAATTCAGAGATCAGTGTTTGGGACAGACACCTCCCAGTAGAAAGTACCCTATAAATAATGAATTCATGTATGTTCAGCCTGTTCTAATCTCTATTACTGCCCTGTGTTTATCTGCCCATGTGGAATCTCAGTTTGAACTAATTCTGTAGAATAATCCATATATGACTGAATGTACCTACATTTCTTTTTATAATATGAAACACAGTATAAATCAGAACTGTCTCATTTGGATTTTCATCAGATTTGGACTCCAAGATTGCATCAGCTGCCTCCAAACAGGACCTGCACTCAGTTGAACAGCAGGTGGATGGGCTGAAAACAAAGGGAGGTATGTTATATACAGTCTCCTCTGCATAAGTGTTTCTTTGTTCTTGCTCTACACTGAAGACATTTGGGTTTGAGGGGTCAAAACATGAATATGAGAATATAGATCAGAATTTCAGCTTATATTTCCTGATATTCACATCTAGATGGGTTACATACCTTAGAGCATGGCCCCTCGGGTGGCAGACCCCCCAAATTTAGGTGAGCAAATGTAGGAACAGATAGTCTTAAAGTAAATGAAAGTAAATAACACTTAATGTTTGGTTGCATATCTCTTGCCTTGCAATAACTGCATTAAAGCTGAAGACCCACTGACTTCAGCAAACTGTTGCATTCTTCTTTTGTGATGCTTTTTCAGGCTTTTACTGTGACTTCTTTCAGTTGATGTTTGTTTTGGGGGGGTTCCTTCAGTTTCCTCTTCAGGTGGTGAAATGCTCAGTTGAGTTAAGGTCTGGTGATCGACTTGGCCAGACCTTCCGCTTGTAACAATCCCCTTGTAAATCTCAACCAAGAAAACAGTTACTGAAGTCCGAGGATAATACACTCCAGGCATAAGAGTAGAGGAGATTGCAAATAGGCCCAAACAGGAGAGACAAAAATCCGATGAAGTTATATTGAAAAAATCAGTGGAACAAACACAGACACAATCCCTATATACACAATAAGTGCCCAGTGTCCATCAACTCTGAAAGTCCACAAAGTCCAAAACCCAAAGTCACAACAAATCCAAAGTTTCCCAGGTTGAGTGGTAGGCTTTGGGTTGTACTGCTCCTCTCACCCCAAACACATCACCCCCTCTCACTTCCACATGGCCAAACTTTTTCTTTCCTTCCTCTTCCTGGTTCCAGTCACCTGTCCCAGTGACTCCTCCCCCCTTTTCCAGCAGAGCTCTTAAAGGGCCTACGCAACTCTTTTAGTTCAGTTTCAGTTAGGGCCCCCTATAATACATGGCTAATACAGAATAAAAAAAACTCCAATCATTTAATGCGGTAAACACACACCAAAAAAAGGTTTAACCTCGCAAGGATTTTAATTTAAACCATTTTAAGACTTCTCATGTGGCAATGTCGCATGCTTTTTGCACCTGGTGAAGTCCTTTCTTGTGTGGCAGTGTGTTTCAGGTCATTGTCTTGCTGAATGACAAAGTTCCTCCCAAATATATTTGAAGCATTTCTCTGTAAACTGGCAGAAAGAATGTTTCTGTAGACCTATGAAGTCATTTGGCTTCTAAATTTATAAGCTACATTTGTTAGCTAAGAATGAGCCCTCCACATCTACGTATGGAGCAGCTCTACTTCCAAGAGAGGCCGTCATGTTGTGCTGCCATGTTTTTTTTACTGTAGCTCAGAATGGACAAACCAAACACTGGCTCTGAAGTGCGTCTTTCGAATTGTTACATTAAAGTGGCTGCTTGAATTTGATGGTGCTGTAGCTCTGGCTGGAAAACGTAGAAAGAAGAATCTGTGGTTGCTGCTGGTGCTGGCTGACCGTTTTGTGTTATGAAAAGTTTGAGAACCCAAATTTTGACAAATAGAAGATCAGACTTATTATTTAGCATGAGCAAAATCAATAGAGGGTGAATCCTCACTGTGAAAGTAGCGAAAAACGGGCACCGTAGGTTGTACTGCACGCTTGGAAAGGGAGGGGTGAGGGAGGAGTATTCAGTTGGTATCCAGAGTCCTTCCAGCTTCGAACCTTAACTCCAGCCTGGACAATGGAGGTCTTTGGCAATGTAACCCAGGCTGATGAAGCACAAAGCACACTGAGCAAATACAAACCAGTGACTCGCACACACATTGATGGTATTCCAACCAGTTGGTTTACTATACTAGTCCAGGGGTCGGCAACACGCGGCTATTTTACTGTCCTGTTGCGGCTCCACAGCAAAATCAGATATTTAGGTAAAAATATAATAATCCTCCTTAAAGCTCTGCTGATCACTCAACAGTAAGACCATTTACTGTTAGTTTTACCAGTAAATGGTCTTAAACGCTGGAGTTGAACTGCTAATTCACCCTTTAACCCTGAAGGTTGGCACGCAGACTGCTGGTCACATAGCAGTGCAGACAGCAATCTCGGCTAGCTAGTAGCTAACGAAACGGCAAAGAGAAAGATTTAAGACATTGATAATTTAGAGACAAACAGACTTATTTGCCTTTATAATCACTCCAGCTGGTTTCCTGATACATTTAATCTGCAACGAGAAACTGTCAAACACTAAAAAGTCGCGAGGCTGAAGTCAGTTTCTCATTCGCCAGCTTCTTGTTTCAATCCTCTCTTTTCACCTTAAATGGTGCCACAGTTACATTCTGGCACTTCTGGCACCATTTAAGGTGGATTGGAAATTTAAACAAGAATCTGGTGAATGAGAAGTAACTTCAGCCTCGTAAAAAGTCAAATGTTGAGGGACGTTTTACAAGAAACTGTTCAACTTTTGAGGGAGAGTTTCCTGCTGGAGATGCGAGAAAAGCGGCTAAAGCTGAGCTAAAGCTTAAAGCAGAGCAAAGCAGGTCTGCATTTTTGTTTATCTTGTGTTTTTAGCCTACACTAGCATATCAGCACATACTGAGACATATTTACAGCCCAGATGGTAAAATGGACATATAATGTTGTGGCTCTCAAGGTGGTTTGATTTTTGTTGAAAGGACAAAATGGCTCTTCTTAACATTTGGGTTGTGACCCCTGGACTAGCAGATCACACAAACTAGGTCTCATGGCTTCACTTGACTGTTCATACATGATTTAAGAACCAGTTCCAAAGCCCCGTAACGCATCACTAACAGAAATAAAAGTGAAATGAGAGCATGGTTCAGTGGTCTGTCGTGTTACAGCGCAAACTTTCTTACTACTGCACGGCGGAGCTACACACCTGAACGCATTGCTTGAGCGCAGCTTAAAGAGACTGTACATGTTATACTGGCAGGTATGTATTTCCCCAGGCCATTTAAAGGCTGTCCCCAGCCATAACTTGAGAAACAGACAGTGATGCTACTACCATTGTGGGAAAGTCTCTCTAGTGCCTGTTAGTTTATCATGAAAGCTGCAGTTCTGATCTATCATCTTATATTTCTTGTAATCTCAAAGACAAAATCTTCACAGTACAGCAAAAACAAAATAACTGGCCTTGCCATTCCAATACTTTCAGAGGAGACTGTAGTTCAGTCCATTTTAAGTGTAATACATGAATTAAGTCAATGGTACACTGTTAGTAATGAAGGTTCTGTTCAGGTACATTTTTCGTTCATCAAGGTACAAACAGTGTAAATGTTCCCTCAAAGGTACAACAGTGGTTTTAAGGTCCAGTTGTGTATCTTAAATACGTTTTTCCAGGTGAAAAGTTCGTATTTGTACCTTTTCATAACCGAATGTTTTAAACAGAACAGTAAAATAAAAGCCTGGAGACGAGACGGGGTGTGTGGAGTCAGTACAGCTTAGAACATATCATTTCAGTGGATTATGGTTCAGTTATGTTCCTTGACTAAAGGTACTGAGATGGACCCATGAGGGAACCACCCCAGTGACAGGAGGGGAACTGCCCCAGAGACAGTTTAGTACCTTTATTTCTGAGTGTAGTATGATTCATTTAGAGCTTTTTTCTGAAATTGTAAATCATCGTCCAATCTTTTGTAATCTTCTGCTATAAGGAGTATAATGGATTTCTTAATCACTGTCTTTAGTCATCGTCATTCTGCACAAGTCACATTTATGAATCACTCATTTCCTTCTAATATTTAAATATCATGTTATCAATTTCCTCTTCCTTTTTTTTTAAAGATGAGCCAAAAGTGTCATTTTCAGCCACACTTTCGAACCTAGAAAGTGGTCAAAAATTCATTGGATGGAATGATGTGTTCAACCTGCCTTACATAAACGCTTTCACCAACATCGGCAATGCATATTGCCCAAGTTCAGGTACTGTAAGCTTCTACTGTTCATTATATATTAATGAAATGCAGTTCTATTCTGTATCTGCTGTTCTATTACATACCTGCTCTTCCATTATATATCTGTGCACCTGCGTCTCTCAATCCTGATCCACACGGCTCAGTTCAGTTGTTTGGACAGTCTCTGACCGTTTGTTTATGTGAACAGTAATTCAGTATTAACTGTATCCTCTGCAGGTATCTTCACTGCCCCTGTGAAAGGAGTCTATTTCTTCAGCTTTACCGTCTTCAACACGTATGACAACTCAAGTTCAGCCTCACAGGTTGGAACTGGAGTTGCTCTGCTGAAAAACGGTGTTCATGTCCTCTCAGTGACCGATAACCCTCCGGGGACGGACACGGAGGACACTGGGGCGGGGTCAGCCTGTCTCCTCTTGAATAAAGGAGATGAAGTGTACCTGAGGCTCTGGGAAAATTGCAGGGTTTATACAGATGGAAACAAACGAAACACTTTCAGTGGCCACCTCGTCTTCGCAATGTAGACTTTGCAGTGCTTTTGAAAGAGATCACATCCTGTCTATCAATTTATTTCAGTATTATTTCATTATTGATTTTAAGTGATTTGCTGTGACTAGCTATCCACTACATGGCCAAAAGTATGCAGACACTGACCATCACACTTGTAAGAGCTTGTTGGACATCCAGCTCGAAAGCTATAAGCATTAATATGGAGTCGGCCCCCTTTACAACCATAACAGCTTCATCAGTAATATTCACAATACTATTACACAGTAATAGCACTCACAATTGGCTGGGGCAGATCTAGCAGGGAAGAACTTTGCACTGACAGTGCCATGTTTAAAGTAACTGAGCTCTTTTATTATGACCCAGTCTACTGCCAGGGGTTGTCTATGGAGACTGCAAGGCTATGTTCTTGATTTTATACACCTGTTAGCAATAGATGTGGCTGAAACACCTGAACTCAATAATTAGGAGGCGTGTCCACATACTTTTGGCCATATAGTGTATATCTACTATGGTACAATCTCATTAAATCCTACATGACTTTGTTTTATTCTTTCATTTTATTTTTAATCAACTGATCAATTTAAGCATTTTTTTATGAATTTATTATCTTTCTGAGCAAAATAAAAACTGTTTTTGTCTGAAAAAATCTGGCAAAGGCATTTTGGACTGTTTATGAGTTGTTATTTTACTGGCCCTACAAAATCTAAAAATCAAAAATCTAAATCTAAAAAATCTTAAACTCTAAGGGTCTCTATGTGGGTCCCCACTTTAATTCCTCACTCTCATAGGTACAGGTCTTACACAGCAGTTTCATAGTCGATGTAAGTCATAGTTAATAGTTAATTACTGATTAATGAACCTGCAGTACAAGGTGTTACATTTCTTAAGCTATTCAATACTCACATCTCTACATTACCCGGTTATTAGGTAAATCTAATTTGTTTATGCACTCATTGGCCATTTTATCAGAAACACCTACCGTGTGCATTTTGAATTATACAAACCAGCCTGTGGAGACATTGCATGTATGGCTGTGACACTGGATTATTTTCATTATTATTATTATTATTATTATTATTATTATTATTATTATTATTATTTATTTATTTGCTTGATTGCTGGAATCTTTTGTGTTCTTATTATTTATACATATTTTTGCATTTTAATGAGAAAGATGATGGAAAAACATCACTGATAAATAATTATTGTCTTAGCACAAAATGCTTATCCAGGAGACCTGGCAACCCCGGCCATGTTGCCAAGATGTCTGCATTGAGCAGTGCAGAAGCAGAGCAGAGAGAACACAAACACCAACCGGCCACTTCATTATAACCACCTCCTTGTATCTACTCTTACTGTCTATTTTATCAGCAGCTGTTGCGCTGGTGCGAGTGGATCAGACACAGCAGTGCTGCTGGCATTTTTTAAACACTGTGTCCACTCACTGTCCACTCTATTAGACACTCCTTCCTTGTTGGCCCACCTTGTAGATGTAGAGTCAGAGGTGATGGCTCATCTGCTGCTGCACAGTTTGTGTTGGTCATCCTCATCCATAACCATCTGGTTTGGCTCCTCCAGCTCACAAATATGAGCCAAACTCCAGCGCATAATCAGGACAGCAGAGAGGATCATGGATGTTTCTGCCAGCACTACAGGACATTTACAACAGCAGAGTGATGAAAAGCACCAGCAAAACAACAGCTGACCCCTCTCATCCTGGACATCACCTCTTCTAGCTACTGCCCTCCTGTAGAAGATTCAGGACCATCAAAACCAGCACAAGCAGACATGCTGACAGAAAAGCCAAAGCTGTAGCCTTCTTTAACTGCAGTGAACACCTCGCACTTTACACTCAAACTGAAACCAACAGATCTCCCTACTGTATTACAGTAACTCCTCTGTAAACAAAGCTGTTCTTTGCATATATATATATATATATATATATATATATCTATATATATATATATATACATTATTTAGTAATATTCTGCATATAATAGTTTTATAGTATACACCGACCTTGTTTCTACGCTCATTGTTCATTTTATCAGCAGTGTTTAAACACCTGAGTGTCACTGCTGGACTGAGAATAGTCCACCAACCAGAAATATCCAGCCAACAGCGTCCTGTGGGCAGCGTCCCGTGACCACTGATGAAGGACTAGAGGATGACCAACACAAACTGTGCAGCAGCAGATGAGCTATCGTCTCTGACTTTACATCTACAAGGTGGACTGACAAGGTAGGAGTGTCTAATAGAGTGGACAGTGAGTGGACACAGTGTTTAAAAACTCCAGCAGCACTGCTGTGTCTGATCCACTCAGACCAGCACAACACACACTAACACACCACCACCACGTCAGTGTTACTGCAGTGCTGAGAATGATCCACCACCCAAATAGTTCCTGCTCTGTGAGGGTCCATGGGGGTCCTGACCACTGAAGAACAGGGTAAAAGGGGGCTAACAAAGTATCAGAGAAACAGATGGACTACAGTCTGTAACTGTAGAACTACAAAGTGCACCTATATAGTAAGTGGAGCTGATAAAATGGACATGTCATGCAGAATCTCCGAAATCAGTCCCTGGCTGCCCACAAACAGGTTGCACTTCTCTACAAATTACATAACACATCAGGTTCAGTTCCACAAATGTACTTTGTTAGCAGAACAGAGGACACTCAACAAGCTGTTAGCCATCTTGGACAACCCCTCACGCCCCCTGCATGCTACACTGGATAAACAGAGAAGCGCATTCAGGTCAGACTGTTACAGCTGCGCTGTGTTAAAGAACGCAGTGTGAGATCTTTCTTACCCACTGATATACGGCTCTACAGCGAGTCTCCTTACTGCGGAGGCGGTACTGATCTCCTGCTGCCTGAACTGAGCTGAACCACATCACTGTATCACCTCTCCTGTTAATACACACTGTGCAATATATCATAACCGCTACTGTACTGACTCTCACTGCGCACTCTACTGTAATACTGCTGCATCTCCTAGATATGTTTATACTCATACCTCATACCACTCAGTGCCTGCTCTCCTGTAAATACAACAAATCTGTCTCATATGCTGTGTAAATATGCAAATAGATATACTTTATTTCTCTTATACTTTAACTTATGTCTGTTTTTATTTCTATTTTCTATTTTTCTGCTTAGTATAGTTTATAGCAATTATATGTCTTGCTACTGAAACACTGCAATTTCCCTCCGGCATCAATAAAGTTCTATCTGTCTGTCTGTCTATCTGTCTGTCTATCTATCTATCTGTCTCTGTCTCTCTCTCTCTCTCTCTCTGCTGTGTCTGTCTATCTATCTATCTATCTATCTATCTATCTATCTATCTATCTATCTATCTGTCTCTGTCTCTCTCTCTCTCTGCTCTGTCTGTCTATCTATCTATCTATCTATCTATCTATCTATCTATCTATCTATCTATCTATCTATCTATCTATCTATCTATCTATCTGTCTGTCTGTCTGTCTGTCTGTCTGTCTATCTATCTATCTATCTATCTATCTATCTATCTATCTACTCTGAGCTATTCCACCCCAAACCACCCACCAAATACACTTAAACTGTATGTGTACGGCAGGAATACTTACTCATACTTTATATCTCAATCAAAACATTCATTACAAGGACAGGCCAAATATACGTAGACTTTTCTGTGTACTTGTCAGTATAAGCCAAGTACACTTAAGTTCATTTTGTTTAGTATATTTCTGATAAGTACATAAAATTAAACTGAAGCATACTCACTTATTTTTAGTTTAAAGGAAGTTTACTTATAGCACACTTGAATTAACGTCTTTGTTGTAAGGGCATGATTCCTGGATTTTTCAGGAGTCTAACACTACACAACAAACTTGTTTAGGGTAGGCCTGTGGCACTTCTGCTAGGAGTATGGTTTCCCAATCAGTGTATTGTTGCATCATTTTGAACCACTGCAACTCCAATATGACGGTGTTCTCCTCACAGACAGAGGGTATCCCTGCCTGCCTTATCTGACGACACCATACCCTGATTCTGGACCAGAGTCACGCTACAGCCTGGCCCACTGCAGAACTAGAGCAGGAGTTGAAATGGCTGTAAGGATCCTCACGGTCCGGCTCCAGTGCCTGTGGGGGGTCAGGATAACCCCAGAGAGGGCATGCAACATTATAATTGCATGTGTGGTATTGAAAATATTGCCAGATGAGAGCGACACCCTGCCATACCCCAAATATATGCTGATGAGGAGCATCACCTGCATGTAGCTGACCACAGAGATGGTAGGGGTCTCACATTAACTGCTACATTCCTGCACTTTCACCCATGTGGCTCTGGAGCTGCATGCGGCTCTTTTACTGCCCTGTTGTGGCTCCACAGCTGAATCAGATATGTAGGTAAAAATAAAATAATCCTCCTTTACAGTAAAATAAAGCTCTGCTGATCATTCAACACAGTTTAACAGTAAACGGTCTTAAACTCTGGAGTTAATGTAGATTATAACTACTAATGCATGGTGACCAGCAGATTGACGCGCAGACTGCTGGTCACCATAGCAACACAAATAACAATCTTTCCTAGAGATTTAAGATGAACATCGATAATTTGGAGACGAATGGACTTTTGCATTTGCGTTTATAATCACTCCAGCTGGTTTCCTGATATGTTTAATCTGCACTGGGAAACTGACAAACACTAAAAAGTCACGAAGCTGAAGTCGCTTCTCATTAACAACTAACAAAGTATCAGAGAAACAGATGGACTACAGTCTGTAACTGTAGAACTACAAAGTGCACCTATATAGTAAGTGGAGCTGATAAAATGGACAATGAGTGTAGAAACAAGGAGGTGGTCATAATGTTATGCCTGACCGGTTTATATACTTGAACTAAATGCTGAATATGCTTGTATTGTGAACTGAAATGTGACTATTTTGCCTTAAGAATACCTGAATGTAATGTTGGTTTAGTCCACTGGGAGGGGCTATAGGTATTTAAAGGCCCTGTCCATGTATTGAACTGTCTAACTGCTGGAAGTAAGATGGCTAGTCTCGCTGACAACATGCACCCTGAGGTAGAGAGGGAAAACAAGTGAGAATAGTCAAGGAAGGGTAGCATAAATGCCTGTCATGTATTTGGGTTTTATTTTATTTTTATTTTTTTTGAACATTAAGTAGTTATATGTAAAACGTCATGTTCTAATGCTTCATTTTTATTGATCCCACTTGAATTGCATATAGATTAAGTGCATCATTTAAAAAAAAACAACATGTCTATCAAATATCTATCTATCACATTTTGGAAATTTAATTTTAACTCAGTCTGCAGTTTTTTGCCAGGCCAAATTCTGTTCCTTTTCAGACGCTGCTGTTACTTTTGCATCTAAATTCATGCTCATAGTTTGAACATGCAGACATGAA